TTTGTGTTAGAAAAGAAGTTTCATATGAATAATGAGTTTCAACATTCAAAAAGTGGAGTTTAACACGTTTTCGGTAAAATGCATAAAATTAGCGCATTTTGCATAATTAATTAGGCTAACGACAAAAATTTGCATATTCAGAAAAAACTAATTATACCATCTTGTTCCTTACGTAAATATCTACAAACATGCAAATTTTCTTGTTCATCGGACAATCGACGGCCGAGATCATAGGGGGGGGGGGGCCTCCCAGGCCCCCCCCCCCCCCCCCAGTCAGTGGGTGCTCAAAATAGCCCAGTACAGTAAGGGTTAAAACTGAATTATTATTGTGTTTTTTCTTCTAGAAAAATGTTTCCACTTGGTTATCAAACTGTACATGTTCATTGCAAAAACAATTAACTATTACCAAACCAATCATCTCATGAACTTATTCTTTCTTGCGTTGTTTTAATTGCGATCCCTAGCTTAGAGTTGTTCAACTATTTCTCCTTTTAACCTTTCTCCTCTCTTTCTTACCCATCATCCCTTCCTCTTCCTCTCGTTCCCATTTTCGTTCATCATTATCATCACTTTCTCTATTAATGATGTAACAAGTTCATCTACAATATCATTACTTTGAAAATTATTGTAATATCACAATTAGTATACCGGTACCTGTATGTAGTGAGGTGCCAAGGTGCCAAGATCGCTGCACCCTTCCTGCACCCCGGCCCCCTCTATGATTGGCCCCATGCTACGCCCTTATTATTATCAAAGAGCGACCAACGTGCAATTTGAGGGCCCTGTTAAACTCTATGATATGCCCTCAACCAATCAAAAGTCACGATTTCAGTAGCTTATAGCAGTTATTGTAAATTGTCACTAATACAATGTAACCAGTATTCATGAAACAGAGCCCAGTAGAGGAAACATAATAAAGTACAAACCTCCCTCTGTCCTTCCGTATAATTATTATGATACATGATCCGGAATGAAATATTAGGAAGAATCCCTAAAAATTGAACAAGTTTAAAGATAAAGTTGAGTTCTGGTCATGCGATTGCATTGTAAAACAAACGGTGTGGAATCGATCATTAGCATATACTTATATTGGTGTGTACTGCAAGGTTCTGGAATTATCAAATTGATAAGAAATTTGGCCCAGTCTTGGTAAAGTTACAAGCACTGTACACAGAAAGATGTATATGGGACCACACAATCATGTGGCATACAAATTCGTCACGATTTGTAACGCTCACAAATTATTTTCACCTCTTCCCAGAACTCAGCAAAACATGAATGTCGTAACAGTCGGAGGCGTTCTTAGACATACCTTGCCTTTCTTGTCAGGGTGGGGGGGGGGGGCGTTCCGAAACGCCTGATTTCAGTGGGAGAGGTTGGAGGAATGAGAAGGGCTATATACTTTTCTTTATTTTATTTTTTGTTAAAACAATTTTCAATTCAATTCAAATTTGTATTGATTATAATCCCTAAAATAGGATCATTCTCATTTTCTTTTATAACAATGGATAACTAATTTCACATTAATGGTGTTACATAGATAATTGAGTGCAAAAGTCAAAATTACAAAAATTACAATAACAAGGAGTGGTATCTTCTGGAATATAATACAGAGATAACAATCAATCAAATTACTCGCATTACTTTTTACAATTTGTTTAAGGAAAAAAAAATACAACGTGATAGTAAAACAATATATTTGTATATATGTGTTCAAATTCAGATTCGCATTCAATATTTTGCTTTAGCTTGTAGCGCCATTTTCGAAATTTATGTTAACGAATGATAACTATCAAGGATATATAATATATTGAATAAATATGTTAAAGAACAAGTGTGAAATTACATTCACTAGATAACACAAATAGCCCGCAAAATTACGTACGACCATTGGCCTCTTCAGAAATATAATACACTCCGAGTTGCCCACAAAACTGGAACTAATTTTTTTTCCTCTCCATTTCTCCCTCTTTTGTTGATATTTCATCTTCTGAATCTTCTGAAATTGAAGTCAGGAGTGCGGTATTCCGCAAGTCACTAACTTGTATGGCAGGTGGTACATGCTAAAGCGAGCTTCTAAAGTTCTCAACACTTGGTGCTGTTCTTCTTAACCAACCCCGCTCCAAAGAGATGACCCCGTCAATACGACCCAATCCCGACAGATACTGTTCATATTATCCCGAAGCTTTAATTTATGAATAAATTTCGATCGATAAAACCGCGGGAATCATTGCCAAGAAATGTATCTAGATAATCCTTATTTTGATATGTAGAGTATGACTTCAGTGGGGGATCGAAGGGGTGGGGGGGGGGGGAATTTGCCCCTTTGCCCCTTCATATAGACAGGACAGTGAATACCTTAAATTGGCTGCCGTACATTCGGACTTTTAGATTTGCACGACGGAGAACGTGGACTGCCCTTTTAAGGCAATGTGACGTCACTGCCAGTGCCTGAAAAGGACGTTACATTGCCTTAAAAGGGCAGTCCACGTTCTCCGTTGTGCAAATCTAAAAGTCCCTAATAAGGACGTTGGTGTACGCTAACTATGGCTTCTCGATTCTTGTTATTCCATTATTGACAGGATACATGCATATACTGGTTTGTTTATTTAGGAGCAGCGAATATAAGCAATGGTATCCCCCATTTTTTTTTTCTTTCAGAGTAGTTTTGTGTAAGGGGAGGGATGGGTATAGGGGAGACCGGTTCTAGGTGTCAAGGCCTGTTCAGATATGGCGCAGTAAACCGCCGTAAATAAAGCCGCCACAGTTTGTTAACGTTTAAATGGATACCGACCGCCCACACCTTAGGTGCTGCACGAATTCACTGAGCATTAACAGAACCAAAAAATGCTGAATGTGAGTGCGTGACGCGTATTAACATTTACGTCATATTAATACTTTTTAAAAAGAGAAATAAATAAACGTAGCTGTTTTGCCACGTCATATCTGAACGAGGCTAAACACGAATAAGTTAGTCCAGAAACAATGTCTCTAAAACTGCGAGAGAGGGAGCTATGGGCTTTACCAGATCAGTGCCATAGATCAAGAGAGTTTGGCCAACCCGGTCCGAGTTGGTCACAATATTAGAGATATTGGTAGCAGGAGATGAAAATTCAACCTAAAGCAGGGCTCCCACTTAGCCGAGTTGGAGCCTCGAGTTGTGGCGAGCTGGCGCAATCTTATGGCAAGCAGTTTTATCATTAAAACATATTTCTAATTGATATCAAGCATTCAATTCTTGATATCACGAAATCGAATTCCTGATATCACGAAATTGAATTCCTGATATCACGAAATCGAATTCTCGATATCAAGAATTACCATTGCTTTACAACGTAGAATTATTTCTTGATATCAAGAATTGACTTCTTGATATCAATTAATAACAAAACGGCTTGCCATAAGGTCGCGCCAGCTCGCCACAACTCGAGGTTCCAACTCGGCTATAAGTGGGAGCCCTGCTTTAGACAATTTCAATGGCATTGTGCGACACCTATGGAAATCAGCGAATATGACGATGACCTTATCACGTAATCTGAAAAGGATCTATTGGATATACAAAAGGGTATAGTTGCCCTTAGGTTGAATTTTTGAAAATAATTGCGATCATAAATGTTAATCATAATTTCCAATGTCTCTATCTATCTATCTCTATCACTCTCTCTCTGTCTTTATGTATATCTTTCCCTCCATTTACTAACAGGGCTCGACTTACACTGGCCTTTTGAATATCATTTGAAAGGAGAAATAACTATACCAGAACATCATCCATTATAACAAATGGTTTGCTTCATTTTATATTGTACATTTAGGTCCGTGTTCAAAGAGACCAACAATTTTTGCAAAAGTGAACATTATCTAACCCCCCCCCCCCCCCACCCCTTAAGCGAACAGTGCACTATTTTTCTTCAGACACGAAAGTCTTTTGAAGATAAAATTTTGTTCTAGTTTCTTTCAAGAAGGAGGAAGAATCAGGGCCAAAACTGGGGGCATTTCACAAAACTTGTCATCAGTGACAAATGATAGTTTTTGTTATAAGCTACTGAAATCCTTGCTTCTGATTGGTAATTAGCAGATTTTTCACTGATTTTTGTCATTTGTCATTGAAAAATGCTTTGTGAAACGGGCCCCCTGGACAGCTTCTATTTCAGTGAAATCGATCAACCACAGACCATCCCCCCAAAAAAAGCAGAAAAACACCCAATGGCAAAAAATTGCGTTTGTTTAGAGTCAATGTGGTGTTGTGCCCGAGGTAGTAATGTTCCTTTTCTATTTGCATCCTCAAAATACGCTTCTCACTCTATGTCTCACTGCAGACTAAAAATCAAAGATTATCCGTAAAATGAAACCCTCTTAAACGTTATGCGTCACCTTAAAAATTGATATTTTTTGTATACGTGGAACATATAGCCCTTGATTTTTTAATATTTCTCTTTAAAACTGAATTATTATTGTGTTTTTTCTTCTAGAAAAATGCTTCCACTTGGAGAATATATCAAACTGTACATGTTCATTGCAAAAAACAATTAACTATTACCAAACCAATCATCTCATGAACTTATTCTTTCTTGCGTTGTTCTAATTGCGATCCCTTAGAGTTGTTCAACTATTTCTCCTTTTAACCTTTCTCCTCTCTTTCTTACCCATCATCCCTTCCTCTTCCTCTCGTTCCCATTTTCTTTCATCTTTATCATCACTTTCTCTATTAATGATGTAATAAGTTCATCTACAATATTATTACTTTGAAAATTATTGTAATATGACAATTAGTATACCGGTACCTGTATGTAGTGATATGCAAATTTACAAAACATGTTTTACACTAATTTAAAAAAAATATATATACAATTTTAAGAAAATGGCACAGGAGAGGCAATATTTGTTTTCTTCTTCAAAATACTTCTTGTGTTTCATTCACACTGAATAGTTTTATTATCTTTAATAGCACACATTGTAATGATAATAATAATAATAATAATAGCTCACATTTATAATGAAAATATTTCATTATCTTTATTTCAGGAAAGACATTGCTTTAAGCAAAATGACTCTATTTCCAAGTCTCAAGATATTCTTGTAAAATGTACTTCAAAGAAATTTATATCAATTGTTTCACCATGATTTTTGTCTAGTTTCCCAACACTTTCCTCATATCCAATCATGATTAATTTAACATCTTCAAAATCCTCAAATTAATGAACAACTAATCCGTGGACCTTGAATATAATATATTCACTTTGCCGTGTATTAACTGGCTTTAAATTTGAAGTATTCTTGTTGCAGCTCACTCGAATATGACTATTAATATCAATGAGCATGTTTTTCAAAATGTCGATGGCGTTGCATACTTTTTAAACCAATGCAATATACTTTCCGTACCTTTGTTAGCACAAAATCTCACAAACAACTTGAAGCATTGGTAAACATTGCTAGGCTTATCTGCGAGACATATTTTGTTTGCCAGTAAAGACCTCTTTGTAATAAAATCCTTGGAAAAATATAGAGCTTGCAATGTTGCATTCTATTTTTGTATCCTTTCAATGCAATATTTGAAAAATTGTTTTGCACACAGATCCTTTTTGAAAACATCTTTTGTAAGTGAACTTTAAAATATGTTGTGCTCAGAGATCCTTTTGTCACTCTTTTGTATGCAAAAATGATCAAGCTTAAAGTTGGTGTTCTTAAGGTGCGTTGTTGCGATTAAACGTTGACCCTAGGGGCCGCGCCTTCCTCCGTTTCGGGCGTTTCCTCGCCCTGTTTTGTCTTCACGGGCGACTCCTCCACCGCTTCGCCGTTCACCCTTTCCTTAGACATGGACAAGCCCAGGCTGGGGAGGAAGCTCTTAGGCTTGGGCGTGGTCTTGGTTGGGACCGATGGTGACACCCCTGCTGCCTGCTCCACATCAGAGGTGTTGGGGATGCAGTCCTCTTCCTCCTTTGCAGCAGCGCCACTGCTTTTCCTAGATAGCATCACCTTGGAGTTCTTCTGACGAAGTTCGGCAGCGTGCTTCAGGCACATGTTGGAAGATATCTCTGTGATGGAAATCTGTTGTGAACAAGGACATCAATATTGGAAATAATATCGCTAGTGATATTCGTTTGTCTTGCAATGTATGGACAACAAAAGATCGTGACATTCCGTGCGCCGCTGCAACACTTTGTCAGGTGATAAAATATATTGTAAGCAAGCATGTTTTATATTCTACGGGCGGCTCCAACGGTCAAGTAATTCGATCAATAATTGGAACAATAACAGACAAGGGCAAGGCCTATTAATGGTTGAGATTTTAGATTGGATGTTTCAGTAAAGTTTGAACTCGACACCTATAGCTTGAAGACCTGTCTGAAGGACCCCACAGTATTGCTTCAATCATACTGTGTACGAACTCCTACCTTTGATGGTAACCTCTCCAAAACTGGAAGATTTGAGGCTGTGATATCTCGGTGTATCATTAAGCAAAGGGATGACAACAGAATAGCAACTTACAGCTTCAAGTCATATCAAATCCTATATACATGTATACCTTTGAAATCAAGGTAACAGAAATATACATACACATATATTTTCGGGGGAAGAATGGAAATTTATATTATCAATATAAGCAAACAATTAGTGGATAGTGAGGCAATGACGTCAGAGCCTCATGAGTGAGTTGCCAATTTGTCTAGTGATTTTCAAAGTTTTTCATGTCATTAAAAATTCATAACTCTTTTGCTTCTATTGACAAGCCCTTTAACTCCATCTGGGACTGTTTTCATAAAACCTGTTACCAACAGCACATTGAAATAATTGTTTTACTGAAATAGCTGCAATTCATTAGCTGTGAGCAACAGTTTCAGAGAGTTATAGTATAGTATTAATGACTGCTTTGAGAGAAATAGTTGTTTTTATACGCTCAAGGGAAGGTTAGAATTGTGCTATTGCCCCGAGGCGTGCCGAGGGCAATAGCCCAATTGTAACCTTCCCGAGAGCGTATACAAACAACTATTTCTCAAATATTAAAGCAGTCATTAATACTTTTATATGCCGAAAAAAAATAGACTAAAAAATAAAAAATAAAAAATAAAAAACTTTTGTCGAAGATGGGATTCGAACTCTTGCGTACAAAAGGTGATGTATCTAAAATCAGCGCCTTAAACCGCACGGCTATCGCGCTCTGTTACCATACTTAACAGTTTTCTCTAATATATACATTAAAATGGATTTAAAACGGCTTCGCGTGATTGATTCGCGGCTGCTCCATTAATCGGGCCCTTCTTTTACTTTTGCAATGCGTATTGGCACGAACTTAGATCAAGATCTATCGGCAGATGTTGTTTTGGCTTAATGGAAGTTTATTTTCGTCTTCATGTCAACAATGCAAGATAAAAATTGTCGGTTAGATCGATCGAGATTCAAATGTATTGAAATTACCGACCAATTCTTCGTACACGTACGGTATCCTCGAACGCTCAGACCATTTTTTAACATGTAAACCTATGGGGTAACCATGGAGACTGAACTATTTTACCGGTAACCATGGTTATTGGGATTTTGAACTGTTTTTTAACCATGGTTACCGGGAATTTTCGGGAACAGTCAAAGTTTATGAATGCAATTTCGACCAATCAGATGGCTGGATTACTTAAGTGAGGTATATAACACTTGTTATTGATAACAAATTTCACGAAACAGGGCCCTTTTTTTCCTTTTTCTAATGAACTTATAATTACATTAAACAATTACAATTAACATTTTAAAAAAATTTGGGAAGAACAAAATAATGGCATCTAACAATATTCCTCCCTCCCTCTTTTGAGTAAGAAAATTGGGGGAAAATAGGAAAAAACAGGAAAAACAGGTAAATAAGGAAAACATTAGGAAAATAGGGGTAAAAATCAGGGGCGGGGAGGAACAAACAAAATTGGGGGGGAAAAAAAAATCGGGAAAACGATTTAAATTGGATAAATATCAGGCCTGTTTCCCAAAACTTGCAACTGAATCACTGAATAAAATTGGGAGAACTCACTAGAGACCGTTTGCTGTCCACATCTAGTCTCCCGTCCAGAATAGGCCCGTTGTATTCAGCGTTCCGCACCACGAAGAGGCGTGGCTCTTCTGCGGCAGTGTACTGGAACGTGAGCTTGTGAACGGTGCGCGAGATGAGGCAGGGACTCCGGATCTCTTCACGCGTATGAGCATTGTAAGCCGTGCCCTAAATGACAGGATTAAAATGAAATAAATTTACAAACCGTTAGCCCCGTTGCATAAAACTTACCACTGATGGTAAGTTTGTCATCAATGGTAACTACATGGAAACCTTGATTTTGATTGGCTGTTCAGCCCTGTTACCATGGTAGTTGCCATTGATCGCAAAGTTGCCATCAATGGTAATTTTTACGCAACAGGCCCCAGATTTTCTTCTTTGAATTGGCAACATATTTGTACTCAAGTGGTGAGTGCTCTTGTAAATTGAGCATGGGATGAGGCATGGGCTTTTTTTACACGTGTGAGTGTGGTACACTCTACCGTAGCTAGGTAATGGCATGAAATGAATGTATAACCTCTATAAGCTTCTCTTTTTTTAATTGGCAACACGATATTTGCACTGGAACCTGAGCTTGTAGACAGAGCAGGGGATTTAAATAGGCAGGGACTTTGGATTTTTCGACATAAGTGAGCATTAAGCCGTACCCTCAAAGACAAGATTTTTTTTTTAATGTTTTTTTTATTATGTTAAGATTTTCTTTTTAGATTGGCAACAGGAGTGTCAAGTCTGACAGACATGAACGCTCTAGTGACTGAGCCAACTCACCGGTGGAGCATTATAAGCTATACCCTCAAGTTTTCTTCTTTAAAGGCTTTATTTAACAATGGCCCTATGTGTTCTCAGTGTCTGGGATATGGTGTAATATCAAAGCCCTAACAAAATTGCGCTTCAAAATGATCATGAAGTGCCTCAAAAAAGTAAAAATCTTTGAGCAACCGGTTTTACCATACTCATTTTTCCCCCAATAGACTGTAGGGTTATAAAAACCATTAGGAAAACAAATTTTGAAATTTGTAATTCCAACCATAGATATCTTGATAATCAGACAGGTGATTGGCTTGTAAAAGTCCTGGGATTCATGTATGACCTAAGGTTTATAATTATGATTGCAGCATGAGCTAAATCCAGGATTTTTGTTTAGAATCTGAGGCACAGTTACCCAATCCCTTTACAAGTACGATTAAACTTTAATTCAAATATCAGGATTGAACGGGTAGGCTAATTAAAGGTAGTATAGAATGTTGTACTTAATTGTAAGAAAGCAACTTACATTGATAAGAATGACATCTTCCAGGGTTGCATCGATGTTGAATTGAAAATGAGACTCCGCTAGGTCCACAAGGTAGCCACGCTCGAGATGTAACTTAACTTTCTCCTGGGTCCAGCCCTGTGTGAAACATTGAAAAATGGCAGTTGAATTACTTGTTTGTTTGATTGATATTATTACTGGGTTCAAATCACAAATACAAGGTTATACATTTTAACATAAGTATTACATACATAACAAATCATGTCTAATAATATTAGGTATACAACAACCATAATACAACCATAATATTACTTGATTGATATAGTAAGAGTTCATTATACAACTTATCTGTACTCAACCACATTTGATAAATTATTTGATTACGAGGTGTGAGTTGAATTGATAGCAATGGTTTGAAGGTAATAATAATAATATGTTTTTCTATCGCGCCGTCTATCTAGAAAATCTATTTGGAGGCGCATTTATTTTTACCCCGGCTTTAGCCTAGCTGCCATTCCCTTACAAAAAAGTTGTATAGAATTCTATAGAACGCTTTATAGAGTTCTATAGAACTCTATAACATTCCAGATTCTCTATAGAACTTTTAAGGATTCTCTATAGAAAGCGGTTTCCTCTATAGAATTCTATAGAATAAGTTTTCTATAGATTTAAATTTCTATAGAAAAGTTAATTCTCTATAGAATTTTTAAGGTTGTCTATAGAAATCAGTTTCCTCTATAGAATTCTATAAAATAAGTTTTCTATAGATTTAAATTTCTATAGAAAAGTTAATTCTCTATAGAATTTTTAAGGTTGTCTATAGAAATGAGTTTCCTCTATAGAATTCTATAGAATAATTTTTTTATAGATTTATGATTTCTATAGAAAATTTAATTCTCTATAGAATTTTTAAGGTTGTCTATAGAAATGAGTTTCCTCTATAGAATTCTATAGAATAAGTTTTCTATAGATTTAAATTTCTATAGAAAATTTAATATAAAAAATGGCGTCCCCACTTCTCTATAGAATTTTTAAGGATGTCTATAGAAATCAGTTTTCTCTACAGAATTCTATAGAATAAGTTTCCTATAGATCTAAATTTCTATAGAATTCTATAACATTTTTGTTCTATATGAAGATATGTATCTCATGCATATTCATGATAATTTGCATGTTTTCACAGAAAATGTAATTATCATGATCTGTCAAGCAAATGTGACAATTAACATCAATTTTGTGATTTATATTTTCTTAGACCATTATTGACAAATATAATATATATGATTTTTTTAAACATGTAACTTAAGACGTAAAATAGTTATATTAATATAAATATTTTACTAACCAGTAAAAACATGTATAATTTTGTACATATGTATGTAAGATCTCCCACTACTTAATTAACAATATATACTCAACTGTATTTTGCTTCAAATGATCTTTGTGATGGAGCAATTGCAGGAGTCTATATAAATATGGTTTAGTCGGTGGCCAGATGTCATGTAATATTGATTATCAATTTATTATTGGTCGCTACTGAATAATAAACTGGTTTTCAACTGGTAAAAAATGGTCTATAGAATTATTTACAAAAAAACTTATATAGAATTCTATAAAAAAAATCTGTAGAATTTCTATAGGCCATTCTATAGAAATGTTTTATAGATATTCTATAGAGATCCGTTATAGATTTCTATAGAATTTGTATAGAAAAGTGGCCCACTTTTCTATAGAATCTCTATAAAACATTTCTATAGAATTGCTATAGAATAAAATGGTCTATAGAATTCTCTACAAAAAAATTCTATACAATTCTATAAAACAAATTCTATAGAATTTCTATAGGCCATTCTATAGAATATTTCATAGAGATTCTATAGAGGTCCGTTATAGATTTCTATAGAATTTGTATAGAAAAGTGGCCCACTTTTCTATAGAATCTCTATAAAACATTTCTATAGAATTCTATAAAAAAAATTCTATAGAATTTCTATACGCAATTCTATAGATTTTTTTTAATAGAATTCTATAGAACTTTTTTGTAAGGGTTACAGCGCTCCAGCATTTCAAGAAATGAAATCCTGCTAGGTACCCATTCAACATACCTGGGTCAAGTGTGGCAAACAAAGATTAATGCCTTGCCAAAGGACATTAGTGCCGTGTCAGGGATCGAACCACAGCCTTTGAATTTCAAGTCAAGTGCTTAAACCATTCGACTACGACACATAAGGGAAGGGGTGTGAGAAGATCCAGCTATCAGATAGCTAGGCGGCCATCTGTTACTTGAAGAGTGGAGTTCTGATGGCCACCACGAGCCACAGACGATAATTATCATCATCATCATCATCATCATCATTATCAGCACAACTATAACATACCTACAAACATTTGAAAATAAGAATTAGGAATTTCTAGCAGGGTATGCCTTCGAAAATAAGAAATCTGTACCCTTAACCCTTACTGTACTGGGCTATTTCGAGCACTCTCTGACTGGGGGGGGGGGGGGCCTCGGAGGCCCCCCCTTCCTATGATCTCGGCCGTCGAATGTCCGATGAACGCGAAAATTTGCATGATTGTAGATATTTATGTAAGGAACAAGATGGTATAATTAGTTTTTTCCTAATATGCAAATTTTTGTCGTTATAGCCTAATTAATTATGCAAAATGCTAATTTTATGCATAATTTTACAGAAAACTCTACATACACCTGTATTTGTCCGTAGACTTGTGAAGAATCTTGAAAATGTATTGAATAAATGTTTCCTTCATCTCAAATTCATGAGGTTTCATTATTTTTATGATATTTGAAAATGCATAGGTTAATTTGCATACATCATGAATACGCAAATTACGCATTCATGAATATCTAATCTGGTAATATACAGGGAACTAGAATCATTACAAAAATTGTCAGACTCCACTTTTGTTATGTTGAAACTCATTGTTCATATGAAACTTCTTTTCTAACACAAAAAATAGTTATTTGATGTAATTAATAATGATAATTAATGCAAATTTGATGCGATTTTCAACTTTTTATTTTCTTATGTATTTCATTGTTTTTTATTTGTCATTATATCTCTTGTTTTATTTCTAATGTATTCTTTTGTTCTGAAATATATCAAGTTACTTTGAGAAACATATAAAAGCAATTTGATATCAATTCATATCTTCACATTTCTGCTTGTACATGAATATATGCAATTATAGCACTTTTTTGATGACATGCGCATACTAATTGTTATGTAACACCTTACAGGTATATCCGATTTCGACGAAAATGGTATCAAAATGTGCGTAAGACTTGAAGGAAAAAAGTCATGAAACGCCAATTCAAAATTCCGAGCGGTTGCGGCGCGATCTCCAAAAATGTCGAGGGGGGGGGCCTCCCAGGCCCCCCCCCCCCCAGTACAGTAAGGGTTAACAGGCATTCACACATGCAGCAGCAGTGTAACTGGCAATACGCTATAAATCTGTACAAAAAGCGAATACAAATTCGCTGCTCTATCATGTAGCCATTCCACACACACAATATATGAACTCTCAAATTGTGGCACATGATCAAGCTTAATTGGCTTAAGCAACAAAAAACAAAAAACAAAACAAAAAAAACCCTGAATATTCTGAATTGTTAGGTCCTAGAAATCCAGAATATCAGAATATTCCGGATTATTCGGAAGGGTTGGCAGGTATGCTATCATCATCATTGTTAATATCACCATAGGCCATCAGTTCCATAATGAGGGGGGTGGCAATTCTGATGGCCACCACATGCCACAGATGATAAGTATCACCATCACAACTATCATCATCATTGTTGATATCACGATACCTACCTGAAAGGCCATCTGTTCCATGATGAGGGGGGTGGCGATTCTGATGGCGACCACACGCCACAGACGATACTCCAGCGATGGGTAGAGGGTGAATGTATCGATGGCAATGTTCATGTCCTCCACAGTGATGAAGTATACCTAGGATATTAGGAATGCAGAAATCAGGGGTTAATCATCTTGCCATATGTAAGAAGATATCATCCAAAAGTTGAAGCCAATTCAAATAATAATAATATACCGTACTTATATAGGGCATATCACAATATGTCTTTATGTGCTGTAAGCAAGAGTAAGAAGGAAAGGTGGATAGAGTAACATAAGAAGAGTGAGATATACTCAACATACTTCCTCTCATTAAAGTTGGAAAGTATTTTTGAAAAGAAATGTTTTAAGAAATGTCCATGGTTGTCTTGTCTGGCTACATGAACTACTATTTTATATCATATAAAAGTTAGAGCGTCGACATGGAATATTTGTTTATTTTGATATTCAGCCAGTCTATTTTTACTTTTTGGTGTTGTTGAAATGTCATCACCGATATGCTGTAATCTTAAGAGATAACATTTGAGAGATGCCCCGATTTTGTCACATCTCTACCATAACTTAGGTATGATTTCATTAGTATTTCCAAGAGTAGCTATTTAGTCTAAAAGGTTTTGATAATGCTGTGGAACTGCTTATCAATATTCAAATAAAGAGCTATGTTATTCCAAATCGGATTGTAGTCAGATCATGTAAAGTTCAGTGAGCTTAACATGGTATTAACAAAATTATTATGCTCATTGGAAATGCACATCGAATTGTTCTCATATATATATATATATATATATATATATTTTTTTTTAAATATAAATAAATAAATAAATAAATACATATATTGTTGTATGTGTATGTATACAGGGGGAGGCAAGGGGGAGCGAAGTTTGAGGCAAGGGGGAGGGGAAGAGGAAGGGGGAGGGGATAGGGAGGGGGAAGGGGAGGGGGAGGGGTCTTAGTAAGTCACCTGCACTGTTGTTTCACAGGTGACTGTTGCATTGCGAGGTTTCTTCGTGAGGACACCCATCTCGCCGATGACGTTACCCACAGTCAGGTAGTCCTCAAAGACCTCATTCTCTTCGCTGCCAGCGGTCACTGGAGGGTTGTCATGGTCAAGGAAAGCACTTCGGCCGTAGAGCTAGAGAAGGAAGGTGAGAGAAGGTGAAATAGAAGGTATGAGCAACATAATTAGAGTTGAATATAAGAAAGAGAAGAAAGAAGACCTCATTCTCTTTGGTGCCAGCGGTCACAGGAGGGTTGTCATGGTCAAGGAAAGCACTTAGGCCGTAGAGCTAGAGAAGGAAGGAAGGAAGGTGAGAGAAGGTGAAATAGAAGGTATGAGCAACATAATTAGAGGTTGAATATAAGAAATAGAAGAGAGAAGACCTTGGTCTCTTCCGTGCCGGCAGTCACACGAGGGTTGTCATGGTCAAGGGAAGCACTTAGGCCGTAGAGCTAGAGAAGGAAGGAAGGTGAGAGAAGGTGAAATAGAAGCGATGAGACAGAGGATAACAGACGAGGGAGAGAAGGTAGGTGAAGAAGGAATGAGATGGTTTAAATTGGAGGATAAATATGAGAAAGAGAAGAGAGAAAGAGGAAATAAGGAGATAAGGTAAGAGGAAGGATGAGACACAGTAAGAGAACAAGAGGAAGAATAGGAGACAGAGAGAGGGGAGAGAGAAAGGGAGGAGTGAAAGTGACAAAGACAGAGAGAGAAGGTACGATAAGCAAGGATGTAACACAGGTGCAGAATGAGATGAGGGATAAGAGATTAAGAGATGTAAGACAGATATGTGGCATTGAGAGAAGATGAAATAGACGCGGCGTAAAAATCAAGAGGAACAGGAGCAAAAGAGAATAGAGAGACAGTGACGGAACAAGAAGAGGAATAGGTAACAGAAGATTGAGAGATCAAGGTCAGAAAAGAAACAGTAACAACACAAGAGGATAAATAGGAGACAGAAAAGAAAGAAAGGACTGACAGAATGTATGAAGCGAAAGAATGACAGAGAAGGAACATCAGAGAAAGAGGTTTGAGATATTGCTCTTGATTGATTGTCATGGGTTGCTTACCTTGACGAGTCCTGATACAATAAGGAAGAGGCCGTCCGACTCGTCACCCTCTCTAACGATCACTTCACCATAGTCAAAGTGAAGCAGACTTGCACGGGCCTGGTTGGTTGAAACATAAACAAACATAAGTCATAATTCTTATCTTAAAGGCATTGTTTAACAATGTTTCCATTTTTACATATCTGAGATGCATGACTCGACGTGTTAGCTGTGTCTGTGATATTGTAATAAAATAATAAAAACGTTACTTATAAAGCGCTTACCACCAAAGTCTCTAAGCGCTATACACACAAAATAGACTGATATAAAATTACATCTTATACAAAACTAAAAATGCAAATCAACATACAAATTACAATACATATGGAATACACGTCAAAGTGAACAGAGTTAAATAATCATCGAACGCAATTTTGAATAAATGTGTCTTGAGACTAGTTTTGAATAGGTTAACGGTTTGACAGTTTTTTTACATTTAAAGGTAATCTGTTCCAAAGTTAAGCAGAAGCTTTGCGAAAGGAGTGATTACCATAAGAAAGAGTTGACACAGAAGTAGATACAAGGTTTAATTGTGAAGATGACCATAAACTGCGTGAGGGTTTGCATTCCTCGATTAATTCTTGCAGATAAATTGGTGCCAATTCATGAATGCATTTGTAAGTTAAAACTAAGATTTTGTACATAATGCGGTACGTCACCGGCAACCAATGCAATTCGCGAAGTACTGGGGTGATGTGTTCACAAGAACGCGTGCGTGTTACAAGCCTGGCAGCAGAGTTTTGGATTCTCTGGAGTTTTGCAATGTGCGAGTCCGGAAGGCCATAAAGAAGGCTATTGCATTGATCAAGATGGCATGTAATAAATGCATGTATAAGCGTTTCGGTAGATTTTTGATCAAGAAAATTTCTAATACGACCTATCTTGTACAAGGCATATGAAGCTGAGCGACAAATATTTTTTGTATAATCATCCATCCTAAGATCGATCATTTTCAAAGATGACACCAAGGTAACGTGCACTTTTGACAGGTTGTATCGGAACATTAGCAATTTCGACAGATGGTAAATGGGAGGACTTTCTGAATCGAGATGTTACATATACCTCAGTTTTATCCTCATTTAACTTCAAATCATTAGCAGTGGACCAAGCTTTGATATCATTTATACATCTTTCAAGTTTAGTAATAACAGAATGGTCGGTTGTGTATTATACAACTCACTCCTAGATCCTAATTAAATGATTGGGTCATGTGCGATTAATGTGTGATTAATTTACTGAGCCTATTCCACGCTTTTTCATTAGAAAGCGTGCAATAGTTTCCAGTTCTTTTAGTGCGTGTACATGATGCGCAGTAGTGCGCGTGGGGTTAGGATGCTTATCTATATGTGCGCACTAAACTGAGCCTATTAAACTTGAGATTTATTTGCCAGCCATACTGTCACAAAACAATCTTAAATTAATTTTTTTTACATCTAATAGCAAGGATCTAGGAGTTTCATTATATATGTAAAGATGCATGACCCTACCATACCTGCCAACATTTGAAAATAAGAATTAGGAATTTCTAGCACGGTATGCCTTTGATTTTATTTTTAGTGAAAAACTATAATAGCAAATATTCATTTAACATCTCTAGGTAACTGTCTGAAATTAGGTGGCAGAGTGGTCTTAAAGAGAAGGGAAATTGCTGTCTCGTATATAAGACAACGAAAGAGAGAGGGTGAGAGAAAGAGAGAGAGAATGAGAGAGAAAGAATGAGAAAATGAGAGAGGCAGACAGAGAGAGAATAAGAGAGAGAGACAGAGAGACAAAGAGAGAGAATAAGACAGAGAGACAGAGAGACAAAGAGAGAGAGAGAGAAAAAAAACAAAAAAAAAACTAATGCATGAAAGGCAACGGCTAAGACCGATAACAACCACTTACCGTACTATGTTCAGCTTAATTGTGAGTGCATGCACAGTTCTATCTTACCTTGATGAAGTCGATGAGTTTCATGTCTCCAGCTAGCCACGAAACGTTCTTGAGAAGGTTCTCGGGAGGCGGAGGAGGAATACTGGATGGAGCGTTCATCAATCTCTTCATCTTGATCTCAACCGTCTGGATATTTAACCAAAAGAATTATTTCAAAAAGAAATTTGTTATTAAAAAATCTTGACTACAAAACAAAATGAACAAAAGGGAAATAAGTACAGTTTCAAGGCTTAATGGACCCCATATTGAAACATGCAGACACTACATTGATATTAAACATGGACATATGACAGAAGATTTCTAGATGAACTTTGAGGCAATTAACTTTGAGATTTTGCCAGCTGGTAGTTAATTGCGTCTGCTGGGCTGGATTTTGATCTAAATTCTTAAAGCAATCACTGCTTTGATTGGAGCCGTGTGAACCTGCATTATTTGTGGGTTGCTTTTATTAACAAGGTCATGGAAACTTGAATGTTAAAACTATGATGGTGCCATGTGAACATAGCTATTATAGCTGAATAGTGTGAACATGACAATAGGCCTGTCTTCATCAGCTCGAGATTGCCAAATATCCCGCTATTTCAACTATCCCGATCGCAAATTATCCAGTTAGTAATCGCGTCTTCATCAGCCCGAAGTTGCAATTAGTGGGATATTTGGTCGGGATAATCATCCCAAGATATGTTGGGATAGTTTGCAAAATATCCCACTATTTGGTAAAATATCCTGCTATTTGTCCGGTGCGTCTTCACCAGCCCGAAGACTCGCAATTTGCACAAACGCTGAGCAAAATATCTTGAGCTAATTTCTCAAGGTCGAGTTTCAAGTTTCGAGGTTGAATCTCGAGCTGATGAGGACGCGATTTGTAACTTCGGAATTATTTCCCAAATCAGAAATAGCGGGCTATTTGGCAATCTCGAGCTGATGATGACACGCATTTTGTGTCAGCGACTGACCAATTCCAGTTTGTGAGCTTCCATCTCGTCAAGCAAGCCCGCCCCCTGGAGTTCATGGATAGTCTCGCGGGAGTGGTTGAGAATGGTGCGGATGGCCTGACGAGTCTTGACTGACACGGCAATGCCTGGGTGCTCTCGCTGTAGAAGGCCTGTGAGAGATCAGAGAAGTATTACTAAGAAAACTGCTTACTTAAACCCAGGAGAAAACGTTATACCTAAAGGTACCCATAAGACGCGCTCACATATGCACATTTTTTAGCATACTCTAGTATTCTTTACTTCACACTCTCGATTATAAAGAGTCACGATTGATTCAAATCAATGGCAAGTCCTCCAATCAATCGCAAGTTTGCAGTCTCCTATCTCTTATGTACATAGTTACAATCGACATCAATTGCAAATAAGATGCGATTAAAGGTAAAGACCAGTATTGGAAACGCCCCAATTTCAAAAAATGAAATGGAAGCTCTCATTACCAATCATGTGAAAGAATATGTTTTGACTTATACATGATGATAAAAAATTTGCCGGGAAACCGCCTAATTCATATATTTGGTAAATTTGTTTCTCTCATGGTCTGTGAGAGATATAGGGTAGTCCCATATACATCTTTCTGTGTATAGTGCTTGTAACTTTTAGAAGAATGGGCCAAATTTCTTATCATTTTGATGATTCCAGAACCTTGCAGATGCTAGATGCTAGATGATCAACCTTTTCTGATCGATTCCACAACGTTTCTTTCACAATGCAATCCCATGACCATAACTGGTCTTTACCTTTAATATCAACTAATTGTAAGACAGGGCCCTGTTCTGAATGTGAAGCTTTGATCTCAATATCTCTCTCTCTCTCTCTCTGCATTCATAATGGTTCACCAGTCTTTCTCAAGACTTGATCCACTCACGAAAGAACGCCACTTGTAATCTATCTACCTCTATCCATACAATATCAAGTTGTCCTTGATTCACAGGCCGACTCTAAAAGAAAACCCCTCTCTCACTTTCTTTTCTTTTCCCTCCTCTCCTTTGAAACCCAATTTCTTTTCAGGGGCCCGTTTCACAAAGCCTTTTTACAATGACAAAATCAGTGACAAATCTGGTGATAACGAATCAGAAGCAAGGATTTCAGTAGCTTATAACAAAAACTGTCATTTGTCACTGATGACAAGTTTTGGAAACGCCTCCAGGACTACCCACATGGCGAAACCGTAAACTTATTGATTTTAACTTTTTTAGACCTGTATAACATATCTATGCACATGAGTTGGCATAGGACCTTGGTGGGCACAGCTACTCCTTTCACCCCCATTTGCCATTTATTTAATAAACACACAAACACAAAAAAGGAGGGGAAAAAAGGGGAAAAACAGGTGGTTTACCATGGGATATGTGAACAAGTCTAAATTTATCCTAAACATATATTGTTGTGGAGAAAAATCCTGGAGTAGTGTCTTTTAAAACTGTTTCCCTGCAGCCTGCAAGACTTAAACAAGACTAAAATCCTGATTCTGATCCTGACCTACCTAATTCCTTGACCACCTGGAGTCGTCCAGTCTCTGAGATATGTTTGAGCTCTCTCAGGATCTTCTTGTTGTCAACCATGCGATCGATGATCTTGCCAACCTCCTCTTCACCGATGATGTAGCCCTTGCCGACGTCGTAACCCAGGCTGAGCTGGTTGTTGATTTTACCATTGACCACTAGAATCAGCTTAGGGATCAGGGCCTAAGAGTTTGGGATACACCAATTTTTAAAAGTAGAAAAACATATTGTTTGGATATTATGTGTTCAAGAAAACTATCTACTAAGGCAAATTTTTTAAACCTAGAGCTAGAGATATGGTCTAACACTATAGGGTCTTATCTAACGCCCACGTCTGATCTAACACTAAAACTTACACTATGTCAATCTGTCTATCATATCCTCTAAAAAATAGTATTAACACAATAGTACTATTATCGAAACCCAGACAACTCGACCCAATACCCTGGACAACTCACTATGGTCAAGTTGACCAGGGTGGGGTGCCTTTTCAGACAGCTCGCCCCACTTTTTTCCCCTCATGATTTCTAGATCTAAAATCCCTCATCTTTGATGAAATTGTCATTTTATGTACCAGTATTCATTATGCTTTTGTAAACACAGTCATCACAGGAAACATGGAAATTGTGAGTCTCAGAAAAATGTTAACGCAATTTCTTCCCACCATATGGTTCAACACCATAGCCTAGTTGCCATCTGGTGTAACACTTGATATTTGAAAGCTAGCACCCATACCTGACAACCTGCCAAACATTTACACTACCATCTGGTTTTAACAAACACAATGTAGCACTACTCTCGGGTTTGCAACTAGCACTATAACTTTACAACTGAGCCCACCTCGTTTAACACTGTAACCCGAACATAGGTTTAACACCAACACTGTAACCAGACCATAGGTTTAACACTAACACTGTAGCCACAACCTTTGGTTTAACACTAAAACTGTAACCTGACCATAGGTTTTAAACCACCACTGTAGCCACACCTTTTGGTTTAACACTGACACTGCAACCCGACAATAGGTGTAACACCGACACTGTAACCCAACCATAGATTTAACACTAACATTGTATCCACACCCTTTGGTTTAACACTGACACTGTAACCCGACCATATGTTTAACACTAACACTGTAACCCGACCATAGGTTTAACACTAACACTGTAGCCACACACTTTGGTTTAACACTAACACTGTAACCCGACCATAAGTACAACACTAACACTGTAACCCGACCATAGGTTTAACACCAACACTGTAGCCTACCATAGGTTTAACACAAACACTGTAGCAACACCCTTTCATTTAACACCAACACTGTAGCCACGTACACCATTCAATTTAACACCAACACTGTAGCCACACCCTTCAATTTAACACCAACACTGTAGCCACACCCTTTAATTTAACACCAACACTGTGGCCACACTCTTCGATTTAACACCAACACTGTAGCCACACCCTTTGGTTTAACACTGACACTTGATACCTAGCACCTGTCCGTACCTTAGTGAGCCTGAGCATCCTCAGGCCTCGTAGGAGTCGGAAGAGCTTTACGACCTTGATAGAGGACAGGTTGATGGTGATTGAGCCTTTCAAAAGTGTCTCTGCAATGATGATATCAACCAGAGCTACGACCAGGATGAACGCATCAAACTTGTTCCAGTGGCTCACGATGTAGTGACGACCCAATCCAAGAATCTGCAAGTTTTAAATTAGAGTCTTAGTACCTGTAATAGTTTTATTTAAAATGAAGATGAGATATTTAATATATTTCGGTTGTGAATTACTCACTGATCATGAATGTGACAATAGACATGCAGAAATATTGCCATCATTGCATTTCAGACCGCGAAAAATATCTGCATTTATGCTAGAGATCTCACTGGTCTTACAAGACACAGAAATGTGAAGCGCCCTATGCTTAGGTCATGAAATTGTGCTGTAATGGTTTTTTAGATGTCTTTCCTGTGTCATCTTTTATTGGGACCTTATAAAACCTGTCTGCACTAGTTTGTCCAGGGGGATTAGAGCTTCCTGCAAGGTCACTAACAGATGGTTATCTCATCTTCAAATCAGCTCTCAATTAACACAAGAAAAAGGGGATCATGGGGGACCAACAGGCACAGATTAGGCATTGTTTGCTATGTAGAGGGCGCAAGTAACTATAAGTAGTGCAGTGGGGCTGAAAGATTTGAGACTCACTTTGACTATCGCTTCTATGGCATAGATAACGAAGAAGACGTAGTTGGAGATCCTCAGGGCATCCTCGATCTTCTGAAGGCTCGAAGGCTCGGAGCTGACGGTGGAACTGGGCGCAGCCGTGGTTGATACCGAAGCCATCTTGTCCTGAACGACAAACTCCATAATGATGGGCACGATGTTGAGGACGATGGCGATGTTGATGGTGACTTCGAAGGCCATGTGATGGCATATCTTGTACATAAGCTTGCCGAGTTTGTACTTGGGCATGGGGATGGCGGCAATCTTCTTCTCGCTGATGAGGTCCTCAAGCTTGCGTTTCTGGAAGTAAAAAAAAGCAAAGACATGAGCTAAATTCAGGATTTTGTTTCATAATCTGAGGCAATGTTACCCAATCCCTCTTAAATGTATATGAATGAACCAGTCTGATTGGAGCAAGAATGGTTCATTCATACATTTTAAAGGGATTGGGTTACATTGCCTCAGATTATGAAACAAAATCCTGAATTTAGCTCATGCTGCAATGATAATTATAAACCTTTAGCTAGGTCAGTCAGGAACTCCACGACTTTTATAAGCTGATTGCCTCTCTGATTATCAAGATATTCATAATTGGAAATCGAAATAGAATTTTGCATTTTTCTTACGGTTTTCATAAACGGTACAGTCTATTGGGGAAAACGAGTACCGGTAACATAAAACCGGTCACCCAAAGATTTTTACTTTTTTGAGGCATTTCTTGATCATTTTGAAGTGCAATTTTTTAGGGGTTCAATATTACACCATATCACAGACACTGATAACACGTAGGGCCTTTAAAACTAAGTTCATACCGTTCTAGCTCTGAAAGATTTTGTGTTAATTTCTTTGTAGATTTCATGTTGAAAAGATAATAAAGGCTTTATTATAGTGCAGCAACTTGTTGAAGGGCCATCGTAATAAGAACTGTTAGTCACTACATTCTTTAATGGAAAGGATCCTGTTCTAATCATGCATGGATTTGATTTGATTGGCTTTAATGTTGATGTAGGGTGGATCAAGTCATTAAGGGGGAGGGGGCTCTGCTGTCATGGAGGGGGGGGGGAGTACTGGTCATGAATACCACAACTGGTAGGGGTTGAGGGTGTAGAAATGGGTCCTATCATCTCCACGTTTTAACTTGTCTACCGATCTCCCTTTCTTTTTCAATCTCTCTCTCCCTTTAATTTTGTTTTGCCCACTTGGACCATATTGCCGTCATGTGCCCCCTCCTGGGACCCCTTTCACAAAGCCTTTTTATCAATGACAATTGACAAAAATCAGTGACAAATCTGCTAATAGCCAATCGGAAGCAAGGATTTCAGTAGCCTATAACAAAAACTGTAATTTGTCACTGATTACAAGTTTTGTGAAATGCCCCCCTGAAGTCATTACACTCACCAGCCAGGGGTAGATGCCTTTGATTTGCCATGACTTCTTGAGATCATCGACCAAGATGAACTGGTCCTTCTCATCGGCCGCTACCTCGGCGTGCTGAACCAGGAGACGCAATGCCTCCCTGGCAAGCATACCATGCTCAAACTGCTTCCAGTAGCTGATCTAAGGTTTGGTAAAAGAACAAGAAAAATCTTTAACAACACATAATGGCATATACAGTCAAACCTGCTTTAGTGACCACCTGTCTACAAAGACCACCAATCTACAAGGACCACATTTTTTGTTTCCCTTGAAAATGTTTTTTCATTGAAACATGTACTAAAGAAACCTGTCTTAAAAGACCACCTGTCTACAAAGACTACTTTTGGGTTTCCCTTGGGCGATCGCTATAGACAGGTTTGACTGTACAATGTAATTACTATATCAATATTATATTTGTGAATCTGTTGCAATATCCATTTATAAGGGCTCATAAAATAGTTCATTTTGTCTAAAAAAAATAGGAGAGTGCAAAATAAATACAATTGTCAGTATGAGAAGGCAATGCTACTTCATTCAGACCTTGTACCATTCTACTCCTCGTCGTAAGCCTATTCAAACATGACATTTAAAAAGAAAAATGCCACAAAATAAAAACCATTTTAAGTATAAATAAATGGTAAAATGAGGGCTGTACAAAACAAAGACCCCAAAGTAACTGACATCTCTGTGTAAAAAAAGGGGGAAGCTAATGCACTACGCTATTGTCATTTCCTTTCCCTCAACATTTTTTTTTTTTTTTGAGGCAGTTCAGAGCTTCATGTCTGAAGGAGTCTTTGTTGATATATCTTGCACACATCGAGGGTTCAGTGACACAAAAAACGTAACTCCATATCTTGCCAAAATGAGTATTTGATATCAAAATGTTCAGAAAAATGTGTGCTTTCCAGGAAACACAAAGACTTAACTCCACTCAACACCCCGTTGAAGTCAATGGCTAGTGAAAAATTGACTTAACTCCTTAAGGCCCAAGTGCTTCAGTGACACATGAACCACTTTTTCTCAAAATGGCCGAAATGAAGTTACGTCTTTGTGTCACTGACCCCTCGACATTACCTTTTCTGCTTTCAGCATCCTGAGCCTGGCTTCTTCCATCATGTCCGCGAACTCTCTAGGGGATGGTTCGTTGGGTACCATGGCCTTGCAGCCTGGACAGACGCTCTTCCTTTCACCAAGGGTCAATTCATCAGCTGGTGCGTTCTGCTCAAAGCAATCATAGAAATGAAATGACTTAATTCATGACTGATTTGATTTGATTTGATTTGATCTGCAAACTAAATATCTATACAGAGGATAGGCAACATAAGATAACATCCACAGATAACTTTAGCGGTGACACAAATGATACATGTAGGACAACCAAAGAGTTTACGATTACAAATCATATATTCATAGATCTTCATTTTGTATAATACAGTTCTGGGCCCCTGATCCAAATCAATTGCAAGTCCTCCAATCAATTGCAAGTGTGTAGTCTCCTATCTCTTATGTACATGTTCATACTTGCGATTGATATCAATTGCTAATAAGTTGCCATTAATATCAACTCTTTATAAGATGAGGCCTAGGTATAAATGGTAATAAAGGAGTACGTAGTGGATTTGAATCTACAGTGCTGGGACTCAAAATTTGTCCCAACAATATCCTCATTGATAATGCAAAGATTCTACTCTCTGTGCATTTTTTTCATGGAGATTGATAGCATCAGGGATATTTTGCGTGAAATTGGCGAAAACTACGTTTAATCCAGCATGTCTCTGGGCCAAACAAATGTCCAATCCGAGTACATTTAGGGGTCTAAGAAAAAAAAATGAACCGAACTTAAAATGTAAATTATTTGCCACATAACTGAGGATATTGAACATTTCTTTGTCTACCTCGTCATCACTCAAGGCGCTATACGGGTCACTGATCTCACAAGCGGCCGTAGCGATGTCCCAGTCTGCATCGGCAAGGAAGCGGTCAGACTTGAGCATGTTGAGGGTCCGGTTTTGACCCTCATGGATACGTCTCACGGCACCGGCCATGGCCAGACGCTTCGGGATGGAGATGTCACTCATGCCTGTGTAATGATGATTATAATGACATATTGAAAGCACATAATTGTCATGTATGATTTATTACGTCACTTTGCAAAAATAAGTTGTTTACTATATTTTGTACAGGCGTCTAAAAAAGTAATATTAAAAGGTGCATTTTTTAAATAATTGCTCCCAAGATTTAGGTAAATAATTTTGTTGAAAGATGGGTAAGTGAACAATGTTCCAATATCAATAACTCCTTTTTCATTAAAAGTGGATTTAGCTCCTTTTGGAATTAATCTCTTCAAATATCAATAAACTTTCAAGAATCAAAAGGTTGCATTCTTCCAATTAGACAGTCAGTCTTACCCAAGATTCTCAGTAGAGTCTGGATGGTTGTGGCATTGATGACAAGTGTCAGCACCACGATGCCCGCCGTATGGAAGAGGAACTTGCTCCCGATGACATCGTTCCCGGCCAGGTTCTCCACCACGAGGGCCAGGGCCAAACCCACGGCACCACGGAGACCGCCCCACGTCATGATGACCGCGTTGCGCCAGGTGAGACCGTAACCAATCCTCGACAGGATAGGACTGAATAGACTGATCACCATGCCCCTAAATGGTGTATGAATATTCAAACATTGATCATTTATTCATTTTAAAGAAATCGATTGCACAGTAGGTGTATGAATATTCATTTATAATTTGGGCTTTTTATGAATGCATATTGATATAAAGAGACAGTAGCCAAACCTTGACAGGATAAGACTGAAGACGCTGATCTCCATGCCCCTACATGGTCTATGAATATTTTATTTATTTATTTATTTATTTATTTCTATTCTTTTGACAGGGTAGCCCATTCACCAACAAGTAGTGGTCTTCCATGGGGCCCTGAATGAACATATTTACATCATTTATAACATTTATACAGAACAGTTACAAAAATAATACTCGTTTGCAAAATAAACATATATCATTAACCTAGTAAACAGTAATGTCAATAGGAAAATATTAATTAAGTCGCAGTTATGTGAATAAGTCATGTTAATATTACAGAACATGCACGTAGTGTATGTTCGGCTGAGCCATTCACAAATTACAACTTTGTTTAAACAATCTCTTAAATGAATTGACAGAGGAAGCCGTTCTCAACGAATTATCTAGCTTATTCCATTCAAATATGGAAGAAACAATTGGGCTACACTTATAACAATCAGTGTGAAATCTAGGCACACGTAAACATCCACTGTCTATTTGCCTTGTATGATGCTCATGCACATCATTAGGATTGATTAAGCCTACCTGAAGGTAAGAAGGTGCTAAGTTATGAACGCATTTATATATCATCATAACGCGACTTAACTCAAACCGCTTGTCTAGTGTCATCCATTTCAGACTTGTGAACAAATCAGCCGACGGTGTGTCATATGTCTTGTTCAATATTATTCTTGCGGCCCTCTTTTGAATTTTTTTTGCAGCTTAGTTGTATGAGATTGAAATCTGTTCGACCATACAACAGAGCAGTAATCTAATCGTGGCAACACTAGACTGTTATAAAGTAACTTTAAGGATTTTTGAGGCAAAAAACTCTTTGCTCTCTTTATCATGCTAATGTTTTTCTGGGTAAGTTTACTTACGTTTTCGATTTGTTTAGACCATTTCAATTCTTCATCTATCAAAAGTCCTAAGCATTTGGTGAATTGAATTCTTTTGATCAAATTGCCGTTTAATGAAATGGGTGAAAGATTCAATTTTCTTGAGATTAGCAGGAGAGCCTATTAACATGACACAAGTTTTTTCAGTGTTAAGAACAAGACGATTTTCCTTAATCCATGCCATGACTCTGTTTAATGCAACAGTTAATTTTTCTTCCACAACAGTTGCATCATTTGCACTGACGGTAAGTGTCGTATCGTCAGCATACATATCTATGATACCTTCAGGAGTACATTCAGGTAGACTATTAACATATATCGAAAATAAAAGGGGACCAAGAATTGAACCTTGTGGCACACCTAATTTGATGGTTGATGGATGCGACTTGGCTCCTTTGAATTGGGTCACTTGTTGTCGATCCCCTTAATATGATTTGAACCAATAAATAGTCCTATTACTGCAACCTATACAAGCTAGTTTATGTAGAAGTAGCTCATGGTCAACAGTATCAAAAGCCTTACAAAGATCTATGAAGGCAACTCCAGAAATTTCTCTGTTATCAATATTCAACGACCATTGATTTACAAGTTTTGCAAGGGCAGTAGCTGTTGAATGTTTAGGTCTAAAACCAGACTGATTAGGGTGTAATAATTGATTCTCGTCCAAGAATTCACTGAGTTGTTGGTGGATGGCCCTTTCTATAATTTTACTCATGATAGGTAATATTGAAATGGGGCGGTAATTATTCAAAGAAGAAATATCTCCAGATTTGAATATTGGTACTACCCGAGCCTTTTTCCATTCACGTGGAACAACTCCTGTAGACAGGGATTTGTTAATGATATCACAAAGAGACTCTGCGATAACATTCTTCGTCATCTTTAAAAGTTTACAGCTGATGTGATCTTCACCAGTTGCTTTATCTATACTCAAATTATCAATCTGTTTCAATACAAAATCCTCAGTACTCAAATTCAAATTAAATTGCGAATGAGTTGGACCAAAGTATATAAAAATTAACATAAGGGGCTACGTTTGTAACTATCAGTCTTCTATCGTGAGGAAGAGACTTTTTGGACCAGTCTTATAAAGACTTTATGATTGATTCAAATCGATCGCAACTCTGTACTAAAGAGATAGAACTCTTTGTGTGGTATTCTCATAAGTTAAGCCGGGACTAACTCCAGACTAAACAAGAATTTTAGTTCACACTTCTATGGAATGCTAGGTTTCATCTTCCTCCTTCAATATTCATGACAAAGATAATCTACCAAAGACTTTTTGGAAATTCAGTTCATACTCATATTATCTTTTTCTTCCCATTTCATTGCAAAATTAATTTTTTGGAGACTTTTCATTGAAGGATTAAAATAATCTGTACATGATAAATGAGTTGACAACAGGCACTCCATAAAAGTGTGGACTAACTTAGTGCGCCCTAACTTAGTACGCGCTACCAGAATACCACCCTATGAGTTTGCAGTTGAGTTTGCGATTTTATTTAAGCTTTCAAACAAAAATTAGTTTACTATGCTATCATGTGAACAAGTCTATAGAGTATTCATGTAAGCATCATTACCTACCTGATGATAGTGATGGCAAGATAGAGGATGATGAGATAGAACCAATCCATCTTATCAACAGCGACCAGGGCCTTCTGGGTAACGACAACGCCCACCATCATAAAGATAAGAGTGTTGGCTAGGTAAGCAAGCATCTCCCAAAACCTAAAGTAAAAAAAGGAAAAGGAAGATCAAAGATGACAATTTTCAAGGCACCACTCCTTAGGCATCTAATGCATCATAAAGATAAGGGTATTGGCTAGATAAGCAAGCATCTCCCAAAACCTAAAGTAAAAAAAGGAAAAGGAAGATCAAAGGAAGATGACAATTTTCAAGGCACCACTCCTGAGCCATCTAATGCCCTTCTCGATCCCATTCATCTCATTTATCTTCTTCACACCCATTGCAATATGTACCGGTAGTTCATCTTGGCGATAGGCTGCATAGCCCTATGGAGATTACTAGAAGAAGGAAAAGATACATGTAAACAAATATATTTCTCATTTACTTACATGCAGGTTTGCTTTGAAATGTTACTTTCATAATAAAAATAAAAATAATAATGATAATTCTGCTCATATAGCGCTTAATACATTGGCAAGTCTGAGTTTTTAAGCGCTTTACAGTTATTACCCCCGGTCACGGATTTTGGCGTGCCCGCACACAATGTATGCACTTTCTCCACTCCCTGTTCCAGCAAGAGCTACTAGGCTCAAATCGCTAAGCATACTACATTGGCTTTTGCATCCTACTGGGTACCCATTTAACACCTGGTTGGAAAGTGGCAAATGTAGATCAATGTCTTGCCAAAGGACATTAGTGCCGCGGCAGGACTTGAACCGTGGACCTTGTGATCCACAGTCCGGTGACATATCCACTCAACCACGACACCTCTACTATTTATGCCCGTTCATATGACACCTCAATCAGGAAATCAGGTTTTTTGTCTTCTTTGTGCATGGCTGATTGTCAACAAAACAGAGTTAAGTCTTTTGTCAACTCTGTTTGTTGCTACGGCAGGCAGCCAGTGAAAATGAATTCATTTAATCGAATTATGGAAATGCAAGCATTACTTTAAGCAAACAGAACTTTGTTATTCCTGGCTCATTTTTCGGTTTGGTTTTTTTCTGGTAAGCACTTTATAAGGGTATGATTAGTAATACTACGTTCATATCTAATACTGATTATATACCGCCAGTCCTTTCAATAAATTCTACTGATGAAACAAAAACAGTGGATCCTGGTTACTTTCTCAATGAAACCTAAATTACGTGAGAGCACAACTCATCATCACTATTGAATCAGTATCACCATGATCATTATTATAATTATTTTTACTAATTTTTCATCATAATGAATGTCATCACAATCCTCAATATTATCATTATTTCTACTACTCTTATCATCACCACCGCAATCATTAATATTGTTATTTCTTCTACTAATATAATCATAATCAATATCATCACCATTATCATTTTATCATTATTTCTACTACTCATATCAGTATCGTGATTATTATCATCATCGCTGTAATCATTGTTTCTACTCCTCTTAATAATAATAATAGCTCGTTCTTATATAGCGCTTTTCAGGACCACAGGCTCTCTCATAGGGCTTTACAGAAAAATATGTCATTACCCCTGTCATCGGATTCACGCTTACCCGCACAAAAAGTATGCACATTCTCCACTCCCTGGGGAGCATTCATTTTTACAAGCGCACACTTGCTAATCTAAGCACATTAGCTTTCGCATCCTACCAGGTACCCATTTAACAGCTGGGTGGAGAGTGGCAAATGTAGATCATTGTCTTGCCAAAGGACATTAGTGCCACTGCGGGACTTGAACCGCGAACCTTGTGATCCACAGTCTGGGGGCATATCCACTCGACAGAGACAACTCTATCATCATTTCCTTACCTGTGCAGGAAGACCTCAACCTCTGGGCTGATGGACGTCTTTTCAGCGTTGACGATGAGACCGAGCACGACCACGGCCAGGACGCCGGACACCTCGAGCCAGATGTCGCCGATGTAGTAGGTGAGGTAGGTGGCGGCCAGGGTGATGGTGATCTCGACCAGGGCGTCGTTGAAAATGTGTGACAGAAAGAAGACCGTCACTTTGGCGACGGCGTAGCCCCACAGTGGTCCAGCGACGGCCACTTGCAAGAAGTACAGGACGTTCTGGCCAACTGAATCAAAATTACATGAAATAATTAGATTACACCGATTGCATGTGCATGTTCAGAGCATTTGTTTGAATTTGCATTTTCGAATTGGCAAGCAAGTAAGGTAGCTCAGCTAAATGTAGTGGCAAGAATATGCATCTTAGTTTTGAAAAGGTCTTTACACATCGGCCCGAATTCACAAAGGAGGTTTAAATTTAACCCATGGTTTAAACCCTCATTTACATAACCCATGGTCTAAAATTAGTGCAAAAAAAGAGTACCTTGCCTTGCGCACGTCTAATATTGGACATCTGACTGTTTTGCGCTAATTTTAGACCATGGGTTATGTAAATGAGGGTTTAAACCTTTGTGAATTCGGGCCATTATCTTTGTTGGCAATGCACTCTTGTTTGCATAAAATTTGATTCATTCTAAGTTGAACTTTATACTGCACCTGTTGATGTTAGCTGAGGGAAGAAGACCATCTTCATGAAGACGTTGAAGATGACGATGGCACAGCCGTCATTCAAAAGTGATTCACCTTCAATGATGGTCCCAAGCTGTTTGGATGCACCTGCATATAACACAAAAGAATGCAATCATTTCTACTTGATGAGTGTGTGTAACACTAGAGAATGCAATCATGTCTATAACATGAGTGTAGACGAACACCAGACTATGCACCCTCATTTCTATCAAATGAGCACAGAAAAAACATCAAAAGAATACAATTTCAATATGCATAGATAAACACCTGATAATGCAGTCACTTTTTATCTGTTGGGTGAGCATACTTGAACACCAGAGAATGCAATCATTTCACAGATGAAAACTAGATAATACAATCATTTGTATCTACTGATGAGCATTCAATGTAGATGAAAACCAGGGAATGCAATCTTTTCTTTTAGGTGAGTGTATGTGACACGAGAGAAAGCAATCATTTATAGTAAGCATAGGTGAAAACAAGATAATTCAATCATTTCTATCAGGTGAGTGTACATGACACAAGAGAATTAATGCAATCATTTCTATCCTTTTCATTACACGCAAAATATTACTGGTACATGTAGATGTAAACAGTTTGTACTGAAGCACCTTTGTCCCCTATAACAGTTTTCTTGAGAGCTTATATCAACCAGCAACTGCAATATGCGATAGGGAGAATGAACATACTTTCACAAAAATAAAAGATAACAGGTTCGTATAAAAGCCACCCAAAGAACATACCAAGGTCTTTGAGCAGGGCGACCACAGCGACGGGATCCGTCGCACTCATGATGGCGCCAAACATCATGGCTTCACTGAAGTTCCAGTTGTAGTTGAACAGGTTCATTGCCAGAACAGCAGTCAGGACTGACGCCACTACCAAACCAAACAGGGCAAGTATACAAACCTAGAGAAACAAAGATCAACAGGAATAAATTATGCACATATTATTAAATGCAATTTTCTACAATTATATACTTAACTTCGAAACAACCAACTTCCGTCTCAGTATCGGAGGTACGATATTTCAGGTTTTCTGATATGTCACAGTAAACCAAAGCAAACAAAAAAGAAAGTGCAATGCCTCAAATCTTTCGTCTTTTTTGTGCATGGCTGATCGTCAACGCAACGGAGTTAAGTCTCTTGTCACCTCTGGTTGTTGCTACGGCAGGCAGCCAGTGAAAACGTATTTGTTCAATCAAATTATGGAAATGCAAGGATTTCTTTAAACAGACAGACATTTGTTATTCCTGGCTGATTTTTCCTGATTGAGGTGTCACATGAAAGGGCAGAAAATGAACTTTCTAGGAATGTGATTTTTCGTACCCTCTTCAAATTGTTTTTAATCACTCATGCGTGAAATATGCATCATTATGAGTTGCGTCAAATGAATGTAAGCTTTACAAGTATGTGTCATTTATTAATTATAATTGTGATTAAGTTATGATAAAACATTGATAATTCTCGGTTTTGTTTTTAATGGGACGCACTGTAGAGTCAAAACTACAGCTTTAAAAAATAGTTCATTTAATATGCCAACATTACAATTAACAGAAATACAAAACAAATTAAAACAAACCAATCTGTACCTGTGAGAAAGACCTCATGAATGTGTGGACGTCCATGGCAAAGGCAGACTCAAAAATGAGGACAGGGAGGAATATCTGGAGCAGGACGTGGGGGTCCATGTGGGCCACGTCCCTGGTGTGCTCCTCGACCAGGGGGACGTTGGATGCGACCACACCCAAGATGGCCCCCAGGATGAGCAGGACCACTGTGTATGGGATCGGCAGCTTCTTAAAGAGGGACCTTGAGATGGCTGTAGCAAACAAGAAAATATAACGACACATCTTTTTAAAAAAAATTAAAAAATTAAATGAATAAATAAATAAATATATTAACAAATAAATAGATGAATGAACAAAAACATGTAAATGAATAATATTGGAAAATAAAAACATTAAAGTTAGACTTAAATATCCTTCACCATTTCTCAAATAAATATGAGCAGTATTCACGATTTCATGAGTGTCTGATATCTAAAGTAGATGTAAAACTACTATTGTAAGAAAAAAAGAACCTGTTAATCGAAAAGTGGAGATATCATTAGATTTCATTTGACTATGAATAAAAAAATGATTTGTGACTGTTAACAGGTCACATGATCAGTGTAGTCTCTAGAAATAGCCATGTGCCTTGGAGTGGTGGATCTTAAACTGTAAATAGTACGGTCTAGATCAAAGTTAGACCAAAAGTTTCAGTCTCTGATGTTGATGATTATAAAATGGCTCTAGTATTTTAAGCATCGTGATTGGTCAATACGCATCACATGACATGTACAAATTTTTTAGGCAAGCACGATTTTGCTGAAAAAAGCGCAAAAAAGTTATATTACACGTTACCATGGATATCCAGCGAGCGCGCGTACTGCGCCTACGCTCCCTCGATCTGCATTGTATATGTAGGCTATGTGTAGCTAATATTGTACGCTCCACCATGATCCCCAGCGCAGCGTACGCGTAGCTTAGCTCTAGCTAGCTAGCTAGAGCGGAGTATTATTGTAGAAAGCAAATTTTTATTTTACTTTTGCCTTGGATTTAGGCCTGTTTTGACTTTTGGATTTTATAATGAATCCAGGAATTTCAGCTGTCTGATGTAGACTCGTCTCTAGACCCCCTATGGATTTTATTTTTAATCAAGGCAATGAATTCCGTGGACTTTTTGGTAAGCCTGCAAGGTCTTAGTCTAGAACCAACATAACTCTAGATCTAGATCGAACTCTCGTAGACTCTGCATAACTTAAGATCTAAACTTTTTTTTGTTGCTATTTGTGTCACTATTTTATAAAACAAATTACGCACTTGACCCTGTTGTGCGAAACGTAAATGCAGTGTACGCTCGGTTTCTTCAGATGGTTCGCACTGTGAACTCGCTGCAAGCGGCTCGTTGCACAGAGCGGCACCAATCTAAAGAAACCTCACGTGTACTGCATTCACCGCTATTGCACTCTGGGCCGTGCGTTATTTACAAAAACGGCATAGTATCAGTATTGAGATACATAAATGTCCTACGGATAACTCCAAGTAGGTCTACTCGATTTGCCTTAAGAACTGTTTGGGAAACGTGATCTTTAAATGATAGTTGTGAATCTACAAGGACACCTACATATAGGTCCTTTTCTACTTTTATAACAGATAGTGTTACAGTCTGTCCCCTTTTTCATACAATAGTCTGTAGAGGCTTCTGCTGGTAACTTCCCAAGCCTTAAAACAGTACACTTATCAGGATGAAAGCAAAGCTACCATTTCTCAGCCCATTCTTCCATCCGTGACAGATCCTCTTGAAGTTGCTTTCTTAAATCTGCAGTATCAGCACGGACATACAACTTTGTATCGTCTGCAAACATTGAAATATTTGAGTTGACAACTTTTGGAAGGTCATTTACAAATAGCAAAAATAAACACGGACCCAACACACTGCTCTGCGGCACTCCACTCAGGACTTTGCCCCACTTAGACTGCTTGCCTCTGACCACTACTCTTTGCTGCCGTCCACTCAGAAAAGATTCTAACCATGCAAGTACATTCCCACAAACTCCATACGATTCTAATTTGAGAAGCAGCCGGTGGTGAGGCACCGTATCGAAAGCCTTTGTGAAGTCCAAATATATGGCATCTACTGTGCCTCCATCATCCAAAATCTGTGTCCACTGGTCCAACACCTCTAAAAGATTTGTGATGCAAAACTGACCAACTACAAACCCATCCTGTATATTGTTCCACTGTCACTGAGACTACATGTACATGTCATCTGGCTCCACCAACTAGACCCCTAGTAAAACAATTAGTCTATGTAACATGTGGGTTTATTTATAAAAAATGAAATTTGTAAACTTTGCATCTTAATTGCCATTTTTATTGTAAAAAATAAAAATCTGCATAAAACTAAAGATATCTAGAATCTATTTCTAGACTTAGAATCTAGACCTAGCCTAGACTAATTAGAGTCTATAACAAAAATAAAGCTGCCACTTTTGACTTTCAATTTAACAAAAGGTAGATCTAGATCTAGACTAGATCTTGAGGTCTAGATCTTTATATCAAATAACCCTAGACCTAGTTAATGATCGTAAAAAAATACCATTTATGATTTAAATAAGGCTTCATAATGTTGTGTAGATCTAGAGTCTAATTCAAGTTTTAAAAGACTTCAATGTTGTTGAAATGTTGCGTGTTAACTTCTGAATTAGAGTCCGCTGTTTTAAATCAACTGCCCGGATACACAACCTGTCCAGACACACAAATTTCTGGGTATAGACTAGGCCTAGCCTACTGCAAAGAAGCGAGTCATATTTTGCATATTCATGATCTTCTCTTCTTTAACTTTGTTCTTCTTTGTCCTTTCTCCTCTAGTCTTAGGTCGCGGTCCTCGTTCTTTTTCTTTATTTTGTGTGAGACATTACGTCATTAGGTAGATCTAGGTCTAGACCTAGATCTAGTCTAATCATAAAATGAAATAATTTTCTACTTACCACCAAAGAGACAGCTTCCAGATATAAAGACAATCACTTTCGGGGCATGGGCATGTAAATCATCATGTCCATCATCATGTCCATCATCATGCTCTTCGGTTCCATTGTGGGTTGTCAAATCATGATCATCGGCATGTGTAGCTTGTGTCGTCGGTGTATGTCCCGATCCCCCAGAACTCCCGGTGGCAGACTGGATGAGTACCGCTACAGCGAGTGCTGCCACAGCAGGGACAAGTTCCCGCAATTTCACGACTCTCTTCTTCATTTTTCTTGAAAGATTCGAAGTATTTCCTTGGTGTTGTTACCCCAAAATCTCGTTGCAATACTCCTGCTCTTCGTTAGATTGACGATTTGTTTTAACCCTCCAATATTATCGCCATTTTTGATGACTTTTGTTACTTTTCTTACATGATTTCTGGTACGTTCTTCGGCGACAGGAGGTTTGTTTATTTCAAACTTGTTGTCATATGACGTCATGCAGTCAGTTGCGCGTGCCGCGCGCCAGGTTTTAGACGCGCGTGTGCCAATGACGTCATATTGCAACGACTGGCGAGGCTTTTCTAAGTAGGGCAAAGGGCGAAGGTCACGCGACCTTTCTACAACACCGTTCCCCGCTTTTCAATCAAGTTGTGCATTCATATTTCACTAGCTGAGGTTTCAGAAGGTGTGGAGTGGGGAGCGATGGGCAATATCTTTGAAGAGTTTTGTCGATAGAAGAAGGCATGCATGGTATATTTGTTTTATATCCTGCATCAACAATTTATTTTTAAAAATTATTAACAAAACAATTTTTGGAGAAAACAAAATTACAATTTAATCCAAAAAAAAAGAAAAAAATTATTAAGTTAAGACTTTAAGAAAAAAAAAAGAAATAAATAAAAACAAATTCATACAGGAATGTCAACTCCCAAATAATACTCCCAAATAGTACTTTTTCAGAGCAACCTTAAATAGTTGAAATATTTCAGGTCACGTGATAAGCTCTCAACCAATCAAAAACCAATACATTTTTGATGCAGGATATAAATTTAAATATTGTTTTGTGTCAGAAAAAAACCCAACAAAATTCCTTTTTTTTAATGTACAGAAAATGGCTGCACTTCTAGTGTTTATATCTCTCATTAGGCACAGTGTATACACTTAGAATTAATATTACAAAATGAAACTCCTAAATCCCTTTTAGACTGTGGGCTGACACCTGAAAATCACCCGTTTCGTGACCCATCATTTAGCACCACACTTTGTCAGCTGTAATATTTTCTTAAAAATAAGCAAATACATCTGAAACCACTTGCCAATCCCAACTCTTACAAAATAACATGAAAATGAATAAAAACTATCCATGATTAGTGTATATGAATATTAGTGAACAGCATGCATATGGACCCTACACACACACAGCAAGCCCATGTACATATGCATGCATGTTGTGTTGTGTGTACGTGTGTGTAGCTTCTCTATGTATGGGAAGTAGACAGTCCAGTATACAGTGCATGCAAACTGAGCAGGCTCGTACAATGATTCAGGTTGGTTGTCCTACATAAATATTGTATGTGTGCTGTATACATGTAGCCTAGCATGTAAACAACATGGACAAGGATGGATGTGAAGGCTTCTCAATCAATATCTGCTACCAAAAAGGCCTTTTGTTGTATGCATTTATGTTCTGATCAAGATGGAAAAGTCATAGTTTTTCAGTCTAGAGGATGGTCCAAGTTTCTGAACTGTTGCCTTCGCTGGATCAAGATTTCTGGTTCAAGAGAAGCTGATATTGCAAGAAAGACTGCCAATCAATTGAGCATAGACCTTAATAGCCCAAATGTTGAAGATACACCTCTACCAAAAGACTGCTACGCTGGTTATCATCTTGGGTGCTACCAGACTTTTTGTCATGTCGGAAAGATTCAGAGGGCAGAGTCAAGAAAGAGGAAATGTGATGAAAGTGAAGGTAAGTCATACTCCAGTCCAGACTTAACTGTTAATAAGAAGAGTGTGCATGGATGTAGAACCAGAACAAAGGTCGAAAAAAGTTTGCATGATCCATGACTTGAGTTGACTGACAACAGCTCAGAATCATTCAGATCTGAACAGGGTGGCAGTGCAGTGATGCATGTGCATTAGCTTTAGAGTAACCCTTACATGCATATGATAATATTTGCAAGACTTTGCAGTGTTTATGTTTATCTTTCTGATAACGCGGCTGCTGTACTACTACTACTAGAGCTACACTTGACTATTTATTTAGATATACCGTGCACGTAATGTTGCTCGTTAGATGATCGACGCATGACTGAGTACCGTACCTCAATGTACAATGAAACTGACTTAAATTGTTGAAAAGTACTTTAGTATGCAGAATTTTTAAATATTAAATGGTGTATTCTTAAATAATTAGGCAAACATGTAGTAGATCTACATGTACATTGTTTGGAGGCTAGATCAAAACCTGGTTTTCTATGAACTACATTTATCTCGGTCCAAGGTAGGCCTACTGTATGCATTTCTTGAAAAAATGTTATACTGGTGATACATTTTAGGACCTGATTACTCTTCTTGTTATGAGTATATGAAATGTAGAAATTAAATATTCTCATATATGATCCTAGAAATCTACCACATGCTACATTGTAGCTACCTAAAGGCTGAACTTGTACCAATTTTGGTTTAATTTTTCTTTTTTCAGATGCTGATGTTGAATCTTCAACAGAAGACATCGATGTCCCATCGACATCTGCTCCACCCAGGAAGCTTCTACGCTCCAGTGTGTCCCCAACAAAGTCTCGCAATGTCCTTCCTAAAGAGTGCATCATCTGTAGGAAAATGCGATGGCTCACTGACAGGATTAGTAGTAAGAGGTATCCTATCCCACTGGTTATGTGTGAGCGGATAAATGCAGCAAATTTTCTGCAAGCAGCTGAAAAACGGAAACATTCACGCATATTAACCCAGATACGTGGGAAGGACATGGTTGCTGTTGAAGTCCGGTATCACAAACTTTGTTACCGTGAGTTTGTGAGATGCGTCTCTAAAGAAGATCAGCTTGACACGGATGCAGAAAGTATGCACTTGTATAGTGCATCATTCAGTGAACTCGCTTCAATTGTTCAAAAGAGAATTGTTCAAGGCAAGGAACTCCTTCGTCTGACAACTTTGAAACAGATGTTCATTAAGATTGCAAAAAGAGTAGAGGGAGTAGATGTATCTGGGTACAAAACATCAAGACTCAAAAAGCTGCTTAAAGATGCATTCCCTGAGCTTCTCTTTGTGTCACCACGGAAGAAGAATGAGAGCGACATTGTTATGACATCGGAGATGGAGGCAGAAGCCTTAGCAGAACAGGCAGTTCAAGACCAGTCCACCAGCACAAGTGAAGACTCGCAATCATCATGTGATGACGAACCCAAACAGATTTCTACTGACGCCCAACATGGGCAGCTTCGTACACTTTTCCATGCATCACAGGTTAGAAAAACTACTGGTAGTCACTTTGTATTTTTTGTGAACACTTTATTTTCTGTAAAGCATGATTTTATATTTGCAGGTGCTGAGGTGCAAATGAATAAGATGTACGTACAGGTTTTAGGTGCAACATTTTAAGGAGGAAAACAAGATTCCAAACACATGAGCATTTTTTTAAGGAACTGAACATATGATTTTGATGTTGTTCAATAACATAGATTTTTACATTTCAATATTTTTTCATAAATAATAAGTTTTTATGGAACTTTTAACCAAATGTGGACAAAATATTGTACAATACTACGAGTACATGTATATGTATTATACTATAGAAAATAAGCATTTGATTTTGGGGCATCAATTAGAAGGAAAAAAAACATGTTAGTGAGTTTATGATTACCCCTTACAATTACTCTTAACTGTGTCTGGTTTGAAACACAGAGTTATTGCATTAACATGTACATGTATGTATTTGAACTGTTTTTTTTTAATAATTAGGCAGTCAGAGCACAGTAAAACTGAAGCCAAATATACATGTTTTTTTTTTTTTTTTTTTAATTTGGAGATTTTTTTATTCATGAACAAATTTACATGTAGCATGCCCTTCCTAACAAATTGCTAAATGTTTTTTTTTCTCCTTCTCCCTGTGCTTTTTTATTTAGATCCTCAAGGAGAGCATTCAGTCTGCATGTACCAAGCATCGAGAGCAAGTCAAGTGGCCTCCAGTTGCAAGTGACCTTTCTCTCCAGTCTGCCGAGGAAGCAACTCCAAGCATGTTATTCAACTTCTTGTCCTGGGTTGTAGATGCATCAGAAGATTTAGAACTGTCAGGTTTTGTAAGAACAGGTGTAGATGAAAAGAGAAAGTTACTATCTATTTGTCAAGATGTAATGTATATGAATTGTAAGGGTAAAGTAATCTTTCCTAAACACTCATCACTAGCCATGACAGTTAGACACATGACAGGGTCAGCAAAGCTGATTGGCATTCTGAATGGCCTCGGACATTGCACGTCACATTCGATGGTCTTAGAGCATGACACTGCCCTTGCCACAAAGCAGCTTTCAAGAGGAGATGAAGTTTTGCCAGAAGGTGTGACACCAAAGTTCACCACGCTAGTCTGGGACAACATTGATTTCTCAGAAGAGACCATATCAGGAAAGGGAACAACGCATTCCACTAATGGTATTCTGATCCAGAGTGGAAAACCTGAGGTAGTGAATGACCAACGCCCATCTGTCCCAAGATCCCATAAACGGTCAATTACTGCCCCTGCTTCATCCCTTGTATCATACTTTGGTTCAGGGAAGAAGGGTCCAGCACCGTTCGGGCAAGACCTGGACATAACAGAAAACCGTAGAGAATCATATCTGCTGTCGGCAAAGAAGAAGGAACTAGCGTTCCGCCTATCTCGCATTCAAGGACAAAGAGGTTCTTTACTCCCAAGCTGGACTGGATATAACACACAGTTGGACCAAGCAAAGCCAAAAATATCCAGTGTATACTATCTTCCAGCCATTGATGCCTCGCCCACTCTAATGGACACGATCAATACAATTCTAGTGAAGAGCGTAAAGATATGCACCCTCCTTCAGCAAGAGTCCATCGTCATTGTCTGTGATCAGGCCATTTACAGTAAGGCCCAGCAAATACGCTGGAAAGATGACCACCTCATGGCTAGAACTGTCATCAGAATGGGAGAGTTTCACACAAGCATGAATTTCCTTGCAAGTCTTGGGAAACGTTTCAGAGATGCTGGACTACAAGACATAATCATTGAGAGTGGACTTGTTGCTGAAGGTTCTGCAAATGGAGTTCTTTGTGGGCGTCAGTATAACAGGAGCATAAGGATGCACAAAATCGTTAGCGAAGCGATGGAACACTTGCGTTGGCAGGCATTCATCAAATCCCATGATGGTGATGAAGAACAAGAGGAAGCATCCAACACTGTGGAAAAGCTGCAAGCTACTTTCCCATCACTCCTCCACAAGCAACTTGTGAATGATGAAGAGTTTGGCAGCTTACAAGCAAGGTACGAAAAGTTTGTAGTGGAAAAATCTTCTTCGCCAACATTTGCCTTCTGGTCCTCCTATATAGACATGGTAGAGCACCTGCTTCTCTTCATCAGAGCAACAAAAGAAGGAAATTGGTTGTTGCACTTGTCTTCTGTGAGAGGACTGCTTCCATGGTTTTTCGCATATGACCACATCAATTACTCGAGATATCTACCAGCCTATTGGATGGAAATGAAGCAACTCCCCGAGACTCATCCATCTGTTCACAATGCATTCCTCGAAGGCCAGTTTGCTGTCGTTCGCCAAGACAGGCATGGATTTGCTGGGATTCCTGGGGACCAGACAATCGAGCAAACAATCAACAGAGACACGAAGACTCAGGGAGGAGTAATAGGGTTTAGTAACTCCAGAGGTTCCTACCACAGATGGGTATTGTCTCATCATATTAGAGCAGCCATACAGCACCAGTGTGCAAGCATGGCTGGGAAGAGTGATTCGTCAGCCGCAGTCAAAGATCTCCAGCAGCACCGTATCAAGAAAGATAACGAGGACATTCAAGCTGTCTGTGATACGATTGAGAAAATGGTAAACCCATTTGAGGAAACCAGTGACTGTTTGTTACATATATCATCCGGCATTGTTGCTACAGAAGAGGTTAAGAATGACTTGCTACTTGCCCATAGCCGCGGTCAATGTGAAACCGAAGAATATCTTCAAGAGAGACTTCAGTCAGGGACCAAAGACCTGTTCATCACAATCAAACAGAAAAAACTCAAAACCTTCACAACAATGAAGAAGAAGGAAGCATCAAAAAAGCTATGTAAACAGGGAAAAACATCTGCCGATAAGAGTATGTTGGCCAAACTGCTTATTGCTTCCCGGAGTCGAGACATTGACATCCAAGATCTGATGAGGTACACACTAACAACTTATCCTTTGGCCTTGGGAACAGACGAAGGGAACTTGGTTAAAACCAACAAAGCCAGTTTGCTTCGACATTTTGAAGGAAAAAGTGTTTCAGGTTCAGATGAACCAGTTATCCCAAAAGGAACAGTTTGGGTGGTTGATGGAATGGCCCTCATTCAAGAAATGGGTGGTCGCATTTCGTCATTAATGACCTTTGGGAATCTTGCTGACTGTATCCTCAAAAAGCTCATAGGATTGGCTAATAATTTGTACTCCAACTCGATCCACTTTGTAACTGATCGATACCCGTCCATTTCAATAAAAGGTGGAGAGCGAGGCAAACGAGCAGCCGGAGGAACAGAGAGGATAAAGATCTACAGCAAAGACCAGCCTATCCCTCTTCAGTGGACGAAATACATCGCATGTGGTGCAAACAAGGAGGAATTAGTGGAGTTCTTGTTCAACACATGGAGACAAACCAGTCCAGATGAGTTTAAGAATGTGGAAGTATTTCTAGCTCATGGAACCACATGCCATTCTCTCTGCCCTCAGAATGGGGAATTAGTCGTTTGTGATATACCAGACCTCCACGCAGACCACGAAGAAGCAGATACTCGGTTACTTCTTCACTGTGCGTATGCATCGCAAAGACAGGCTTCCTCAGAAGATGAGACACAAAAGGCAGTCATTATAAGGAGCCCTGATACTGATGTCTTCATCATTGCCCTTGCTTTGGTTGGAAACATTCAAAGTCGTGTTCTCTTTCACACTGGACGAGGAACTCAGGCTCGAACTATAGATTTGACATCACTCTCAGAGGATTTAGGTACTGATGTTACCAATGCCTTAATAGGGCTTCACTGTTTTACAGGGTGCGACTCTGTAAGTGCATTCTATGGCAAAGGTAAAATCAAAGCTCTTAAGTTAATGTTGGAGGAGAGGAGATTTGTACAGGTATTTGGTGAAGTAGGACAACATTTTGAATTGTCTGGAAACCTGAATGAGAAACTAGAAGAATTTGTCTGTGCTCTGTATGGACGCAAGGAAGAAAAAAGTATCAATCTAGTGCGGTACAATATGTTCAGGTTAGAATGCAAGTTTGAACATTCACTTCCCCCTAATCAGGACTCATTGCATGAGCATGCTAAGCGAGCCAACTACCAGGCTGCTATTCACAGGCGAGCCACAAACAAGTTAATAAATGCCCCGAATCCAACATGTTGTGGTTGGGCAATGGAAAAGGGTGACCTTGTCATCAAATGGGGAAACCTTCCTCCTGCACCAGGAAACTTTCTTGGGCAGTTGAAGTGCAAGTGCAAAAAGAGTCATTGTAGTACAAGACAGTGTGAATGTCGTAAAAATAAGATACCGTGCACTGATATGTGCAATTGTGAAAGATGTGAAAATCAAGTTGCTAACACTGCTGAAGAGCAAGAAGAAGAAGAGGAAGAAGAAGATGAAGATAATGAAGACTCTGATTTTGAGTAAGAAGGAAGGGTGTCATTGTTGAAAAACAATCCAGTGAATAAGTTCATTTAGTTTAATATTTCGACACCTTGTAAATTACTTGTTGGTACATGTATGTTGTATTAATAGTATTTATTATTCATATTGCTTTTGTGTTGCAATTTGATGCTCCACAGCTGCAAATGGGATTAGAAGTTGAAATAATAATACATTTGTTAAAATAGCATATGTTCCACATATCATTTTCATCATGTGAAATTATTTTCTTGTGAATTATTCCAAAGGTTAAATGGTAGAAGAAATGGGGGACTCAGATGATATGTTGTGTCATTGAAAAGGATGCAGCAAAGGATTTTATTAAGTTTCATAAAACTTAATAATGCGTTTATATTGACAAGAAGTGTTGGGTGATCAATACATTTTGATGCTGCATAGCCGGGGAAAAGTAATAGCATGGGCTACTAGTATCCGATTTGGAAAGCATGTATCATTTGCTGTATGATATTTGTGTGTCCCTGATTTATTCTTGTGAATTTTTCAGATTTTGTTTCTCCATAACTTATTTTCATGCATCCTCATTGAACACCAACCTACTTTTGAAGCATATTTTTACAAATGACTGAAATGATTTCACTTAAATTCTCTTACTGCGTTACATTACAGATTGGTGTGTAAATGATTGTTATACATGTACACTTCAACTAAAATGAACTCAAAAGTATGAGAAATTCCTGTTTATACAATAACTGCAGTTACGTTGTATGATGTATTGCAGTATTTTAAAGATACGAATGGGGATTGATTAAATGTTGTTGCTCATGTGTAAAACTCCATTATATAACACAGTGAGACATTCACTTGTAATTTGTGTAGCATTGTATTGAAATTATTTGTCCCCTCTAGATGAAATGGGAAATTTTGCAAGAATGTGAATACGAAAACCCAAAGCAAAGAACAAATATTGTATTATGCTTATTATAACTTGAAATGTAAGTACATACAGTGTTCACTTTATGTCTGAGAGGAAAGTCAATACATGTATTTCTTATTTTTCTTTATTAATCACCTGGAGGAAGTGTTAAATGATCAGATAGTGACAACCGTTCCTAAATGTAGGAGGGCACCAACTGGTGGTATGAATTGGACCTGTGCAAGATGGGTCTTAATAAGAATGTCCAGTATGCTTTTTGATACTAGTACATGTTAACTTATCTATGTATAGGACTTGTTTACACGTATGTCCTCAATCCAGCTACTGTATACAACATGAACACATACTTTTTATGCTAAGATCTGTATATTTCAGAAAAGTTTTTTTGTCAACATTTATGTAAATATCCTCACTTACATGTACAAGTGATTATTAGTGTTTTCACTTGTCAATATGAGTATCTGGTTTGTGAGGTGTTTTTTTTTTCTTCTTCACTAAGTATGCTAAGCATTACAAGTACCGGTATGGAAATTGAAATGCAGTGAACAGTGCAGAGTGCCAAACAGACATCCGTAAAAGACATGTTATCACTTCTCTCAACCTTTTTGTGGGGGGTGGAATATTTTTAACCATTTAAAGTTTATCATCTTTGCTCTTTGCCAAAGATTTTTTTCTCTCTGTTGAACAATCGATGGGACACCAAAACAAGCAAATATGAATCATCATTGTCAAGTATATTACATGTAGCACTGACATAAAATGAAATTATTTTGTTTGTAAAAGAAATTTGAAAGCATGCTTCAAACTCATAAGTCTTGTGAGAATTAAAAATGCCAAATGAATGTGTAAACAAATCAAAGTTTAGTGTATCAATTCTTTTATAGGGTGTAATATACAAGAAAGTTGCTAGTGTTTGTGAGTGTTTAGTTTTTTTGTTTTTTTGTCTGTTTGTTTGTTTGAGTGAATGTGTGAGCGATAGGGTGTGAAGATGTGTGCGAATTAGTGTAGTATTCCCAGACATATACATGTACTGACTCGCAATGCCAATATTAATAGAAGAAAGTTGCTGGTGTTTGTGGATGTGTTTTGTTTGTTTTTGTTTGTTTGTTTGATTGTTGAGTGAATGTGTTGACAAGATAAATTGGATTACTTTGAAAAAACAGTGTCATTACACAAAAAATTAAACTTTCCCTCCTCTGTTTCATGCTGTGAAAACAAGTAGACAAATATATGCATAAATTTGCATATTTTAGCTTCATTATTTTAATACTTGTAATAAATACATAAGAACATCATTATTTCAAGGCTTACATTCTAAACTGCATTACTCTCTACTCAAATTATCTTTTTACATACAAGAATCATCTTATTCAACTTCAAAAACGTGTACAAAAGCCGAAATCACATTTTTTGCATAAATTAGCATAAATTACCAAATATCTCTTTTATTTGTAGTTTTTGGGGTTGGCAAGTGGAAAAAACAAAATCAGCACCAAAAAGTACCCCAGAATCATGTAATACTGTGTGGTTCGGATTCGTGGACCACGGAATTGAAAAATGGCTCACATTTTCAGAAGTCAGCCTACAGTCTATTTAGTTATTGATCTATAGTGATTAAAGTGCATATATTTCATATAATAATAATAATAATAATAATACAATATTTATATAGCGCAAAATAAACATAAGTTTCTCTTTGCGCTGTACAAGCATATATATAATCACATAAAATGAATCAACACAGAGAAATATACAAATCTTATACTACTAAAATGACTAACTTAACATAGTAAATAACATAATAAAGAGATAGCTAACATGGTCAAAACAAAACAAATATCATCCTCCATCAACATAATAAGGCGATCATGGACAAGATTTGGTGCATTGAGTTTAAGAGTTTAATAATAATAATGATAATAGTAATAATAATAGCCTAATAGTCCACTCCAAATTTTATTAAACCGAAACGGAAATTCTTTTTGCCCAATTGATCGTGAGCCCGGCAGCCACTGAGCAGCGCCAGATCGACGTTGCTCTATCCCTTACTGTTGAACGCCTAACAAGGTAGCAACAACTCTCATCTTTAACGTCTTTTGGTATGACGCGGCCGGGGTTCGAACCCACGACCTCCCGGTTTTGCAGCGGACGCTCTATTGACTGAGCCAACACTCCGGTAACTAGTGATTTCTATCTCCTTCAGCTAAATAATGATATATTTCCTGGTTTTTGTGTGTTATCTGATGCCTAATAAATAGGGTTTCAGTGCCTTACTCTCATCAAAAACAAATTATGCCTGCAGTCGAACTGTAGGTTGATGACAAGTTCAGAATGTTAAGGGGAGCAGGATTATTTATAGGTGTAATAAAAAAAATGGTGTGGAATTACAAGGAAATACCTTTAAATATCGCTTTCTGCTTCTGCAACTTCATTGTTTTCCTTCATTTTCCATGAATTTTGCATGACCATGGTAAGCTGTGTTAATGAAAGGTAGCTAAGCATACAAATAAATAATGACACCTTACAAAAACAAATTTGCCAAAATATATTCTTGTGGTTTATTCATCCACTACATGAGGTTTTCATAAATTCACAATACACCTGACAGAAATAGAGACAATTCCTTCTGAAAACAAAAAAACCTCTTTCACACTTACGACCTAAGCGGGCTAAGTGCAGACCCATTCTGCTTGTTTCAGTTTCCTAAACCTATTTTTAAAAAAGAGAAGAAAAAAATATGTGTGGAGATAATCTAGACTGAAAGAGTATTCTTCTAAAAATATACCCCTTTCACATTTATGTCCTAAGTGGGTTAGGTGCGGACCAACTTTTAGTTCTATCTGCATCTAAAGGCTACCAATACGCATCATTCACATTGCTTGTTTCAGGTTCATGAACCAATATGAAGAGAAAAAATGGAGTGAATCCAGCCTGGAAGAAATTAAGAATGAAAAGGGTTAACAAAGCAACTTAAAATGCAAACTTGGGCGATGCAGGCAAGTGGCATCAAAGCCATGATACTGTATTCATTTTACGGTAGTTTTAATATTGCAAGATTTACACTTGCTAACCTCTGCATGCTAGCTAGTTTTTGACTGAAAAAATGGTATGTGCTCCGCATCTAGTAGATTAGTTACAACTTTCAATACATAATTGACAATTTATTTCTATTTAAAAAAATACACTGTAGAACATATTGCGGATATATCTCAAACTGTACTAAACAGAAGGAAAACTAAACTTGGAGTAAAATGAAAAATGAAACCTTTCCTCTGTTTGGAGCCAGAAGGGCGTTAACTCATATGCTTTAAAGCCCCACTGCACTACTTATAGCTACTTGCGCCCTCTATACAGCCAACAATGCCTAAGCGGTACCCGTTGATCCCCCATGATGCCCTTTTCCTTAAGTGAATTGAGAGCTGATTTGATGAGATGACCACCTGCCAGTGATCTTGCAGGGAGGTCTAATCCCGTCATGCCAAACTAGTGCAGAAGGACTTGAACACACAGTTAATGCCCTACAGGTTCTGGACAGAAGATTTCTAAATATGAAACTGTCAAATGCAACTTGTAAATGATGGTACATTTGATAAAATAACAGTTTTAAGGAGGAATTTGATGATTTAAAAAAAATCATTGTAAAATTAAAGAGATGTTTTTTATTGTATGTTACATTCTCATTTTTGATTTCAGAAAATGTAAAATAAAAATCCAAAACAAGATAAAAAGAATTAATAATTTATGTCATTTCTACATGTACTTTAAAATATTTAATATCTAAACAAAAGGAAATAATGTTATAAAAGTAGATTGTTTAAAAGCATTGACATATATTGACAGAAATGACTAAGATCGGTAATATGTATGTAGTAACATAGTCTTCTATATATGGCAGATAAAGCAATAAAATGCATTAATATATCCATACAAATTGTATATTAATTCATGATCATAAGATATAAGAATATTTCAAGATAAGGACAACAAATTTGAATAATATGAATAAATGTAAAATATGAATGAAGCTAATTTGTAATATTATTGAGCTTATCAAGTAAATCCTTACACATTACAATAATGATGAATCATCATTTTTCTTTCAATTTAACCTTCATCAATACATGATTGTTACATTTTGAACTACTCATATGAAGAGAAAAACAGAACTTGCAATCAACGGATGAATAAAGGAAAACTCTGAAAATCATTAACTTTTGCCAAAACAACTAAATACATGAATTTAAGTCATGTTCCCCAGAAAAAGTGAATTGAGAGTAAAACACTAAAAGTAACGAAAGCTAGTTTCATCATAAAATTATGCAAAATAAGTAACAAGAGAAAACATAAAAACTATTGAAGAAAATATAAAAACCGGAACACAGAAATCAAAGGTTAACTAAACACATTGCTATACTTGCGCCTGGTTGCAACTGCTTCTCTTTTCCATTTAAAACTGAATCTCCCATGTGGTTTCTTTAATGACATTGTAGAAAAATAGAATGGGACACGATTCTTGAAAGATAATTTGTGTACAGTTACAATTGCTATCTTTTTTTTCTTCAAAGAATACTAGCAGTTTAGTGTCACATTTTTAATGTTATATTTCTATATTTGGATCCAGAATGCTGTGAAATACAAAGTGTACATTTCTCGAACAGAAAGGGCAAAAGTCACTGGGAAATGTGAATCCGTTTCTGCGTAAATTGCGCCGTTCATGAATAAGAGCGATACATGTATAATCAACAAAAATCATTGAAGTCTCTAAATTGGCAATGCAGAGTGCAGTGACATTCACAATCACTCTTTTGGTTTTTCAGAGCTTTATCAGGGAAATTCTTTAATTATTCAGCACAATAATTTACATTTCAACTGAAGATTACATAAATACACATCTACAAAATTTATTTTTCTTGTTAAAGAATGAACCATAAACAAGATAATTATCTTTTTCTATGAGTTGTGTTAATATCAATTTAAAAATAAAGAAACAAGACAAAAAAACATAGTTCATAGCTTATTTCACGATAAGAAAATATTCTTAAGAAAAATGTTATCCTCTACTTACTGTATTAGAGATTGGCTGAATAATATGTGCAATATAAAGGGGAAATTTTGAAAAATATGTGTTAATTACTGTTGTTTATATATATGCATTCAGATTTATAATTGATCACAAAGTATCCATGTTTATCTGATATTTGTTATGTGCATTGATATATCCTGCAGTATGAGAAGTCTTACTTTCACAGCACTTATTCATTGCACAGAAAGAGATAAAAAAAGAAGGAAAGGTAAATAAACGAAGAAAAACGGAAAAGAAACATTTGCTAAAAACTCTGATGGGGTACCTAATAAGAGATTGACAAATGGAAGCACAGATGTCAAGAAGATTAAAACAGTTGTGAGGAAAGAACAGAAGAAAAAAGTCAAAGGAAAAGAAGAAGATGGATATGAAGAAGAAGAAAAAAAAGAAGAAAAAAAGAAAAAGAAGAAAAAGAAATACAGGAAGAAGAACTTAATGAAGCAAATACTACAGGGGGAAAGAAAGAGGCAAGAAGAAGTGAGATAAAATGAGTAGCATCAATAATGCATGTTATGTCCAATAAAGCAAGAACTTCAATGAATATACAATGATAGATTTTTCTTCATATTACAAAACTAATAATGATGTGACATATTCTATTCAGCTCAGATCAATATCAACAATTCTACCACTGTCCTGTTTTTCAAGTAACGACCACTTGCTCATCTTACACTAGCTCATCTTCTTCTTTTTTCTTTTTTTTTCAATATCTTCCCGACACTTTCCATTCCTCTGATATAGTTTCTCTGATATATACCTGTACATACATTTCAAAATATATTTCAGCATTGCAATGAAAATAGATGATATTTCGTCACATATGGCAGTTAAGTTGCAAGAAGACAACGACTACAACAACAAAACTCCTGAGAACAACAAGTGTGTGTTGGAGATTTTGTTGACTTAAGAGTTAAGGCTTGTTCAGATATTATGCAGAAAAGGCAGTGCGTTTTTTAAACGTTTAAACAGATGGCAACTGCACGCAACAAAGGACTTGTCCGTATTCAGTGAGCTCTATGTGATGTCCATTACACTTAACGTCATCACGTTTTAAAATCGCTGCAGTTTTAGCCGTGTCACATCTGAACAGGCTTCTATGTATGTTTCTGTATATGCTTCTACAGAAGCATGTGGAGTTAATAAAGCTTTAAAAAGTCTCAGCATCAAGAACAATGACAAATATTTCTTGGTATGCTTTAAGCATAACACTACAAGGTCCGACTATGATCGCTTTAAACAAAACATTTGGTATAGATTAATATTCAAACGTGTAAAATCTTACAGACCAGATTTTTGAATAGTCATATGATTGATAAAATTTACTTTTCAAGGATTTCATGCTTCCTTGAACTCTCTTAAGTCTCGCAACGCGTCTTCTACCTGGTGAAGACATGGCAGGTAACGTGCTTTAAGGATGATGTAGCGTCTCCTCCCCTTTTCCAGAGCTCGGGTAGTAACGAAGTGTTCTACCGACTTACGCTCAAGCTCAAGGATCGCTATATCTGCCTTGGGGGGTCTTACCTCCTAGTCGCCTCTTCGAGCTCTCTACCACGGAGAAACTTGAGGGGGGTCGGCTCAGGTGAGAGTCGAGGAAGCCCTCCTTGAGGGCCAGCTAATAAAAGACCACCCCAAAGCACATTGGTGCTCGATCCACATGTATGTCCGTCCCCGTGGAGAATTGTAGTGACATTAGACCACTAGTTTGATTATCTATGATTTCACTTTTTATTTTCACTAGTAGAGTTAAATGCAGTAAAATTATGGTTGTTAATATATTATCTTTATATAGAACCTAAATCAGGAGGATAGTGGATGCTAAGATTTCCATATCGAATATAACCGCCATTTCTACGAAAAGCGGATTGCTGGAGGATCATGAACAGTGTAGTGTGCGCCAGGTTAAATGTCATATTTTTATTTTCATATTGCCTTTATTTCTATTAATTTCAAGAATCACTCTGGTGTCAAATATTTGCTCTCAAGTCAATTACTAATTACCAAATTCCTGACTGTAATGCTGCATCCAACTCTACCGGAACACGTATGAACCTTGGTCCAGTTTGTCAAGACTGTCAGGAGTCAATGGATATCCCATAGAAACACGTGTTAATAATAAAACACACTTTTCAAATGGGATGTCCATGAAATTAAAGATTTATAATGGTTTTTGAGAAAAAGCCCCCTTACTTCTTACTCAAGCAGAACCCAAAACCGTATCGGAATCATAACTTTAACCCTATATCATTGACAAAATAAAGCATGGGTCAAACGTCGCCAGAGCAAACGTTGGATCTCTGCAGGGTAATGTAGGTGATGCATGTTCGTTTATCCCGGCTGCATCATGCATCTCAGCCTTGCTTAGTCATCCATGAGACTGAAAGTGTAGCAACAGCTACATGGTGAGTTCTTGCCCGTGAAAAAACACCCTTGGTGCTAAAACCAAGCCTTGGGGGACTCCAGAAAATAAGAGCAAGGGTACTGACAGGGGTAACAAATTAGTCATGAATACTTTTAAGCCGCAACATTTACCTTGATCATCTGAACCACCCCCCCCCCCCACACCCCTAAGAAGCGGCAAAAAATATCTCACATAATTTGGACCAATGGTCCAGGGGGGTGTTTCACAAAGATCCTAAGTAGAACTTAACTCTAAGTTGGACTTAAAAATTATGGACAGCCATTGGAGTCTTTAAATGAAATATATTCAAAAGCAGAAATTCAAGTATTTTAGACTTTTTATTAATTCCACATCCAGAACATGAAATCTCCTTGATGATAGAAAATATGAATGATTTCAATAAACAATGAATGCCTTTCAAAATAACTTTTACAAAATATTTTCAAAGATGCTAATGGCTTTCCATATTTTTTAAGTCCAACTTAGAGATAAGTTCAACTTAGGATCTTTGTGAAACACCCCCCCTGATAATGTAGAGGTGTCGTAGTACAGTGGATTCTTTATCGAACTGTGGATCAAATGGTCGTAGTTACGAGTCTGGTCACAACACTAATCAACAATTGCTACTCTCCACCCAGGTGTAATAAATGGGAACCTGGTAGGAATTTAGTCCTTGAATGCTTGGAGTGCCTTAGGCCAGCTGGGCTAAAGCGAGGGTAATAATAGTACTATGTAGGCATCTCCTGGATGAATACATGCACAATCAAAATCAAAATAAGAACCTGAAATGCTATCAAAAATATTGCAAAATGATGACTTACTTATCTAATGATGTTGGGTCTTCCTGATCTTATTCAAACATTTATATCATTGCTAAAGTGAAAAGAACTCAAATTCAAGAATTGTGTAAATAGACCAGTGGCAGTGACTCCTGCACGTTATGTACCTGGTGAATAAGCAAAAGCCAGTCAGAAGAATAAGTTTCATACTCCTTTAAAGCAAACAATTAACTCTCTTTGCTACTGCGTCTAAATGCCTATAAGTGTTTTCATAAAAATATATTTTACAATAAAATCTGTTATTTTACAATGTATCATACATGGATATCCCCGTTTTATGGGAAATATCACACTACATAATTATGCACCTTGCATTGACAGTTAGAAGGGCATTAGCTCAGTGTTAAACAATATGAGTTAGTGCCCTTCTAGCTCTTAGTGGCTGCTTTGGCATGAAGAGAATGTCCTCTTAACACTTGGCCTTGTACACAATAAAACACGTTTTGATACCGGAGTCAGATTGAGTAGGAGGGGTGAAAGGAGACACCCCTCACACCGTAATACAATCCTACAAATACTGAGAAAGCAAAAAAGAGCCCTTTTCTTGTATAAGTGTTATCATCCATTCTTTAAGACACCTCTTCCCAATTACCTACTTCACTAAGTACTAACAAACCCAGATAATGCCCACGTTTTTAAGCAAGACGTACAACATCTCCTTTTCATGTTCTTTAAAAGTTTCAACTCTGAACTCCTTATACTTTAATCAGATGAGGTTAAAAGGGGTGCAAGGAAGTACCCCTTGCACCTGAGTTGGATTATGTTAAATGGGTACAAAGACATACCCCTCAAACTCTTCAAGGTGTTTCTCCTTTATACGATTTCTCGATACCAGTTCATTGTACCCACAGAACCTGAATAGAAACCGAAGAAAGAACCTGAGGAGCATCACTGGCAGAAGGCAAAGCAGTGTCCAGCACCGACCCCTACTTTAGATGCCACCTGCCCATCTAGGCCCTGGACCTGCTTGGGGAGGAAGACATTGGTCTTGGTCCCGTCCGCACACATCCCGTGTTCATTCCAGCCCCATGCAAGCAACTTGTCATCCTCTGAGGGTTGTTTCGGAGAAGAAAAGAAAACAGGAATTATACTTCATGCAAGTAGAGTGGACCAGAAAGGAAGACTGTTCAAATTTCATTTATGTTCATTTATTTCTTATATTTGTACAGGGCCCCTCCTAGGCTCCTAATAAGCTTTAATTTTGTAGGCGTCTTTCCACTGTATTTTTGTAAGTATTCATTATGTTTATTGTTAATTGTTATGTTTTTAATGGAAAAATAAATTGAATTAAAATTGAAATATTAAAAAAGCAGACATTTTGACAAAACACCTACTTTTGCGACAATGTGTAAAGAGACCACTTGTTTATAAAGACTACATTTACTTTTTCCTCTTAATAATGTTTCATTTGAAAAAAATATTATATGGAATATGTATAGAGTATAGACCTGTACTGTCAGAAACCTGTACATAAAGTTAATCTGCTAATAAAGACCACTTTTATTGTCTTCCTTGAGAAATCTTAGGTTGTTACGTAGTTTTAAGAATTCCAATCTTATGAATAATAAATAATGATAATGTATTTTGGAGTATCAGTAATAAACAATGATATCAGAGTGCCATATGTACCCTACAATGTCCAGGGGAGGGGCAGAATCTATCACTTGTACAATGGCTGTGATATATTTGTTGGTTTTTGTTTTCAGAGGGGCAGACATGGAGAAAGAGAGAGAGAGAGAGGGAGAAAGAAAGAGGCATACATGTACATATAAATATAGAGACAAAAAGAGAAAAAAGCAAGATACAGGGAAGGAAAGTGATAAAGAAAGAGAGGGAAGGAGGAGTTTTAAAGAGAGAAAGAGGCAGGGGAAAAGAGAGAGAGAGAGAGAGAGAGAGAGAGAAGGGGGGATGGGGGTAGAGAAAGGCAAAAAGAGAGAGGAGGAAAAGGGTCAGGGGATAAATCAACAGAATGTATCTATTCGGAAATCAACATCCTTCCTCAAAAGATTTTAAACTCAATGAAAGAAACAAAACAAAGTATCATTTCTACTCACTTGTTATGGCTAAACTATGCTCAGCTCCACATACAATCTGAATGATAGAAAAAGATGAAATCTTTAAACAAGAGACGGAAGGATACCTTCACTTTATACCATAAATCAAATCTCTTGACTAAAATCGGTCAATATTGAAATGGGTAAGTTCAAGATACTCTGTCCCGTATGTCACATACCACATTTATCAATATTTATATCCCTTCATTGCATTGAACCCCTGTTTTATCAGCGCTTTTATCATGCCAAATAGAAAGTGAAAGACACACCATTGAAGTCGATTCATGTTAAAAACTCTTCAATACTTTGTAAAGTATGGGATAAAAAATTACCGAATATCCTGGACTTGCCAAAAACAAATGCATTGAGAATTGTACAAATATGAAAAAGCGAACAATCTGGCTTGAAGTTTAAGGGTTATAATAAAGATTTCTTAATATTTATTTAAATGTTTTAATGATACAAACAGGAATTTATGTCATTTTCATTTTTGTGCCCTGTTTCTCTGTATTACAAAGAAACACATTGTGAAATAAGCCCTCGCTCAATCATTCTTGCCTATCATAATTTATCATACTATAGCACACTTGTAACATAAAGGCAAATATTCTGTATCTACTGTCACATTGTGGATAGTTACCATAATGCTGAACTATGATTATACAAGGCCTAAGGGCTTTATTCATGCAGTTCCCCTTTTCATTGTCAAATTTTAAGTATGATTTATTTTGTATTTATATTAATTATATTTTGAAATCGAGAACGACATAGATATGAATATGAATAATAATTTTAAAAAGTAGGTACCTGCTTGGCATTTTTTAGTATGCTTATTTCAGTGGGTACATGGCAGCAATCTGGAGTTGTGGTTGTGGGCGTGGCGTTACTCTCTGACTCTGCGCTTCCATTGGATATCGACTTTGCCGCTGGTCTCCCAAGCTGGCCGTAGTCATTCCGGCCCCACGTGTAGACCGACTCATCCTCTAGAGACAAATGAAAATACATCTGTACTAGTTTGGCCAGGAGGGATTAGACCACCCAGTATGGCAATTGTTATTGAATGTTGTGGTGGTTATTTTACCTGACTGCTATGAAGCATAAATGCTAAATGGTCACTGACAGGTGCTATCTCATCAACTCAGCTCTCAATGAACATAAGAAAAAGAGGTTCATGGGGAATCAATGGGCACCACTTAAGCATTGTTTGCTATATAGAGGGAGCAAGTAGTTTTCTATATAGAGGGAGCAAGTAGCTATACGTGTAAGTAGTACAGTGGGGCTTTAATAGATGAAGTGATTTTGGCTCAAAATGATTGGAACTTGCCTTAAAGAATGAAAGTTTGATGCTTCCATGGAGAAAAGTATTAGACTAATTAAATGTAGCAATTACCAAAAAAGAGATTTCCAACTTCCGGCTTTGTGATGCTGACTATTTCCCATGGGGCATCATGGATTTCGACATGTACATTGCATGCGATAGGTGGCGCACCATTCTGCATATACAAAGAACTAATACGAGACTCACCTGTTATAGCTAGCATGTGTGTCCAGCCACTGTGGATGCCTTTTATCGTGAGACCGTCAAATAGGGCAGGGTCTAACCTCTTGGGCGTCGAGATGGGGTTGGAGGACTTGGGTTGGGCAAGTTGACTCCATTTGTTACAGCCCCATATGTACAGTATACCCATGTCTAGCAGGGTAAAGAATAATAAATCATTGGTTAATTTGTAAAAGCATGAGCAGTTATTTATCTATCTAACTGATTACTCTTACTCAGACTAGGAATCATTCAAGAGTCCCATATATTCCAGTCTTTATTTTAGTAGCAGTAGTAGTAGTACTAGTAGACTACTACTGAATAACATACAGTTCCTGGATAGTTTGGCGAGTACCATACATAAAGAATACCTATGCTAGATATGGAGTTAGGCTTGCTCGATACTGGGGTAGAATCTCATGACTAAATAAACGTGGTCTTACCTGATAAAGCGGCACTGTGATAAGCTCCTGCAGCTACCTGCACAAACTTCACATCCACGTCATCCTCTTTCACAGGAACTAAAGATTGAAACAAAGAACAGAAAAATATGAAATAAATCTGTTTCCGTGTGCAGTAGGTCATATTTTGCTGACACCAAACCTGATGGAAGGACCCTTCATTTATGTACAAGTCTCACGGATAGCAAGCCCATTGTCCCATTAAAGGCATTGTTTACCAATGTTAAATCTGAGATACATGACCCTTCGTGTTATCGGTGTCTGATAAGGTGTGAAATTGAAGCCCTAAAAAATTGTGCTTCAAAATGATCATAAAGTGCCTCCAAAAAATCTTTGAGTGACCGATTTTACCATACTTAGGAAAACAAATTTTTTGAATTTTTATTTCCAATAATATTTTGATAATCAGACAGGTGATCGGCTTGCAAAATTCATGGGGTTCCTGACTGATTTTAAGGTTTATATTATCATTGCAGCATGAGCTTAATCCAAGATTTTATTTTAGAAACTGGGACAAAGTTACCCAATCCCTTTCAGAGGGAGTAGGCAAATTCTCAGCAATCTTTTTCTGATGTGTAAATAACCCCTTGGGTATGCATGCCCCTTCGCTCCGTTATTGCCTAAATCTGACTTTTTTTTTCTCCTCGATTAAAATACCTTTTTGCCTCAGTCACACCTTTGCGTATTGCTGCGTATTTATGGCAAGCCGTTTTAACATTTATTCCTATTTCTTGATATCAAGAAATAAATTCTTCACATCAAGAAATAATTTTCTGTTGTAAAGCAATGGTAATTCTTGATATCAAGAAATGGGAATAAACGTTAAAACGGCTTGCCATAAATACGCAGCAATAACCAAGCCAAATACGCAAAGGTGTCACTGAGGCATAAAGGCATTTTAATCGAGGAGGAAAAAAAAGTCAGATTTAGGTGTAGCTGAGGCATTAGGGGGAATTCCCACATGTCATGGCTTACTGTGTACAGGTTTGTTCCATTGGTGAGGGACCCTCATTTTGCTATCCGTCCAGCCTAGTTGACCCTTCTTGCCGGCTCCCCATGTCCAGAGCTGACCGTCCGTTGATACGGCCAGGGTGTGCCTCAGACCTCCTGATATAGCAGCAAACCTCGGGCAATCAACACCTGAAAGCTATACATAGAAGAAGATGTACTGAATGTTTGTATAGAATGTATATATATTTTACATAACAACCAAACATATGAATATGATATAACAGAATATATGGCATTCAGGGAGAGAACATTTCGATCAAGATTGTAAGAGAACTTTGTGAGAGATAGATAACATAGGTGCATAATACACATACAACACAAAGCCCATGATCGGAAATTAAGAAACATCAATTTAAAAAGAAAAAGGTAACAAAACATGCAAATACGGCAAAAAGGGAACAGTTGGCATCTCTGGTACTTGTGTATTTTTAGCAAAAATTACACTTTTATGACACATTCTTGCTCTCACCTCAATCCTTCTCGGCTTTGTGACAATACTCTCTTTATGTGTCAGCTGGCCGTGTGTATTTGACCCCCAGCAGAGCAGCTCATCATTCTCTAAATACAAACAAACAATGGCAAAAAAGGAGAGAGTCATTAGGAAATACCTTAAAAAGCAAGAAATGAGAACATCACAATTTCCGCAAAAAAGGTCCATAGGACAAATTGAGCAGTATTGTCGATTAAAGGTAAAGACCAGTATTGGAAACGCCCCAATTTCAAAAAATGAAATGGAAGCTCTCATTACCAATCATGTGAAAGAATATGTTTTGACTAATACATGATGATAACAAATTTGCCGGAAAACCCCTACTAATTCATATATTTGGTAAATTTGTTTCTCTCATGGTTTGTGAGAGATATAGGGTAGTCCCATATACATCTTTCTGTGTATAGTGCTTGTAACTTTACGAAGAATGGGCCAAATTTCTTATCATTTTGATGATTCCAGAACCTTGCAGATGCTAGATGCTAGATGATCAACCTTTTCTGATCGATTCCACAACGTTTCTTTCACAATGCAATCGCATGACCATAACTGGTCTTTACTGTTAAAGGGCCACTGTAACCCAAATAACATAGCCTTTCAAAGCATGAATACACCTTTACTTATTGATATTCCAGCCTCCAATTTGGGACTACACGAACATGTGGCATACAAATCTGTCCTGATTTTTATGCTATTACATGCCATATTTAGAATATTAGGGCATTTAAAGAGCCATGCTTTTCAGGGAACATATTTTTTGCTAATGTTCTTCCACATTTGCATAATAACAATGATAACGCTCACAAATCATTTTTCACCTCTTCCCAGAACTCAACCTTCTCTTTAAGTCTGAAAAAAGAAGCTGTATGTACCTGTTATTGCTACTGTATGATTCCATCCACACACGATCTGTTTGAGGGGTCTGAGGTCTGGGACCCGCACCAGTTTGTTGATATCAGAGGTATGACCCAGGCCAAGCTGACCCTTGTTGTTACTGCCACATACATGCAGATCCCCATTGCCTGATGAATAAACATTAAGTGGTCAAGAATAAATCACTTATGGTATGACTGCTCAGGGAATTCTCTCTATTCCAAACACACACAGATATGGATTTACTTCAAACCAAATTTTGCCTATAAAGACCACTTTTCTTGTCTTCCTTGGGTGGTCTTTATAGACAGGTTTCACTGCACTATCAACAATAAAAATAACACAAGGTTTAAATAGATCAGTTTGTTGATATATCTCAAAGGTATTCCCTCATGAATAAAACAATATTGGTCATGAATAAATGAATAAACATTAATGGTAATGAAAGAATGCAGTACCTATTAATCATTACAGAGAACCAAGAAAAGTTTGGGTTCTGGCAAATATGCAAAACAAGTTGTAAGCTCAATCCTTATATTCCATTGTGGAAGAAAATCATAGACGTAAAGTCACATGAAAATGACTGCTCTTGAGATTCCCTCTTATTCCGAACACACACAGATAGGCATGTACTGCAAACTAAATTTTGTAGCCACAAACCTTATAATTTCTACTCATATCCTGCATTAGACCGGTTCACTGACTAATTTAAATGTTATGCATACTTTTTAAACAAAGGTTGTTCTTAACAACCCAAAAGCTTGCATGAGGCTTACCCGACATAACAACAACTAATGTATGCAGACTTGATTCCGAGTATTGTGGTTCATTCAATAATTAAAGATTAATGGACTACCTCGTTACTAGGTCCCCAGGAAAGAAATATCTATAAATTTGAATATATTACGTATAGAATCAGCTGACCCTCATTCTACACACAAAAAATGCTAACCCTCATTCCTTTTGATACCTGTTAGGAAGACTGTGTGACCACCTCCACCCACGATGGTCTTTACATCTTCTGGGAAAGTTTTGAGATTCTCAGGCAAAAGATGATCCTTCTGATGTCCCAGGCCAAGCTGCCCATAACTGTTAGCTCCCTAAAAGAACCGACAGCATATATTTCTCTGTTAATAACAATAATAATAGAGGATGCTTGCAAAGTGCCAACGTCTCTCACACTTTGACACATCTGGCACTCAAAAAGGTTACACTTGAAGATGAAGCTGAAGGGTAGTCCAACCTGCTTCAAATTGTTTTTTAATACAAGCAGAAAAATGAGAGAAACAGGTAGTTGAAAGTTTGAGCAATAGCCACAAAAGTTAAGGTCTATCAAATTTGCAACTCTGTGATGCACCTTATGAGCAACTCTCCCATTTGCTTTGAACTGAACATCAGAAAGGATTAGATCCGTTTCATTTCTGCAATAATAAAAGGTGCTTACAGTCTAAAATTCATAAATGATTTTTTGCAAGAAAAAGGAATATATAGTTGTGGAGTTGCCAATTTGCATTTAAATTCTATCAAAACCTGCAAAAAATATTTTGCTCAAACAGAAAAATGGAGGTCCTCAAAAAATTTGGACCTTCAGTCTTTTAAAACTTCAAAACTTCTCTTTCAATTATTTCTCAGATTTTTATCAAACACTGGTAGGAGGAAGCACGTCATTCCCCCCACCCCCCCCCCCCCCCAAAAAAAAGGGGGCAGGGGAAAAGGGGGAAGGTAGGAATAGTAAGGCTTCTTTGCTTGTCAGAATTTACCTTTTGAAGGTACTATGTGTCCCATCTAGATACAATTTTGAATGAGCGCCAACATTTTAGGGAAAAGAATGGACAGGATTGAACTGTTTTTCTGCATTGTTCAAAGATCAGCTATGCGTGACATTTTCGTGGCTCTGCAACCCGAGGGTATAGTGTATAGACTCCGTTCAACACGTCAGCAACACCGACACAGATTCATGAGACCCAGCTCCAACTCTGACAGCTACAGGCAAATTTTCTTCCCAAGAACACTCCGGGACTGGGATGAGCTCCGTACCAACTTCATTGAACTGCCCTCTGTGGAGAAGTTCAAGGGAGCCATCAGTGCCTAAATCATAGGAGGAACTGTTTTTACTCGTACAACTTGTATATACGCACTAAGCATTAATCAATCATGACCACTATGAGAGACACCACACCACAATATCCTCGTTTAGTTGCTGAAAAGGCTTTTGACGAGTACCAGCATAGACGTAGACGTAGACGTACGTTTCGAAATTGCATGCGCGTCTTGCGCGAGGGTGTTTTTCAGACCCTCGAATGCGTGACGTCACACATATTGCGTGACACTTGGTAGCTCTGAAGTCTAGATACGATTTTGAACGAGCGTCAACATTTTAGGGAAAAGAATGGACAGGATTGAAATATTTTTCTGTAATGACATCATGGAGATGAAAGTATTGAAACTTTAAAGAAAGAAGGTGGGGGCCATTTCTCAAAACAATCTTATAGGTCTAGATTTCTATTTTCTAAGTCTGCAGTGAAAAAAAAATACATGGGGGCTCAGGGCGAATTTGCCCCCAAAATGCAAACTGTCAATGTGTCACATAGATCTACGCGAATTCCAGACAACTCGCCACAAAGACAACCCGCCCCAAGACAACCCGCCACAATACCCTGGACATCTTGCCACAATACCCTGGACAACTCGCCACAGGTGAGTTGTCCAGGGTGGGGTGCCTTTTCGGACAACTCGCCACACTTTTTTCCCCTCATGATTTCTAGATCTAAAATCCCTCATCTTAGATGAAATTGTCATTTTTCATGATTTTCGTGCTTTTATAAACACAGTCATTACAAAGAATAAAGAATAAAGCTGATTTCCCTTGCAACAATAATATATTTTTGACAAACCGAAGGCGTACGATCGCCAGATCATTGGGATAACTTGGTATTTAGATCTAGAGGTCTATAGCAGCTGCATTTTTCTGTCTCAGAAATTGTTTAATGGTAGGATACTGGAAGCAGTGGTGTACTGATGGGGGGGGGGGGGGGGGGGGGGTTATTTGACCCGCGAAATAAAATTGAAATGTGATTTATTTCTAGATTTTCAGGGTTAGTTTCGTCAGAGGCGGCATTCTTCATTGGGGGGGGGGACACTGTGCCCCCACTTTTTCAGGTTCCCCTAAAGTGCCCCCTTTATCCTTTGTACATGTCCTTTTTCCCTTCTGATAATTTTTAATGGTAGGAATTCATGAAAGGGTACTGGAAGCACTGGCCTCCTGATGGGGGAGGGGGCAGTTGACCCGCGAAATAAAATTGAAATATGGTTTATTTCTAGATTTTCTAGGTTAGTTTCGCACAGTCCAAAATAGATTCTTGTTGCGGGTCTTGTTACAAGCGCAAGGTAAATCATCTTTATTCTTTAGAACAGCTCTCAAAATACTCACAATTTCCATGTTTTCTGTCATGACTGTGTTTATAAAAGAATAATGAATACATAAAATGACAATCATGAAGATGAGGGATTTTAGATCTAGAAATCATGAGGGGAAAAAAGTGTGGCGAGTTGTCCGAAAAGGCACCCCACCCTGGACAACTCGCCTGTGGCGAGTTGTCCAGGGTATTGTGGCGAGATGTCTAGGGCATTGTGGCGGGTTGTCTGGGGGCGGGTTGTCTTTGTGGCGAGTTGTCTGGACCCCATCTACGCATAGCTAGCTGCCTGTGACAGTGTGAGACCTCAAGTTTTTAGGCCAGCTGTAATTAATGCATACAATAGTACACAGTGATGACAGATCGCCAAGACATTGACAAATCCATGTTGTGTTCACGTACAACACAACACAACACAGCTCAGACAAGACAGTCACGTATCACTGCACAGCACAGATGTTCATTCAAGTTCAACACACACAAGTCACAACTCAGTCTCAGGCCCACTGGCACACGCACACCACCAAACTCAGTCACATCACAGTCAGTCACAGACAATCAAAAGTTGACACGTTACTCGTTAATGTTAGGACTGATTGAAACACTAGGAAGGTATTTGCAGGGCATCTGAATCCTGAATTCAACTCTACGGTTGTAAAAAGCTACAACAATTACACCTTATGTTCTTTGCCACATAGTCCTTACCCACGAAAAAACTGCTGTGATGGGCGCTGCCATGTTGGATATCCCGTCGACCCTTGCGCGATCACTGATATGGAAATTATATGCTAATTAGTGTGTCGTGGTAATTTACCACTCTGGATTGGCCAGCAATGCGCTTCGCGTACTGGACAATCGCCATAGCGTTTTCCTATTCGTTCATGGCTGCTGCTCCTGTACCTTCGGCCAATCACAGAGTTTTTGCACCTGTAAGTTGTCCATTTTCACTGGATACTGTACCCTTCGTAGTATGAGTGGAGAGAGTGTAGTCCTAGCGGGAATTTAGAAGTTAAAAGAACACGAAATCATGTGTAATTTACCTGAAACGATAGGAAAATGTGTGTTCTTTCGTATGAGAGTGCACAAACTGTCTTTGTAGATATTGCATGCGAATTCGTTGGGTTGCGCTGATAATGGCGCGTCATATAATATGTTTGTGAACGTGTATTGTATGCGACGGCAATCATGGCTATGAATGATAATGTGTGAGTGAGTGCACAGTGTGTATTCTGTTTGTGAGGAAATATGTTACAATATGCCAGATGGCCAGATACCATGCAGACGTGAAACGATTATATTGTTAGAATAACTTAGATGGTTTAATGTGTTGTAAATTTTGAGAAGAGTCTTTTTTGATGATTATGTTCATTGTTCTTGAGTAGACCCTAGACTGTAAAAAGTGTAATAATATCGCGAAGTTGACAAACGGAGATGAGAGAAAGATTTGTTTTGAATGAGAATCCCACTCCGTGATTGGAGGGATACCATGTGTGTTACCAAAATGTCCGGTAAAGGGGTACTTTTCACGCACCAAAGTCCGGCTCGTAGTACCAAAAAGCCTGTTTTACACACCGAACTTGGGGTGGGGGGGGGGGTGTTTTCAAAAGGAGGGAACATGCATAGAATCTATGCGTACCCTAAATAACACTGAGGGGGGTGGACATGGGGGGGGGGGCGGGATGAGAATAAACTAGATCAGTATCATTACTAGTCTAGATAGTGTGACAATGAAATTGGACACTTGTCTCTTGCGCAAAGCTATTATTAATTATCACTTTTTGTCAAAATGTCCAATTCCATATCAGTGATCACCACATTAGTCTAGATCTAGACAGAAAAATGATAAAATCCATTCCATGTCCTTGGACTTTTGGAGAGATTTTTTTTGTTTCATAAAAAAGAAATCTAAGGACATGTAGATCTAATTGACTTCTATTTCTAATTCAAGACAGGGATTGAGTGAAGCCTGACATAGTCTCAGCGGAATTACAATTACAATTTCCCCAAACAAGTTAGACTGATGTTTTTTGGGGTCCAGCATGTTACACATACATGTACACTCACAGTCACAGTCTAGATTAGATCCTAGATGTACTTTACAAATTAATTAAGTTTGTGTTTTATTCTCGACAACCTTTCCATTTTGTTTCCATGGAATGGTCCATTGGATATTATTGCCAATATTGTCCACAAACGCAGATTAAAACTTTATTTTGTTTTCTTTGAGTTTGTCTTTGGCTTAATTTGTACAAATCTAAAAAAAAATGCACTTATTCTTTGAAACGGCCATGTGTATGAGCTCTCATGTCAAGCCAAGTAAATTCGGTATAGAATGAAACGGTTTTATTTAACAGCAGACTTACAATACTTAGTCTTATACCATGATGAATTGATTTTATGATGAAGTGACTATTCCCACACTCCAGCACTCAAACTTTTAAAAATGTTTTAATTGATCCACATGGGTATCTCTTTATCTGCTAAAGATGTTCAATATAATTTACAGCAAATAGCAAAAATCATAATATAGACTAGAATCGGTTGAAATTGGAAAATAAATCAGCATGAAGTTTGGGACATTGTGCGCGATCTCAAAATTTGATGTTAGACGGGGATGGACAAAGTTTACCGGTATACAAAAAAGGAAGAGTCCAAAATTTGTGCACAAGAGTTTACGGAAGATTTATTAAAAATGAGAACCCAGTGCCCATGAATAGTTTGCTAATCACTCAGACTTGATAGTTTGTGCACCATAAATATGGTATAATTTGGTCCATTGATAATATCATGCGCTGAGCCGCGAAGTATCAAATGAATCCATAATTTTCATAATGACAATATTTTTGTCTGTGCAAATATATCAGTAGACTTATGGTAATTTACAGGACAAGGAGTTGATGGTTTACTAGTATGCTACATAAATCCATGGACTACGGTAATTAACTCTTGCCTTTTTGTCAGGGCACAATTTAAACTTGATATGCTGTAATTTAATGAAAACCAGTCTCAATTTTTACTTTGTGTTCTCTAAGAGTAAGGGTTTACAGTAAAAATAAAAAAAAATCATCAAATGTCTCTTTACTTCTTTTCATTGATTTCCATCAGGAATAGGTTCTACGTTAGGCCCAGTCGACGAGGGACTAGGAATTATGGAAGGGAATACAGTAGCTCAGACATTGACCGCTGATCAGCTTGGTCAGATCCAGACCATTCAGACCCAAGGTGCCCAGGCCGGCGGTCAGCAAATCCAGTTACAGCTGCAAGGGCAGCAGGTAAGGTTTGACCGACCACTCACATATTCATGTCCAAGATCATCTATAGCGTAACCTTGTACAGCATACATGTATCACTTGGTAGTGGTGCTATATTGAAGAGCTTCTCTTAAATTCAGTACTGGGAAAAAGGACGAAAAAAACACAATAAAAAACAGCCTAGACATTCCAGTATTTTATTTTTTATTTACAAACTGTTCTGCACCAAATGGAAAAGTTCTCCCTGTGAAATTTGCCAATTATTCAGGTTCAATTACCTTTGCAAAGTTGATTGTGGCAGAAATTGACAAAGCCTCAAAAACAGGTTATTATGTGAGTGAGACTGTGTGTTACTGTTGCATGTATAGCTAACCGCATTTAGCAGGCGCCAGGCGGTGGATATTGCTGTCAAATAGCATGGAATTATTCATGTAATGAGTCGTCCAAATGATTGATTGATTGAAAAGGTTTTATTATAATTGCACTTTGCAGCCAAATGGCTGAATTATGTACAATTTACATGGGCAATAATACATACAAATGTGGTTTGATATTCTCACAAAGTATAAATATACAGTATGACTAAGGCAATAACAAACAAACTGAAGTTAAGTTTAAAATATATTTTGTGAGGTGGCACAAGAGTGGGTCAAAGGATGAGCAAGCAGGCCCTTTGCTCTTACACACTCTCAGACACGTTCTTAACGAACTGCTCTCATTTCGCCCCCCCCCCATACTAATTCTTATATCTCGTCATTCTAATTCTCTATGACCAGCTGGTGCAGGTAGGCGGGGCTGGACAGATCCTATCCGGGGGTCAGCCAATCACGCTGCAGGTCGCCGGAGGTCAGGCTGGGACGACACAGCTCCAGCAACTTGCGCAGACGCTGCAGGTCGTAGGGGCAGGAGGTCAAGTCCAACAGGTCAGTTTTTGTTTCATGTCGAAATCTTGTACAAAGTCCAGGGGGCAGTTTCACAAAGATCCTACGTGGAACTTAACTCTAAGTTTTACTTAACTATGGCAGGCCATTAATGCCACAATTTTCTCTCACCATTTACTGGCATTGGTCACTCAAGGGACATACAAATCATGGTCACAAATCTACAGAATTTACATTTGTTGATAATTCATTATTGAAGGAAAAAATATTATCTAAAGATCAATATTGAGAGACCAATAGTGAGAGCAACAAGTGGCACGAATGGCCTGCCATAGTTACATGTAAGTCCAACTTAAAGTCGATCTTAGTCTTTGTGAAACACTCCCCAGGTTTCTAGGCACATAGCTCTGCCTGTCTTTTCATGTATCCCCAATCAGATAACTTCAGCTCTGAACTATGCATCAAGCTTACCATTCTGCAAGAACCGGCCTTAGTTCAAGTTCAGATTGCACCATACTCCATGTGCCCAGAACAAACAGTAAAGCTATATAAATAACTTTGGAGAAGTGTCGTAGTCGATTGGTTTTAAAAGCCCTTGGCTTGGAATTCAATGGTCACGGTTCGATCCCCGACACGGCACTAATGTCCTTTGGCAAGGCATTAATTTAATTTTGCCACTCAATACCAAAGAGAGAAATGGAGACCTGGTAGGATGACAAAAATATTTATGTTAGTAATTGCCTATGCCCTCAAGGTGACCATATGGTAGGAATACTCCACAGAGAGTGGAGATGGTGCACATTGTGAGTGAATGAATCTAATGACCGGGGTAGTAATATCTGTAAAGCGAGACAGTATCTTGTATTAAGCGCTATATATCCAGATTATTATTATTATTATTATTATTATTATATATACAATTATATACCTCACTTAAGAAATCCAGCCATCTGATTGGTCGAATTGCATTCATAAACTTCAACTGTTCCTGTAAAATTCTCGGTAACCATGCATAAAACATTTCAATATTTTTAATAACCATGGTTATTAAAAAAAGTTGGTCAGCCTCCATGGTTACCCCATAGGTTTACATGTTAAAAAATGGTTTGAGCGATGGAGGATGCCGTATGTGTGCGAAGGATTGGTCGGTAATTTCAATACAATTGAATCTCGATCGATCTTACCGACAATTTTATGTTTGCATTGTTGACATGAAGACGAAAATAAACTTTCAAAAACAAAAAAACAACATCTGCCGATAGATCTTGATCTAAGTTCGTGCCAATATGCATTGCAAAAGTAAAAGAAGAGTCCGTATATGGAGCTTTTGCGAAGCACTCATCACACGCGAAGCCGGTTTCAATCCATTTTAATGTATATATTGGAGAAAACTGCCAAGCATGTTAACGACGGGCCATAGCCGAGTGGTCTAAGCGTTGGTTTTCGGTACACCTCTTGTTGTACGCAAGAGTTCGAATCCCGTCTTCGACAAAATTGATAAATATTTTTAATTTTTTCATTTTTTAGTCTATTTTTTTCGGCATATAAAAGTATTAATGACTGCTTTAATATTCGAGAAATAGTTGTTTTCATACGCTCTCGGGAAGGTTACAATTGGGCTATTCCCCTCGGCAAGCCTCGGGAATAGCACAATTCTAACCTTCCCTTGAGCGTAATAACAACTATTTCTCTCAAAGCAGTCATTAATACTATACTATAAACTTAGCCCCTAATCCAACAACTAAGATAAAAATGAGTGCCTGAGCAAATGGCAGATCATGAGGTGCCTGAAGTCTAAAACTTGAAATAATAGAAAGTTCTTCTGTATTAATTTTGTTAAAGCCACAAAAACAGGATACCTTATGTGAATTGCTAAAATCGTGTGTTGTTATTCAGCCTTTTTCCTGATGTGTAAACTTGTAAATCTAGACGACTCACAGAACTTGTCCTGTGTACATGAAATTTGTTTTACAGATTCAGCTTATTCCAACTCAGCAGCTACAAGGCGCCAACCAGGCAACACAGGGTCAGGTAAGAAGGAGAATTATTAATAAATGAAAATCATTTTTATTTCAGCTCATATCACATCATGATTTAACACTCCTGTTCCCATTCAAAGGTTCAAATGTTTGACGTTATCTCATTTTTTGCTCAGGCAGCTGCTGTCAGTGTATAGTGCAATTTTAGATAAGTCCTTCCAACTGAAGTATCATTTTAACCTGAGAGAAAGATGCAGATAAAATGCCTTGTATGAAGATATATAAACTGGCAAGAGATTTGAAATTATGACTCCTTATATAGATAGGGCTCCTCCCTACCTATCTGAACTCTCAGGCAACCATCCCGGTACTCCCTTCGCTCATCTCAAGGCATCACGCCGAACCATCCGTCTTCCAAGATGCTACCCACACTTAGTGACTGCTGCTACCAAACTGGAAAACCTATTTCTCCGCAACCAGCAATCTCTCAATACCTTCAATAAATATCGTGAAACTCACCTCTTCAGTCGTCCGACTGTGGATCACAGGGTTCGCGATTCGAGTCCCACCACTGCACTAATGTCCTTTGGCAAGATATTAATCTACATTTGCCACTCTCTACCAAGGTGTTCAATGGGTACTGGTTGGAGAAATTCCTTGGCGCTGTGGGCGCCAAAATTGGTGGCCTAGCAGAGCCAGGATAATATCGAAGCGCCATGAGTACCTAGCTTGGTGGATATGTATGCTATATACATGTAGATATTCAATATTAATATCATTATTATTATTAACTTATTTGTACATTGAATTTGAACATGTATATGAAAAATGCACTTTATAATAATTACTTTATTATTATTTGCTATGTAAATACATTTTTATTATTATTATTATATATATTTTTTCCTTCTCTTTCAGACACAAGTGGTGCAGACACAGAGCTCCACTGCACAAGGACAACAACAGCAGCAGCAACAACAGCAGCTACAAGAACAGACACAGCAACAAGCTCAGCAGGTACATACACCAAGAGCCAGTTTCATTAGATATGTTCCTAGTAATGGATTACGCTAATAAGCCAGTATTATGATTACAGTTTGTGCATGTGCAGAAAGAGAGTCATCTAATGACTTGTATTTATTGTATACACGCCATGGTGAGCACACAGGTATGATTTCAGGTAGTGTGTCCATCAAAATAAATAAGCATACATGCACAAATTAATTAAATGTATTCTATCCATTTACATTCAAATTATACAACCCGGCAAGTTCAGACATCAAATCGACATGCCCTCATATGCACTGTTGGATGATATGTTTCCATCACCTTTCGCTACACTTAGTACAGTCCTAGCAAGTTCAAATGCCCACTTAGATTCGCCCCTACCAGCAGTGCACCGACCTGCTCATCCAAAAATTACCATTTATTCTATCCATCCAGATTCAGATCGTACAGCCCCAGCAAGTTCAGGCAACCAACCAGCAGGGTCAGCAGGTGCAACACATCATTGTCCAGCAGCCACAGGGCAACACTCAACAACAGGGACAACAGCAGCAGCAGCAGCAACAACAACAGCAGCAGCAACAGCAGCAGCAGATACAGGTAAGATTATTGCTGAAACAAAATTGTATGTTTGTTGGGAGAGGTGGCTCTATTTTTTGTATAATCATTTTTTTTTTTTGGGGTGGGGGGGGGGGTGGTCTAGTGGTCAGTCTTTAAACCAACTCTGATGGATTCTGGGTCAAATTGAGGTGCATCTTTTGGATGTTGAAGGTCAGCTCCGAGATGTAAGTAATGAGATCTGATTAATTCATGTTTGTAGAAAACACAAACAGCGATTAGATGAAATCAATCAAATAAAAGGATCATAAATAAGTCAACCCCCCCCCCCCCCACGGGCCAGATATGAGGTATGTTTGTTCGTTCTTGTTTCCTTAGATCAAGATAGTTATGTAAAGTTCCTTAATTAAATTAAAATAAATGGCCGTTTCATTAACAAAGGCCAGGTCTTCATCTGTGCAACCCGTTCCGCCGCACTGCAAGATGTGGTCCATCATCTGAGTCTCAGTCGCAGAGAGTATCTCCTTCATGGGCATAGCCCCATCTTGCCATATTGACCTTACACCGCCCCATTCTCGTCCGCATTCGATTTAGCAGACGAGAATGGGGCGGTGTAAGGTATGGGGTATGTGCAAAGTACATATTGTGAGGGAAATTAGTGGGTTGCCTTGGATGAGAAAACAAATGATTCCTTACTCGGGCTTAATTTAGTTACATTTGGAAAATAAGAGTGTCGTTATTTTGATTGATTTTAATTCAGTTCAATTTGCACCCTTTATATCTAGTTGCAGCAGCTTATAACTGCAGACGGGCAGACGATCTACTATCAGCCGGTCGTTGCCGGGGACAACCAGGTCACCTTGCCAGGGACTCAATTGCAAAGTGAGTGGCAAAAGGACTTCATTCACCTTGATTCAGATTTGTTTTCATTGAAATATTGTTCAAGACAATGCTTTGGAGACTAATAATGCCTTATTTATGATATTTGCAATTCTCCACCCAGGTGTTAAATGGGTACCAGTTGGTAGGAATTCCTTGAATGCTGTGAGCACCGAAAACGGTAGCCCAGCAGAGCCTGGATGGTCAGTATTGTAGAGTTCCCAACCCTCCATGAGAATTTGTTTTTTTGATACGTCACTCTTGTCAGAGAAATCGTGTTGGAAAGAGCCATGCACTTATCAAAGTAAAACGCAAGAATGAACAGAAAGCTGAAATCAAACAATATAAACAAAAACCAAACTGAACAAGGCACAAATATAACAAGCTTCCCTGATTATTCCTATTATGCTGTATGCAGCTGATAGAAACCTCCCGATTACTGAAATAACCCTCCCTCCGGTAGCGGAGTGCCTTGAGCGCCTTGTGTAATGGATATGTGTGCTCTAGAAATAACCAATGTTAATATTATTATTATTATTATTTATAAAAGACCCTTCACTCTGACTTTCACTCGACAGGTACCACAAGCGGTACTGGAGGTGGTGCTGGTGATAACAATGGAGTTATGCAGTTACAGACCACTAACCAAGTCCAACAGGGTACAAACCTTTTTTTTCCTCTTTTTTTGTTTGCTCTTCCAAATTTTGATTATACTTACCTGAACTGATTCAAAGACACAAGATAAGAAAAAAAATGTGAAAAACAAGGACATTTTGTTGATTTCTAGAATCTTATTGTCAGTATCTCTTTCTCAGACACAGAATTTGAAATCGCGCTCCTTGAATTAATTAGGGTGTCACCGAAACAACAAACAAATTTCTTTTTCTTTCTTTTTTTTCAACTGGGTACAAACTTCTTGCATTAACATAGCTAATCGCTAAAATTGTAACATTTTTTATGACTTACTTCCAATCACTATGAACATCACTGACAAAGAAAGCGGACAAAATATACAGTTCCTCAGGTAGACAAAGGAACATCCCTTCACTGCTATTATGTAAACAGGTGAATATGCATGTGACACCTGTTTTACATAATAGCAGTGAAGGGATGTTCTTTTGTCTACCTGAGGAACTATATATTTTGTCCGCTTTCTTTGTCAGTCATTTTCATAGTGAATCTTGTCATTTCTCAAACTAACCAATTAAAAAAATAACCTTTCATAAATGAAAGCAATCAAAAGAAATTGCTCTACTTTCTTTCAGACTGCCTAACAATACCATTTTGTGATCCAAAACCTTTATAGAACAGATTTTTTTTATGCCTCCGTTACAAAGTAGCTGAAGGCATTATGTTTTCTGGTTGTCCGTCCGTCAGTACGTCTGTACGTCCCATTCTCGTGATCACGTTATCTCAAGAACCAATCGATGGATTACCGCCAAACTTGAGTCATGTATAGAGTGGTGAAGTGTGATGTCATCAATAATCTATTTTTAGAATTTCTCAATTTTCTTTTCTTCATTTTCCGAAAGAGCATCAAAAATAAATGCCAAAGGTCGAAAGTCATTTGAATATGTTTAGTATTGGCTGAGATATGACCATCTGAACAAAAAGATTTCACATAGGAGCTCAGTGTTTTTTTGCTCTGGTTCATAATGTTATGAATTACTTCCAATCTTGTCATTTCTAACAAATTCAGAAATTGACCTTACAGAAATGAAAACAATCAAACAAAATGGTCTACTATCTTTCAGACTGCCTAACAATACCATTTTGTGATCCAAAACCTTTACAGAACAAAAAATTATTAGTCTTCTTCTTTCTTTTCAATGTTTTTTTTTTAAAGTTCATGTAGGAAATAATGGTTTGCAGATAGCCTTGTACTAATAAAACTAACATTACTCTTTTTTTTAATTGAAGCAATTTAATGAATTTGAATGGAAGCAATTTAATGAATTATAAGTCTGTGCACAAGAGAGGCCTATTGTGCAATATCTATGCATGTGTAATGTGTTATAAGATATTGAAAAGTGAATCAATATTATACTATCTATCTGTCTGTCTTTCCGTTTGTCTATGGACATATCTATCTATGCTGTGTCTATCCTAGGTCTATGGTCTATCTATTTATCATATGTGTCTGTCTATCATTACATCTATGTATATCATTCTATCTATCTATCTGTCTGTATGTCCGTTTGTCTATGGACATATCTATATATGCTGTGTCTATCCTAGGTCAATGGTCTATCTATCTATTTATCATGTGTCCATCTATCTTTACATCTATCTATCATTCTATCTATCTATCCTTCTGTATGTCTGTTTGTCTATTGATCTATCTATATATGCTCCATCTTTCTTTCTATCTATCTATATACATTGTATATATCTTTCTATCTATCTATCTATTTTTTTTTTCTTTATTAATTTAATTTCCACATTTGGGGTGGATTACCCTTTCAACTTAGGTTGTTTTTCAAAGGGGTCCACACACATCTAAAAACAATTACATATCATGTCAACAAACGAGCAAAGAAATAAACAATTAAATACATGAGATAATTATACTAGAAAAATCAGTATGGGTACATTTGGGTAATAATATGTTTCCAGTCAAGGGAGATAATATACTTCTTAAATTGTTGAGCTGTGAGTGTGTGTACAGATGAAGATTTCCCCATTACATTCCATATTTTGGATCCCATATATCCATCTATTCTCATGTAACTCTATTTCTGTTTCCTCCCTTAGCTCCAGCGAATACAGCAGCAGCCAGCGGCAACCAGCTTCTGCAAGTGGCTGCAAACAACGGCACAGACAACAGCATCGTCATGGTGAGTTACACATTGAGTACATTACAGTCAAACCTGCTTTAGTGACCACCCGTATAGTAAGACCACCTGTCTACAAAGACCACATTTGTTGTTTCCCTTGAAAATGGTTTCTCATTGAAACATGTACTAAAAGAACCTGTACTTAAAGATACTATGTCCGTTTTGCAGCCAACACCAAATTCTGTAGAACTTTGCAGGAAATAAGAATATGTCATGTATGTCCTATCTGTGAAATTTAAACATTACATTAGCAGTGTCCTAGTATTCAAATTATTGAAGGAAACCTGTTTACTTTACTAGACTCCACTGTCAGACACTATTGAGTGACTGACTGACATCTTTTTTTCTATGGTAATAACATACATAAATTGAACTGAAACAGGTACATAAGAACTTGTCTACATCAATAACCAACTTCTTGTAATGGCCAAAATTAAATTGATTGAATCTTTGTGCAGCACGAAACGTACGTCCATTCGGTACAGTGGTCATGATGTGGTGTAAACTAACCCTCTTGGATTTTCTATTCACTGTAGATGATACCAGGTAGCGGGGGTGTTCCCACTATGCAGAGAATTCCTCTACCAGGAGCGGAACTACTTGAAGAAGAACCCTTGTATGTGAATGCCAAACAGTATCATCGTATTCTCAAGAGGAGGCAAGCTAGAGCTAAGCTAGAAGCAGAAGGCAGGATTCCCAAGGAGAGAAGGGTATGTCTGAGAATCTTTCAGCGTTTGTTAAATTTACCCAACGCGAATAAGTTTTCTGTCAAATTAACAGTGTTGTGCCAAATAAATATCTTGGAATAAGACTGTCTTTGAAATTTACAGGACCAGGGTAATAAATAAAGAATCTGGGGCTTCTCTCTATCAGACATGCCCTCCGAAAAATGGAAACACCCCATATTTTGATGGATATTCCGTTCTTGTATTTTATCTAGCGATACTGTTCCGTTATTTTGCCCAGTTGCCTTAGCTTGTTGTTTGCTGACAATGGTGAGGTACAAACCTGAAAGCAAGCCTGCCAATATTCACGTCCAAATTTGAAATCTTCCTATTATGTTCTTATAAAAGACCATTTAGAGAGCTTTGATTGAACTAATAAGTTGTATAGCTTTATTGAGGCACTGTCAGTCGGACATCTTTGTAGTCATGTATTTTCATGTATTATACAAGTACTCATTGTTTCATAACTGACCTGGCATAAGTCATGGGTTGCAGGTCATTCTATATTTAGTTACATGCTTGTCTGTATTTGCAGACTCTGTTAACTAGCTATCACTACACTTCCTTCTAGATATACCTCCATGAGTCGCGTCATAACCATGCGATGAATCGAGTCCGCGGTGAGGGGGGTAGATTCAATTCTAGTGAAGGGGAAGAACATCTAGTATTAATGTTCAGTTATTTTGCCCAGTTGCCTTAGCTTGTTGTTTGCTGACAATAGTGAGTTACAAACCTAAAAGCAATCCTGCTAATATTCATTTCCAACTTTAATATCTACCGTCCAGAAATACCTCCACGAATCCCGTCACAACCATGCAATGAACCGAGTCCGGGGCGAGGGTGGTAGATTCAATTCTGGTGAAGGAGAGGAGGACATGATCCCTTCGCCCTCTATGTTGAAGTCCTCTCATCATCAACTCCACCGACAGCAGCAGCTACCTACAATGGTACAGCTACCGCAGGGGATGACCCTGGCTACTGGACCTGACGGACATGTACGTTGATATAGTAGTAGGCCTCATGGAAGACCACCACTAATGGTTAAATGTACTACCCTGACTGTGTAAATAGCAGATATGGATAGATAAATAAATAATTTAATAAATATATAGATGGTTATATAAATAAATTATTAATTGAATGAATGAATAAATGAATGAATAAATGAATGACAAAGAAATAAATGAATAAAGTTATTAATAAATGAGTACATAATAAGATGAAATAATAATAAAAATTGATATATATATATAAATTAATAAATACAAAATGAATTTTTAATCTATTTTGATTGTTGCCTTTTCTTTTGTATGATGTAGGTGACCCAAGAAGGAATGATCAACCTCAGCATGCTGACAGGAGGCGGGACATCCACCTCAGCTCAGGTTCTCATTGGTCAAGGCAACACCATAGCAACATTAGCGGCCAATGGCGTGAGAGGAGTCTCCCAATAGTCCCACGGCAGCGGTCACTTTAGAAAACTTTTTGAAGAAAGCGAGGTTCTCATCGGTCAAGGCAACACTATCACAGCGTTATCGTCCAACGGTGTGAGAAGAGTCTCCCAATAGTCCGAAGGCATTGGCCACTTAATAAAACTTTTAAAAGAACGCAAGGTTCTCATTGGTCAAGGCAACACCATCGCAACGTTATCGTCCAATGGCGTGAGAGGAGTCTCCCAATAGTCTGAAGGCATCAGTCACTTTAGAAAACTTTTTTAAGAAAGTGAGGTTCTCATCGGTCAAGGCAACACCATCACAAAGTTATCGTCCAACGGTGTGAGAAGAGTCTCCCAATAGTCTGATGGCATTGGCCGCTTTAGAAAACTTTTTGAAGAATGCGAGATGTCAAAACAAACCGTCAGTGTGTTATCGTCTCATTGCCTGAAAGTGGTCTCGTAATAGTGTGACAGGAATGGCCAATTTGAAAATCTCTGTAGAACTGCTCGAAAGAATGAACGTGGCAAAGGCAACAGTGTCATCACTGGGTGAGGGGAGTTTGGACGCGACTGTCACCAAAATATGTTTTGAAGCCGTTGACAGCAGTATGGACTGCAAGTCTGCTGACCAAAGCTTCTTGTTGACACTGGCATGAAAGGTCAGATAGGTCAATAATTTGTCCACCTGAAGATAATGATATTTTACCAGGATGGGTCCATTAGATGTTATGAAACTGTTGAAACCGGTATGGACTGCCACTCTGCGAGATGCCAACCAATGCTGTCTTGTTCAAAGGTCACTGATTTGAAAGATCAGCTAAGTCAATACCTTATCCACCTGAAGATAATAATAATTCACCAGTGATAAAACACCTTTATTACTCTCAGACACTATGGCTACTTATGAAATGATAAGATCTAAAGCTCATTGCAAAGTAATGGAATATTGAAAGTATGTACATGTTTAAGAATGTGTAATATATTTTCTATAGCTAGGTCTTTTGCATAAAGATTTGGGTTAGGACACAACTTGAAGAAAACAATAAGCTCAACTTGATTTTCAACCATCAAGGATCTTGCATTTAGGATTTGCATTTAATTTCTCAAGTTGCGGCTAAAGGATACTTTTTATGTAACATGAACGACAAGGGAGGTTGCCTTCAAATGAGTAGGAAAAGCATCTGAATGTTTTTCTTTTAGTTTGAGGCTCGTTATTATGCACTTGACCAATTTCAGGCTTTCAATTTACATTTTATTTATGGCAGGAAATTTGCTAGTGTCTTTTTATCCATGTCTTGAGTTTATGTATTATGTATGTCTCCAAATGTGCACAGTGATGTAAATGTTATACATTGTAAATATGACCTGCACAGTGTAAAAACTCAGTTGATATTCACGTAGGGAATACATGGTTATGACTTGTTCAGATATAATGCAGGAATTTTTTTGTTTTGTTTACATGATGATGTTAAAGACCGTCAATACTACTGGGCCAGAAGGGATTAGACCACCCAGCCAGGTCACTGACTGATGGCTATCTCATTAACTCAGCTCTCAACTAACATGAGAAAAAGAGGATCATGGGGGACCAACAGGCACTGATTGGGGAAGTTTTCTATATAGAGGGAGCAAGTAGCTACAAGTAGGACAGTGGGGCTTTTAGTGTAAGATGCTTCACGTTTTTGTATCTTGTAGCACAGAGCTCAGTGAATACGCCCAAGTCCTTTGTTACAGGTGGTTGGCATTCATTTTACACATTTTTTTAAACACTGTTTTTTTTGGGGGGGGGGTGGGGTTTGCAACGGTTTTCCACCCCATATCTGAACATGTCTTTAAAAGTATTGTATAATTGGCCAAATCCAACCTTATTTGCTCATTGAATGAACGCAGAAAAATTAGAGAAAGAGATTAGGCTTGGTTTGAATGAAATTTGATAAACAACAAAGGTATGAATTTGAGAATAGCCAGGTGGTAGTATGAATCCTATATTTTGTTCCTGCACACAAAATAACTTGATGGTATTCAGTAACTTTGCCTCTGATTCTCTAAACAAATCCTGGATTTAGCTCATGCTGCAATCATAATTATAAACCTTTAGGTCAGAAATGAATCACATGACTTTACAAGCCAATCGCATGTTTGATTATCAAGATATTTTTTATTGGAATTCAAAATTTCAGAAACCGTTTTCCCAACGGTTTTGAATAGTTTCTTATAATACTAGTCTATTGGGGAAAATGATGATGGTTAAAACCGGTCCCTCAAAGATTTTTACTTTTTTGAAGCACAATTTTTTTAGGGCTTCAATACTACACCATATCACAGACTGATAATGCGTAGGGCCGTGCATCTCAGATTTGTAAAATTGGAATAGAATAATGAGAAATGACAATTTTTGAAATAATTTTGTTTAAAAACCTGGCTGTACATGTATATAGATATATGTGTTGCATATTTTTTAATATAAATGAAAAAGAAGATGAAAATACATTTGTGTTTTAAGCACTGAAAACTCGAAACTTGTTGTCCATGTTCTTTCTTTGTTGTTTAATTGATTTGTTTGTTGATATTATTGCTGTACATGTAGCTCGCTATCCAAAACTCTGACTCAGACGGGTCTGGAAATTCATTTAAAAAAGCAGATTAATGTGTTCTTTTTCTTCAGGGGTGATAGTGAGCACTAAAAGAAAAATAGGTTGTTGTTTTTCCCCTCAACCACGCCTCCCTTGAGTAAAAAATAAAAGAGGATTCGCCAGAAAAAATGGCACATTGGGATTTTGAGTAAGAAAAATTGGGAAATAATAAGGAAGGATAAAGAAAATAAGGGAAAAATCTGGAAAATTGGGATAAAATCGGAAGAGAAAGAGGAAAAAAATGGGTTGAAAAAAATCATGAAAAATCACCCCAAAAAATCAGGAAATAGATTTAAATCAGGTTTTTATCAGGCCTGTTTCTTAGAGGGCTAAACAGTTCTAAAATTTCAAGTCCTGCTAAAAAAAAGACGAACTCGTCAAGGAGAATCATACTTTCTATCAATACAAAACAATGACAGAAGAAAAGATAAACACATTTTTCCTTTTTTGCAGACGCTTTTATTACCAGTGCAAATTCTAGATTTTTAAATCACATCAAAATTATATATATTGCTATGTATACCTGTACATATTTTTGTTTACACTTTGTATGTATAAAATATAATGAACACTACACAATACATGGATCCTTTTTACACTGTACATAACAAATTAGCTTTCTTTGTTGGGAAACAAATGCATATGTATATACATGTACATGTGTCAAGCAGGGACTCCTTTAACATAATGAAAATGAATGAATGAAATTTGAAACACTACAGGGCCCCGTTTCATAAAACTTATCAATAACATGCTAAATTTCTATATCAAATTTGCCATCGGCCAATCAAATGCCGCATTGTCAAGCATCAGACATTTATCGACAGTGAAAAAAATACACGGGGGCTCGGGGTGAAATAGCCCCCGAAATGCCCAAAAGAGCCCCCGAAATTTTGCATAGAGCTCAATGCAAAACAAATTTTAGAATGTTATTTTCATGCAGGCAAGCTTGAAAAGTAGCCCCCGAAAAATAAATATTAATATTTTCCCTGCTACTTACTCAAGACAATTCCACTTTATTTAAAGGTAATACAAAGTTTTGGGAAATTTTGAAAATTGAGTGGCTAGTGATTCTTTACAATTTTGAAATATTTGTATGCCCTGTGGATGTATCATAAGCACTAGAAAAAACAGAAAATCAAGAAAAATTGAACATACAAATTTCAAATGGCGCCTACGGCCGTACAATGGTAGCTGCGACCATGAAAATCTCAGAATATGGATTTGTGATATATAATTTCCAAACAGGAATAGCTAATCGGTTGATTTCAGTCAAGAAACATTGTTTTATAGCTTAATTAATATCTTGACCTTGAGAGGGAGCTATCACATAAAGAGTGTATTATTTATAATTTCATAACTTTAGAATCGATTTCAACCGTGACAACGATCACTGAATATTGTAGGATCGCATTTGAACCAAATTCACGACCCCATACCAAAACTTTGTATTACCTTTAATACAGTTGAGCCTCGTCAAAAAGAAAGAAGAAAAGAACTCTCTTTACAACAAGGTAAAATTCACTAGTCTCACTTCTTTGAATTCATGTCTGAACAAGCCTTTAGTGTACTCAGGAAACAATTTTTTTCCTTCATTTTCCCATGGCAATAGTAGAGGTGTAGTGCAAATCCATTTATTTTCCCTCCCTTCAATTTCATCCTAATGTGTCTAATCCCTCATTTCAAACAATTAGTTTGATATCCAAATAAGACTCGAAATTAACCGTAAATCAAACCGCATATTTTCTATACTAAATTATAATCTTCTCATATTTTTAGATAAATAATAAAAAACTAAGCTTCCCATATTTTTCTAATAAACAGCTATCTGTACATAAACCAAGACACAACAAATATACAATGAAATAAACAGAGCTCGAGCACACAACAGATGAAATCACTGTTTAGTTTCCATCTACATGTACTTAAATAATCATGCTCAAATCGTTGATATGTGCAAAATTGTACATTTTCACACTAGCAAATAAAGTGATCTACATGTACATGTACATAAGGAGCAAAATCACGTTGATGAAATAAAAATAGAAGAGGAAAAATACAGTTGGCAAGTTGAAGATAAAAATAAGATCTTTCATAAAATGTGAGTGGTAGCTTAAGGTTATCATGCATTTTTGATGATATGGCACTCCCTGACATTATGACCTTTCTAGATGTCACTGAAAAGAATGATTAAAAATGAGACAGAAAGATAAACGAAGCAGAAAATATGAGTAGAAATAAAACTCTGGTTTGAATATCTAAATACATGTATCATAAAGGAAGAGGCATACACACATACAACGTCATATTTGTAGGCCTTCATGACACATATAACAAACAAATTATCCAAGGCAAAAAATGTTGAGGTAAATGTTTTTACCATTGAGCCCCTTTCAGATATGAAGCGGTAAACGCACAGGGACCTTTTTGTGCACAGTTGTCATTTATTTACACTGAAAGTTGTTTTTGTGGCAATTTACAGTCCGTGTCATATCTGAACAAGCCTTCAGGACCTTCCTTTGCTTCAGAGCACATGTCTGATCACCCACAAATCCCCACCTGGGTGATGTACAAGACTTCCGGTAAATGATTTCATGTCAAGAGTCCTTATGACAGGCATGTATTGTACAAGATCAATGGCGTTTACAATTTTTGGTATGAAATTGTGAATCTATTCAATCTATTTCACAGGGGGTGGAGAGTTGAGTAACCAGCTCATGTTTCCAACATCGATGTTGTCAGGATCTACATCAAAGTTCACATCACCAAACATCTTCTCAAAGCTTGAGTTCAGCATAGAATCCTTCCCGGAATCCTTGCCCTCGACATATCTCTTGGGTGTCATCATCCGCGATTTGCGGGAGCTGCGCATCCCTCCTGACGTGCTTGGAATGTTCCTGTTCACAGGGGATAACATGTGGTGCCTGGGAGTGTTGGAATGTCCCACTCGGTTATTAGGGGTGAAGCCTGTCTTGAAGGGGGTGAAGTTAAAGTCCATGTCCTTTATGGAGAAACCTGAGTCGGGGACGGGGGAGAACCCTCGGATGGGTGACAGCCAATCAGGGCAGGCGCTCTTCGGAGGGGTCTTCAAGAGGTCATCATCAACATCCAACCCCAACCCAAATTCTGAAGATAACGAATTCTCCTTTTCACTGTTGCATTTTGCCTGAGCCATATTTTTCAACAGCTTGGAGTCCCTCACAAGAGAAGCCCTGCCATCATCCCCCACACTGGAATCGGTGCTTCCATACCCAGAGTCCAGTGTAAATCTTCCAAATGCACCACCGGCCTGTTCCATTCTCGTAAGGGGGGTGCTGTCAGAGGAGTTCAGCTCTACTTTAGGACCAGTGCTCTTGGGTGTATTGTCTTCAGTAGGGCGGGGGAGAATCAATGAGGTCATGTCAGAACCTGGAGGGGCGTTGTCCCTGTTCGCAGGAACGAGTTGGCCCGTCTTAGGGTCAGTGGTGAAGTAGATAGGCAGGGGCACCAGGGCATAGGGTGGGGTTCCTTTCGGAAGTATAGGAGGTACACGCTTCGAACCTGGAAAGTGCAAACACACACATAAACAGCACATTCAATAATGGTTCTGAGCATACAGGAATGGACAAGAATACTTAAATGGCAAATGGTATAATCTTGAGGAAGTTGCTGATGTAAAAATGCAGAGTTTAATGATGCACAAATTTAGGCAATAGCTGTGTTATCATTGGTCTCATTAAATCCGCAGACTAATTACACCAAAAAATTTGTTCACATGTACTTCCATAGAAATGCTGAAATGTATATCTAAGAGCCCCTGAGACTGAAATCAGAGTGACAGAAAAGGACCATTTGAGATTTGTTCCAAAATGACAATCATAACCTTTTTTTCTACTTCACCCTTTATACACGAATATGACCATCATTTCTAAAAAATGGAAACGAACTTCAAGCCCTAGTTAGAGTCATATTAAAAGAAAATCATTTAACGCAATTTACGTCCACTTTGTTGTGACAGCCTCTTATTTTTTCCTGGGCTTTGTTCCCTGAACTTCTGTTGGTATTGATTGATTTTTGCTTTTTTTGTCTTCTTCATTCTTGTGATTTACCTGATGAGTGCATATGACGAAAAGCTTTAAAATATCTGTAATTCTGTATTTTCTTCGATTTTGTAGATTCATCATCTGTCTAATAGGTCATTTAACCAGAATTCCAGATGCAAACAGTGAGGAAACAAACTCTTACCTTTTATGATTGGCCTTGAAACCATAGGTGTTGAGGTGAGGACCGGTGCTCTGTTTATCATGGTCCCATCTTGGGCTGATAACATGGGCATTCTGCTAGGATCGCCGACCAGAGCTAGGATCAGACAAAACGTCAAATCAATTGTTATTTTTGTCAATTCATGTTCACGATTCCATAACAGAATTCAATAATACTTGATATTTAGGTATGGGACATATTATGGACTTCCCCAAAATATTTTTTAACATTACATGTACTGTACATTATGCGGATGACAAATAACAACTTTGTTTCGGACTATAGGATATACAGGTACTTATCCGATACTAGACTAAATAGCAATCCTTTAGTCAAAATATCACTCTTGATGGCTGATGCATACTAATATAAAACACATTAATTTAAACAACAAATTTTGCAAATTATAGAATTTACCTTGCATTTGAAGATTTGCCATTGCAGCCATGTCAAAGGAACCTTCAGGAGCAAAGCATTCAGGAATGCCAGCCGGCATAGCCATCTCTTCATGAACTATGACCTTCCTTTCGGGCAGCCTGACCACAGTGCCCGGTCGTAACGTCCAGAAGGCAGGTTGACCGGGACCGGACGGTGCTTCGCGGACAAAGATCTTGTGCAACGAGAGGTTGTGACGTATAGAATTCTGTTCGGGAGAAAGAGAGGAAAATAACAAGAATTAGTAGATATACCACATGTCAAACTAAATACTGAATCCATTCTGATACCTTTGACAAAATGTCTCTACAAGACAACTGTGAAAAGGGAACCCAAATTGCTCTTGTTTGATCCTTTTTTTTCCCCAACAAATAAATAGGTTCCTGCGTGGACTAGTCATGAGATGACTAGGTTTCCATCATATCATTCATCAACTTAATTCAGCAAAAAACTTTTGCAAAATTGCATCTAATTTCAACTTGACCTGTTTTGCAGGTTTTCATTCAAGGCAGCTGGAAAGAAACTATCCACAAAAAACTCCTTGAATAAAAAAAAAAAGGAGCTATCAATAAATTAAATCTATGTTACTTGTTGTAAAATTGTTATACATAAAATTGATGAACAGTTGAACATACATGTAGTAGGGTGACTCAAAGATAAAGTTGAGTTCTGGTCATGCGATTGCATTGTTAAAAAATTTGGTGGATTCGATCAGAAAAAGTTGTTCATGTAAAATGTTGGTGTGTACTGTAAGGTTCTGGATTCATCAAAATGATAAGAAGTTTGGCCCAGTCTTGGTATTAAAAGTAAAAGTGGCCTTTGCGAATAAAATTCAATATTCATCCTAGCTGACTCAGATAGATTGAATGCTAACAGAGCTGGGGGGTGTTTCACAAAGATCTTAAGTCATATTTAACTCTAAGTTGGACTTAATAATTATGGAAAGCCATTAGCATCATTAAAAATATTTTGAAAAAATTATTCTAAAAGGCATAAAATGTTCATTTAAATCATGGGAGATTTCATGTTCTTGATGTGGAATTTATGAAAAATCTGAAATACTTTGTTATGCTTTTGAATATATTTTATTTTAAGGCTACAAATGGCTCTCTATAATGTTTAAGCCCAACTTAGAGTTAAGTTCAACTTAGGATCTTTGTGAAACACCCCCAGGAGCATTAAGCAACAAAGCATTAATCTAGTTTAGATCTGAGGACTAAAATTACCTTCCAGCCAAGTTTGGCTGTCCTGAAGTATGGAAAGTGTGTCTCAATCCAGAAGTAGACATCTCTGAGCGTCAGCTTGCCTTCTGGTGCACTGCTGATGGCAAACTGGATGAGGGAACTGTACGAGTAGGGTGGCCTCTCTTTATGAGGATCCTGTGACTAAATTACAGGTAAAAAGTCGCAAAATCAAAATATAATTTCCTTTTTGAACTGAAAACTTATCAGAATCCTTAACTAACCTCTCCACTATGAAAAATTATCATGACATACAGAGTAAAAAAATCAATACACTTATTCTTAACAGAAGAATGAAATCATTTGTATTGCTCAAGGCACTTCACAAAGAGTTATGCATCAAATTTTGATACATTAAAGGCATTATTAACAATGTTAAATCTCAGATGCACGGCCCTACGTGTTATCAGTGTCTGTGAAATGGTGTAATTTTGAAGCCCTAAAAAAATTATACTACAAAATGAACAAGAAGTGCCTCAAAAAAGTAAAAAATATTTGAGTGACTGGTTTTACCATACTCGTTTCCCCAATAGACTGTAGTGTTATGAAAACCGTTAGGAAAACGCAAAATGTGATTTCGATTTCCAATCATAAATATTTTGATAATCAGACAGGCGATCGGCTTGTAAAAGTTATGGGGTTTCTGACTGACCTAAAGGTTTATAATTATCATTGCAGCATGAGCTAAATCCAGGATTTTGTTTCAGAATCTAAGACAAAGTTACCCAATCCCTTTAAAAGTATTGGGAAATATCTTTGCTATTTAAAAAAAAAATTCTACCGTAATGGAAACTCACCTTGATGTGTGGAAGGGTAATAGGATCAAGATCAGGTGCTGACATTCTTCTCAACCATGTGATGTTGGTCAGACTGTCATCTTGGTTTCCTAAGACAAATACAAGACAGAAATGAACTAAATAAATCAATCAATTGTAAACAAGAATAGAAATGCAGAGTGAGAAAATGGGTTGATAAATCTGATCTAGAGTACCGGTAGACGAATCCTATTTTTGAGAACTTTTTTAAAGCAAATATCTTGCCATTTATTTGATGGAATATAAGGTAGTTATTTAAGGGCTATTAATTATATGGAGTAAAAAATCTAGCACAGCAGCTGAGCAAGAACTAGACTATTATCCTGAAAAATTAAAGAATAGACAAGTACAGGTACTTGCAGATAGCGACAATAAAAAATTTACCCAATCTCTCTTTCTCTGTCATGCTAACCATTCAAAACAAATCTAAATAATTTTGTAACCAATATCGGTCCTTTCTAGAGTCAAATATTAATTAAAATAATGATTGCACAGCCAAAGTATGATTCGCTTTGGAATGGACAAATGATTTGATACTTTTTGTAATTTTTAATTTTTGTTTAGAACTTGAAGTTTGTTTCTAGAATAAGACTACACATGGGGGCACAATCTTGTAACTTTCTTCACATAAATAAGGTTATTCAGATCTAAACTAATGGTAATAATCACCTCTTGCAACAAGACTTATTCTGCTGGTCTGATCAGCAATGTTTAGACTTAGTCCTCCAGGTGTGATCTGCTCAGCGATTCCCGAGTCTTCCCGCAACGCTCCTCCAGCTTCGAATCCTCCAAGACCTAACCCCTGCTGCTCCATCATGCGCAGGTACCTGGACTGGAGAAGCAGGTTCTCTCTCTCCTTGGGTGATAGGTTCTCTCCTCCCAGGAGACTGACCTGCTTTGGGGTCATGGAAAGGTCAGGGGTCACAAACAGGGCATCCTTCAATTGTTTCTCCTCAGTCTTCACATTAACATTGCTGATGTGATGTGGATTGATCCGGGACCTGCTCTGGCTCGAAACTGGGGTCGACTGAAAAGAGTTCTTGAGGGATGGCGTTATAGAGGTTGGCTTTGGCGTTGACTGACTGCTTGGGGTGGGCTTTGACGTGCTTGTTACTCTCGGAGTCGATCCGCCCATCCGCTTCTTGGGCGGCCGCAGGATGATGACTTCTTGGGCATGTCGACGCTTCCTCTGTGATGACCCACCACCAGAGTCGCCTCCAATGCTGCGCTGAAGGATGGAACTTTTCCTTGAAAGTGGAGTATCAGAGCCTTTCTTTGAAGCAGATCTGCTGTTTGGTGTTGTGTTCTGACCAACAGAGAACCTCGCTGTCAAACACTTGGGGCTCTTTGCCTTTCTGCTCCGGGGTGTAGTGATACTGAAGACAGAATTGTTCTTGCGTTCTGGTGAATTGCTCTCATCCAGGATGGTCTTGATGGCTTCCGAGAGCTCAATAGTTTCCATATGATTTGAAGTAGCCATCTTCTCGTAAGTCTCTAGTTGAGATGTTGGCTTGGGCCACAAAGAATCTTGGTTTCACTGAAACGAGTAAGAACAGAAAAACAAATCTTTAGGTTTGAAGAATAATCTTTTAGATTATTGAGTGTCATTTACTTAAGTTTGGGCCAAACTGAAAATCAGTTTACTTGATAGTTCCACTTAAATACTATGATAAATAAATTAACATCTCCTAATGATAGTCAATTATAAAAAAATCTCTGCATGCAACTTAGCCACTAGATCTACAATAAAAAACAATCTAGGTACTATTTGTATAGATGTATCTACCAGTAGATCTAATAATTGGTTGATTTTTAACTCCCTCAAAATATTACAAAATATGTGTTCAAAGTACACAAAAATCTATGTATTCTTTTTATAGGCGCTCAATCATGTCTTTAAAATGTATAAAGATGTACATATTCACACACCAATAACTGGAAAGACATGAAAGAGGAACTAGAAATTAACCCCAGTTCCAATTATCAATTTTCTTTAGAAGCGTGTCACTCAGGGCTGAGCTGAGTAACAGAGTCTATCAAATTTATAAGACAAGCTAAATTGCCCCATTCTCAAGACATTCATTTGGGGCGTCGAGTTAAGAAGCAATTTGACCAGCAATCATGCATCATAATTAATTAATAGTGAGCAACTTTAATAAGGATAAAATCAAGGTTAAAATCATGTAGTGCGTTGTCTGGAAGTTCTGATTTCTGGGCTATATAATGTAGTCTAGCTAGACTACATGTAAATAAGAATTGTGAATATGCACAACAAGCAACATTTGCTCGCAGTCAAAATTTAAAATTAAAATTTGATTTATTTCCCCATGTAATTTTTCTATCAATTCTTCTTTTTCTCCCCCCCCCCCCTTCTTCATTTTCTTCTAGACCTACTCTGTTTATCAGTCTATTTTGTTAGTTATAACGCTTAGAGACTTCGGTGGTAAGCGCTTTATACATGTACATGTAAGTAACGTTTTCATTATTATTATTATAATGTCCTTAATAGAAGAAGAAATTAACGAAGAAGGACATTAATAATAATACTAATAAAAACATTACTTAGACCTAGACCTTCTATATATATAGGCGCTGTGTGAGAGTGTGAGTCAGTCCTCCAAGAGTCTAATTATTTGAGGGAGATTATTTCTAAAAAAGATAATTAACAGTCATTTCTTACTTTTTCTTTGACTTTGTATTTCAATATTTGACTCTTTTGTCTTTGACTTTTGAGATCACTGATCTGCTGAGCTGAGTACGAGTAGATCTTAATGTAATGATACAACAATTCAACAACTGTTTCCCTCCTCAGCTTGGCCTCATCCTCCTTCTTCCATTTAAAATATTAATATTATTTATACCTGGCTCATCTCAGCTCGGCTCAGATCTAGCTTTTTGCCAAGGGGGGGGGGGGGGGAACCAGTGGCAGATCCAGGATTTTCCAAAAATCTCACCGTTTAAGAACTTTAAGTTAGATCTAACCATTCTTTTTTTCTTCACTTTGTCTTTGCCGCCTGCCGAAACCCCCCCCCCCCCCCTAGATCCACCCCTGCAGGTACACTGATATCAGTATTACCTACAGCAAAATGAATCATTAAATTGTTCATGTAGCTCAGCACAAAACAGGAAATAAAAAAATGACGTGTCACGTACTGCACTGAGTTTCTTTCTTCAGGTAGACACTGCACTCGCCATCGCCACTCGCCTGGCCTGGCCGACTGGCCACACACAGACGCCACAAATACACATACGTACACACATCGCATGCAGAAAGCACTGGGGCAAATGAATGAAACACTCGTCAACACTGATTTGTAACGTGTTTTCTCGTCATTTGACGAATGTCTATCATGAAATTTCAGTAAAGTAACAACATTTGATTTCAATAATAATCATAACTCAGAATATTTACCTCTTTGTTCAGCAAACGCTGAGAAATTCAGCTGGAAATATACGGACTTCCTGGCATACTTCGGAGATATTTACAATCAATCGAATTTAAACCTCCAGCCTGTGAATGTTGATTAGCCAATCACCGCCGCGTATTGATCTACCTGTCTCGATATTGTCGCGGAGGGCGACAGACAAAACCTGTGGAAAGGTGAAGTTGGAATTTTTGGGGTCATATTATTTTGAAAGCTTTCAATAATAATATTTTGTTAACAAAATCATGTTTTTCAATGGTTCATTACTTTGTTTATACATGCATTAGTTTCTGAAAGTGGTGAATTTAAACAAACAAGTAAAGCTTTACTTTGACTTTCATAATTATAATATGAGAATAAATCAATATTCGGTAATGAATGATTATGTATCAGCTCTCTTCCCTTCCGATCATCCCCCCATGTAATAAATAAAGGTATAAATAGGCACACTGAAATCTCAAATTGAGCTAGATTCGGATCACTGTGCCTTTAAGTACTAAATCTCTCAATAGTGTCAAACAAATTGCCTACCCGAGATGATGGGCCATTTTTTTTTAAAGTCTGCATAAAATTCTTGTTCAATATTGTTTAAAGTGCTCCATGCATAGTGACTTTTAATTTGGATCTGTTTTGGATGGTATCTTATGATAGGACTCAAAAAAGAAGGGGAAAGGGATAAGAACAGAAAATAAAAGATCCCATCGAACCTTTCACCAATTACTATTTAGTAATTTATTTATTTAGATCCGATCGAGAGATATTGGGGACTTCACTTACGGGTTAAGAGAGAAATGAATAAAAACCTATGAAAAAAAAATGTCGTAAGTACATCTATCTGACATCAATCGTTTATTTATTTAATTTTCATTAAAGTAAAATAAAAGCAAATGAACATTTTTACAAAAAAACAAATGATAATACACAGCAATCAATATCATCGACAATGTATACAAAATGTTTCACTTTTTATAATTTATATAAAACTAAATAAGGCAAACTTTAAAAACGAAAGCATATGATGGCCTTGGGAGACAAAGTTGCCAGTTATGTGTTTAATTAATTGTTATGGAGCATAGATTTAACAAAAAAAGGATACTGACAAAATCGCAGCCACGTGCAAACTCGAAGCCTCTTAAAAAACAACCTTCTTTTGTCATATGTCTTGTGAATAATAATAATAACAGCATCATGATCATGTCGATTTTTCAAAGCTAAAATTTAAATACGATTTCTTTAAGCAAAATTATAGAAGATTAAAATGAGGAAATTGTGCGAGGCTTAAATCGGATTCATTTATAGGCTTGGGCCAGGAATTGGTGTTTAACGAACTTTTTGCTCGGCTACAAATGGGCTCAGTTTGATATTATCTGCACACTTGCCTGTTTTTATTAATCATATTTTATTCGGCATAGCCAAGTTCATCTTCGACATCTGGTCCGCGGTCATAGCCTTCTTTGTAATAATTTTTTAAAGATGAATTGTGAATCTGCAAAATAAACGAAATATAAAAACGTGAATAAATCAGCGATATTCAAGTCCATTCAGTAAAAATTTCATTACAGTGACATGATAAATCATGGCTTTGTTAACAGGGGAAGGGAGTGGTCAGCATTCTTCTCATGCAGCAGGTATATATAAACACATGTTTGGACTAAAGAGTCTTTTCAACATGTAGAAGAAGGAAAAATACCAAATGTGAAGGTTTGAGCACCATTTCTACCACTTTCTGGAAGACAACTAAATAGATAACTTTTTGGCAAACAGCTGCCGCTCGATCGGCCCCGCTGCTCTTTAAAAAAAAAAGTTGTAGCCACGCCCCAGTGACAGTTTCACTCTTTTCATAGAAACATGCAGGGAAAACAGGACTTAATTATTTAAAAAAACGATTTTTGAGAAAGTACACTTTAATATATTAGGGGTAAACCGCAAATACAGCAATTTAGCAGTTTTAGCCGAAACTGGAAGGCATCCACAACTTATTCAAATTGCAATAAACTTTTTTTTTTTTTTTTTTTTTTTTTTTTTTTTTTTTTTTGGGGGGGGGGGGGGGGGGGGGGGGGGGGGGGGGGGGGGGGGGTCACGAAATTTTAAATTTGACATTTTGCTCCGTTGGGGGGGGGGGGTAAGGTCACCTTTTTAGGTCAGCCATTGGCATTTTTTTTTGGTTTTAAAAAAAAAAAAATTTAATAAAAAAAAAATAAACAAAATATATAATATATATTTTGGCCCGGGGGGGGGGGGCACGTCCTTGTTTTTCAGTACATTTTGGGCGAATTTAGGGCTGATTTTAACATATTTTGTTTGGGCCGGGGGGGGGGGGGTGGGGGGGGGGGGGGGGGGGGAACGGGAACCCCCTGTGCCCCCCCCCCCCCCCCCCCCTGGATCCGCCACTGGGCCTACATCAATGAAGTTTAAGACATACAATACAATACATGATCTTGTTTGAACTTGAGATCTTGAATCCTCAGAATTTGTTCCTTCTATTTTCTGTTATTACGTATTCGTAGGGGGAGGGGGTTTTGGGTTAACCCCCCCCCTTTTTTTTTTTTTATTTGTGTATTTTGGAGGAACCCCCCCCCCCCCCTTTACAAAAAAAATTGTTAAAAAATAATGTTAATGGGTGACCTAAAAAAGGTGACCTAACTCCCTCCCCCCCCCCCCCCCCCCCCCCCCCCCCCCCCCCCCCCCCACCCCCCCCCCCCCCCCCCCCCAACGGAACGAAAGGTCGATCCGGCAAATTTTCAAATTTTTGGGACCAAACAAAAAAAATATGACAAAACATAGCTGGTAGGGGTCTCTCCAAATTCCAAATAATTTTCAAAGCATGTCAAAAGCGAAATGAAAGTGCGCCCTCTTTGGATCAGAATTTGCGGTTAATACACCAGTTTACAGTTGTGTGCGCCATTTTAAACAAAGCCAATGACCTAGAAGTCATGTATTTATGCGTAAATTAAGATTGCGCCCATGCAAATTATGATGATATCACTGCCTGCGCGCTGCGTTGTGCGCGCATATCATCATTTGCATGGGCGCAATCTTAATTTACGCATAAATACCAGAGGTCAGAGGTTATTGGCCCCAATTTTGGGGCCAATAACCTCTGACCTCTGTCTGCTCATGCGCACTGATACAACTGTAAACTGGTGTATTCAAAACAAAATCACGGACGGAAGTTGGAAACCATATCAAACACTGAAATATTTACAGATGTGATGCCTAGTGATGGTACTCAGCAATTTCTCCGATAATCCTCAAAATTTTAACGGGTTAACATTCTACTTAGGTAAGAATTGATGATACAATTATGGTCTTTGTTACTTTTTCTGTAGCTGTCACAGAGTTCGGGTTTTATTGTAGGCAGTCCCACACGTTTAAAATGCTGTTGGATTTGTGCCAGCTCGATTGACAAATTTTAGTTTCAGACTCACACTCAGCTCAGTCTCAGAGAAGCAAACAGATTAATTGACTAGAAATTACATTCAGACAGTCAGTATTCCTGATTCAACATTATGTAAATATGTGACTTATTTTGTGACTAACTCTTGATCTTGTGACTTGTCAGAGAGAGAGAGAGATAGATTCTAAATCATTTTTGAATGCCAATGATTTTGACAACAACATGTGCATAGATTCTAGACCTAGATCCTGCAGATTTAAGCATTTGACAAAACCTTTCCCAGTTTTGTTTTTAATTTGAAATAAACTCTTGCCGATGTATGTTTCATTTTCAGTCTGTACTCTGGTTAAATCCTTCCACTCGCCTGACTGTCTGTGACACTGACTAGCCTTAAGGTAGGGTCCCTAATGACCGCATGAGGGCGATATTGCAAAATCACCCTCTGGCTGCATTGGACTCTTTGTCACCAGTGAACATGCTTTTGTGCAGTGTGTGCCAATACGAGGGGCGGATGAATTTCACTTTCTTTATTTGTGATTCACCTCTCATGAATATTTATAAGCACTTACCTTATTTGGAAAACTTTACAAAGCTTCTGACATCAGAATCACCGTCAACCCGATCTGTCTTTGTCTTCAAAATCACCTTTGAGCTCAGTAGTAAGAGCAATTTTGACCGTGTATGAGCGATTATTTGTGCTGTTTTTACGAAATGAACTATGAGACCGGTAGGGACCACCTTAAAGTGTGGTATTATCGGAAAGCTTATGTAATTTGTGATTGAATGTTGACAACTCCAGAGGCCCACAAGCTTTCAGCGATAGAACATACCAGTGCTAATGATACCCTTCCCGCCCCGGCCGGGTTCAATTTTGAGAGATTTCGCGTACGGAAGTGGGCAATTAGTGGCAGTGCCATTTTTGGCAAAAAAAAAATCTCTTTATTGATTAAATTTGTGATTTAGGGTAAGTTCTCAGTGAATTTGCTTTGCATATATGATGTATAAGATAAATCAGTATACATCTATCGCCATTACGGGAATTTTAATTGGAATTTTATTTTTTCATAATTATGACTACTTAAGGCCAGGGCTCTCTCGAAATGTTTTTTTAATGATATTATTCGAGAGAGCCTTAAACGGCTCCCATACCCCTGCACGGAGAGGCATGTAAACAAAACTCAAAAGTGGTCCAAAATCACACTTTCGCGCACCCGACCAATATTGGACAGTGGCTTTGATAAATTTTGTCGTAGTTTTGGTCTTAATTACCGCTTTAATTTCAAAATCGGATCTAAAAATAACAAAATAAGAGCAATTTTCTTACCAGACCGATACAGCTCAGCTCCCTTTTCACGTGTACCGTGTGAATTCACGATGTCTACACAATGGTGATGACCTCTGACTGGCACTTCCGTAATTGTGGGTAAATTGTGCTGCTTCCGTATAATGCGCTGTATGAGTGTTATTCAGCGCATTATACGGAAGCAGCACATTTACGAAGTGCCAGTCAGAGGTCATCACCATTGTGTAGACATCGTGAATTCACACGGTACACGTGAAAAGGGAGCTGAGCTGTATCGGTCTGGTAAGAAAATTGCTCTTATTTTGTTATTTTTAGATCCGATTTTGAAATTAAAGCGGTAATTAAGACCAAAACTACGACAAAATTTATCAAAGCCACTGTCCAATATTGGTCGGGTGCGCGAAAGTGTGATTTTGGACCACTTTTGAGTTTTGTTTACATGCCTCTCCGTGCAGGGGTATGGGAGCCGTTTAAGGCTCTCTCAAATAATATCATTAAAAAAACATTTCGAGAGAGCCCTTAAAGGGAAAGTCCACCCCCAAAATAAGTTTGTTTCGATAGAGGCAGAATAATAAGAAAATCAGGTGAGCGAAAGTTTGAGCAAATTCTGAATGAAAATAAGAAAGTTATGAATTATTGAAGTTGTGATCAATCAAATACAAATTGGCAACTCTGTGACTTATCATACGAGCTCTCCTTCATTTGCTTTGTGCATGATATTCCATAAAATCATGTTTTCTTCGTTATTGATGACGGAATATATATTTGTTCCTTGCAGGGGGAGTATAGAAACATATTTGCAATTATTATATTTAGGGTGCATGTATGGTTGAAATTTTTCTTGAGGGAAAATGAAAATTTTAGATTTTTTTAGTACTGAGCAAATGGAAGTTGAGCTCGCATGATACGTCATAGAGTTGCCAATTTGTGTTTGATTGATCACAACTTCAAAAATCCTAACTTCCTTATTTTTAATCGGAATTTGCTCAAACTTTCACTGACTTGTTTCTCTCATTTTTCTACTCCTATTAAAACTAACTTAATTTCAGGGTGGACCTTCCCTTTAAGGCTAACACTGACAGTGAAGCAAATTCTCTGTTCCAACACTTAGGCCTACTCTTTGTCATAATCTGCCTCCTTCACTCCTGAAGATTCTTGCAGATGAAAGGGGTGTGTGTGTCACAAACAGTAGGGGCGCTGGTCTGAGAATGAGGATCGTCCTCATAAACGCGGACTAAATGTGCGTCCTCATAAACAAGGATCGTCTGCATTTTCGCGGACGGTTTTTTTCATCGGCGCTCTGCGGGTTTGGGGTTATCGAACCACGTGCTGGCAATGCCAAATTTGGATTCCCCAGGAGAAAATAACCCTAGTTGACCGTCTACTTTTATGGGTTGTCCGTCTTCCCAATTTTTTATTGCTCATAATGTGAAGGTCTCTGTACAAAGTCAATGTAAAATGCATCAAGAAAATCATCCTGGAATCCGTTTTTTGCATCGCCAATGTGCCGATCAAAAATATGGAACATCTGCTTTTTTGCAGACGATCCTTGTTTTTTAGGATGCATTGGTCCGCATTTACAAAGACGATCTTCGTTTATGAAGACGATCCTTATTCTCGGACCAGCGCCCCTACTGACAAAGGACGTGAAGTGCTGAGTGTCCTATTTACATAAGGTGCAAGTAAAAAAAATCTTCTAGTCTGGTTCTGGGGTTAGCCACTGCATTTTGTCGGTAGTTGACAAAATGCTTGTACCAATGGAGCCTTTACTATGTCTATTGGTAGAGAGTTCCATGCACGCAAGGTCATCCTCCTGTGTTGTTCAGTTCTGGACCTGGGGAGCTGATACCCTTCAGGGTGAACTGTCCTTGATGGTCTTGTCACAGGAGTGATGTGGTTTGTTCGGCCAAAATCCACAGTCTCATTGTGGATTTTGTAGAAGAGGGCTAGTCTGGAGTGCTCTCTATGGGTCTGCAGAGAAGGCCATCCCATTTGTCATTTTCTCCAACGCTTGATGTGTTATGGTAGCGATGAAGGACAAATCTGGCGGAGCGTCTTGAATTGATTATACTAGTATTACACTTGGCATTCTAATAAAATTGTGTCATCTTTTTATTCTTCTCCTTGCTTTCATTTTTGTAGGGCTATCCTGATGACATCACAATGCCTCGTACACGCTCCTCCAAGAAACCGGGATGCTTCAATCAAGTGAAACCCACGTTGATGTTTACAGAAAGCCCTGCAGAAAAGCTACCCAGACGTCTTTGTAGTCCCACCAATGCAGCTGATAACCCTATCACAGCTCAGGTGCTTTACTTGGAAGATGGCCTAGAAACCACATGGGTAGGTCACCGTAGGCACATGCACATACAGTGTAGCTGCATTACTATCCTGGCTGTGTAGTAAAAACTGTTTAGACGACCTCTATTGATACTCAACATTTCAAACACCCCTGTACAAAACTTGAATGAGTTCCCTTTAAATCGGTACTTTAGTGACAATTGATGGCTCCTAAATAGCAGTAAAATACAATCTTTTCAACTTATCGATGTTAGAAAAATACTTTGAAAATTCAAATCGTGAGTCTACTGTCAAACTTGCCGATCAGCCACTTAATATTCATTTTGTGCATTAGTGTGCCTTTGCTGCCTATTAGCACGTACTACAGCGCTAAAGGTCAATATGCTTTAGCATTGACTCTATGCTTTGCTGGAGTGACCGTAGGTGGATGTGAAAGATAAAATTGAGCAGTGGAAAATATGCAATGGAGCAGAGAGTGGGTTCGCTTGGGAAAACTCCAAAAGAGCTCTCAAAAACTTAATCTGTGCATCAATTTTCTTGCCATTTGAAACTACCTTCATTAAGTTCATTTTACTACATCTGTTCTTTGTATGCGCCAGAGACATACTGTACATGTATGTCTTATCTCACATTATCACTTTTGCTGTGCGCTGTCACATTTCGATAGCAACCTACAATGTATTTGAACAGTGGGAAACAAATATGCATTATCACATGGTGTCATTTGACAAATTAGATTGACTAAGTTTTAGAACCTGTTTTATGGTGTCATATTGCCAACAATATGGTTTTATTTGTTGTCATTGATTGTAAACATCAGAATTATTATTAGTAGTATTATTGTTGTTATCATTATTAGCAGCATCATTATTGTAATTATTATTATTGTTATTGTTGTTATTACTAGTAATAATAATATCATAATCAATAATCATTATTATTATATTCCTGTGTTGTAGGTATCTCCTCAATTTCATCCTGCCATGCTTGACATGGAGGAAGCCCCAAAAGGGAGGAGGAGAAAAAAACAAAATGGAGACATCACTGGGAAATCGGCCATGGAGACCCAGCACACCAAACGGAAACGGAGACCGGTCCGGAAGTCATCATCGACCACGCCCATCCCTAGTGAGAAGAGGTTCCCCAAGGGATTCCAGCCCCTCCATTTTCTTGGCGACGCATCTAGGAATGGAAGGGATGGAGATCAATCATGGAGGAGGATGGTGGTGGAGGATGAGGACGATGATGTAAGAATCGATGATGGAGATGATGATGATGGTGTTTGGTTGGAGGATAGCACAGTATTTAGGAAGGAACAAAGGACGACTAGAAGGGGTTCATCAACTAAGAGTATGTTACAAAGATTTGAGGATGAGGAGGAGATGGAAACAGGAGTACATGATTATTCTAAAACTTTACATGATGCCTCACACAGACTGCGTGACCAGGGCAGGGTCAAGACTGGCAGGAGCTCTGTCACTAGGTCAAAAACATCATCTGTGAGGGGTTGGCATGACAACAAGCATCATTCTTACAGGGATGGTGATGTTGATGAAGGTAACCTTCACCACTCTCGGCTAACAGCTCTGAGAGAGAAACCCTTGACAAGCAATACCCATCAGAGACATCTCACCAGCAATCATCCACATGACCTTTCTGTTTCACCCGATGAGAATTTCAGCAGACTTGACGACATCCGTGACTGGGGCCCTGGCGGAAAGGACACCTATGGCCAGAGTCCACAGTTTCATCAGAACAAGAGAAAAGCAAGAGGAGGAGCCGCGAGGAAGAAACTTGAACAGTTTGCTGCAGAATCGCATCAATTCCTAGACACCGAAGACCAAAACCTTTTTGCAGATCTGAATCGAACTGGACAAGATGGATTAGAAACTAGGGGAAAGGTTCTCGCAGCTGACACACCGGTGTCAGACTATGGGTTGCGTGTCACTTTGAGACGGAGAAGGCAACTGCTACCGAAACATTATACTGAGAGGTTACTCTTGGACTCGTGATAACTGACACACTAAAACTGATTATAAGAAATGTGTTGAAATAATACCACTTTTGTTATATTAAAAATGTTAAGTTATATTAAATTGTATAAATTTTGCAATATGTTTTCTGCATACATGTACAATTGTACGTACAGATATGGTCAGAGCAAGTGAAATTGAATTTGCATTTTCAATGCAGCTGCACAGCAGTACATACTGTATTGACAATGACGGATGGCAAAATACATTTTGAGAATCAATATCAGCAAGATACATCTTTATTAACAAGTTAGTGCTAGAGCCTATATAATCAGGAATATGTTGATGAAAACTGATGTGCAATTTATTTGCTTAAAATACACATGTTAGTTGTGAAAAAAAGAGAGATATTGGAATTAAACTTTTGAATGTGGTCTCATATTATTTCCTTTTGTATCTAATGACAATACAGATTTTATTTGATACATCATTTATTGTGCATTATTAACCAAATGAGAGGTGGAATACAAAACTCCAGTGTAGTAGTGTACATCCTGTTTTAAACCAATGCACAATTATTTTTTTCAGTAGAATTGATTTATGATCCTCCTTGAGCCTAGGTTCACAACTTCACAGAATGGCGCCTAAAATATTAGTTTGGAGTTCCTTTCTATTCTGATTTTTACACAATAAAGATCAAATGTTGTTGTTGTTGTTGACTCGTGGTATCTTTGAAGCAAAAGTTATAGAACAGTATGAGATCTTGTTCAACAAGTTTGGCTTTAATTTCCATTTTGCTACCAGTACAGTAATTTTTTTTTTCTTTAAATAAAGTGTAATAATATGCAAAGCACTCTAGAAGGACATATTTTATTACGCAAAATCGCACAGAAATGCACTACATGTATTACATGATACATGCATTACTTCAGGACAAACTGCACAGTATAGTTCTGTAGATGGACTGCAGTAGTTTTGCATCGGGGGTTAATCCTAAGTTGGGAAAGAATACATTTTCTTTGGAAGTGAAAAGTTAAACTAATTGTTTTAGGTATGTGGTCAAAGGATTCTCTTAATCTGATGGAAATTAGGGAGATCTGATTATTAGTGACGATAAATTTACATGTGATTTGTATTTGTAAATATGTCATAGGACCATTACATTGTATATGTGTATGTGTAGCAAATAATGCTATGATATTAACTCGTGTAAGTCGGTGACTCAAAGGCATTTGTGAATGCAACTAAGTTATAAGTGTACATTTGTATTTCAAAATGTTACTATCCAAGAGAAATTATATTCAGAATATTTTTGCAACGCGATGTTAACTGTGGAAAATTAAAAATATATTAATGGTCAGTGGACATGATGAAATCTTTCTTGATTCATAAATATTTTTTGCTTAGAATGGACGTCTTTTTGTATTACACTGTTAAATGGCAATCCCACCCTGTAATAAGTTCATTTGTATGAAAGCAGAAAAGTAAGAGAAACAGAACGGCGAAAGTTTGAAATAAATTGGACCAATAATGAGAAAGTTTTGAATGTTTGAGATGTGAGATCAAGACATCAATGTGAGTCTCAAATTGACAATTTTGTCAGCGGATTTTGACGCAGTCGTGGATAACTTTCCTGTTTGTCGCTCTGTCTCCTCTTCTCGCTCTCTCTCTGTGTCTGTCTCTCTCTCTCTCTCTCTCTCTCTCACACACACACTTCTCTCTTTCTCTCTCTCTAACTTCTCTCGCCACTCTCTCTCTTTCTGTCCTATATTAATATCTCCCAGAACATTTTTTTCTTCTTTGCCACCCCTATTTTTTTTTGCATACCTATATTTCTATCAAACCACTCGGACTTGGAGACATAAATGAACAGTAGGGTCTCTATATTGACATTACTAAACATGAACGGGAAAGAGAGAGAGAGAGTGGGGGGGGGGGGGCAAATTTAAGTTTAGAAAGGAAGAAAGAAACTCGTTCCCCTTCTAGCATTGAGCTCTCTTCTTTGGGGCTCTTCCCCCTCTCTATCTCCCCCTCTCACTGCTCTCTCTTTATCTCTTTCTCTCACACTCTTTCTTTATCTCTTTCTTTTACACTCTCTCTCTTACTACCACCCCGTTTCTCTGTCTCTCCCACATAGACTGTGGGCTGACACCTGAAAATCACCCGTTTCGTGACCCATCATTTAGCACCACACTTTGTCAGCTGTAATATTTTCTTAAAAATAAGCAAATACATCTGAAACCACTTGCCAATCCCAACTCTTACAAAATAACATGAAAATGAATAAAAACTATCCATGATTAGTGTATATGAATATTAGTGAACAGCATGCATATGGACCCTACACACACACAGCAAGCCCATGTACATATGCATGCATGTTGTGTTGTGTGTACGTGTGTGTAGCTTCTCTATGTATGGGAAGTAGACAGTCCAGTATACAGTGCATGCAAACTGAGCAGGCTCGTACAATGATTCAGGTTGGTTGTCCTACATAAATATTGTATGTGTGCTGTATACATGTAGCCTAGCATGTAAACAACATGGACAAGGATGGATGTGAAGGCTTCTCAATCAATATCTGCTACCAAAAAGGCCTTTTGTTGTATGCATTTATGTTCTGATCAAGATGGAAAAGTCATAGTTTTTCAGTCTAGAGGATGGTCCAAGTTTCTGAACTGTTGCCTTCGCTGGATCAAGATTTCTGGTTCAAGAGAAGCTGATATTGCAAGAAAGACTGCCAATCAATTGAGCATAGACCTTAATAGCCCAAATGTTGAAGATACACCTCTACCAAAAGACTGCTACGCTGGTTATCATCTTGGGTGCTACCAGACTTTTTGTCATGTCGGAAAGATTCAGAGGGCAGAGTCAAGAAAGAGGAAATGTGATGAAAGTGAAGGTAAGTCATACTCCAGTCCAGACTTAACTGTTAATAAGAAGAGTGTGCATGGATGTAGAACCAGAACAAAGGTCGAAAAAAGTTTGCATGATCCATGACTTGAGTTGACTGACAACAGCTCAGAATCATTCAGATCTGAACAGGGTGGCAGTGCAGTGATGCATGTGCATTAGCTTTAGAGTAACCCTTACATGCATATGATAATATTTGCAAGACTTTGCAGTGTTTATGTTTATCTTTCTGATAACGCGGCTGCTGTACTACTACTACTAGAGCTACACTTGACTATTTATTTAGATATACCGTGCACGTAATGTTGCTCGTTAGATGATCGACGCATGACTGAGTACCGTACCTCAATGTACAATGAAACTGACTTAAATTGTTGAAAAGTACTTTAGTATGCAGAATTTTTAAATATTAAATGGTGTATTCTTAAATAATTAGGCAAACATGTAGTAGATCTACATGTACATTGTTTGGAGGCTAGATCAAAACCTGGTTTTCTATGAACTACATTTATCTCGGTCCAAGGTAGGCCTACTGTATGCATTTCTTGAAAAAATGTTATACTGGTGATACATTTTAGGACCTGATTACTCTTCTTGTTATGAGTATATGAAATGTAGAAATTAAATATTCTCATATATGATCCTAGAAATCTACCACATGCTACATTGTAGCTACCTAAAGGCTGAACTTGTACCAATTTTGGTTTAATTTTTCTTTTTTCAGATGCTGATGTTGAATCTTCAACAGAAGACATCGATGTCCCATCGACATCTGCTCCACCCAGGAAGCTTCTACGCTCCAGTGTGTCCCCAACAAAGTCTCGCAATGTCCTTCCTAAAGAGTGCATCATCTGTAGGAAAATGCGATGGCTCACTGACAGGATTAGTAGTAAGAGGTATCCTATCCCACTGGTTATGTGTGAGCGGATAAATGCAGCAAATTTTCTGCAAGCAGCTGAAAAACGGAAACATTCACGCATATTAACCCAGATACGTGGGAAGGACATGGTTGCTGTTGAAGTCCGGTATCACAAACTTTGTTACCGTGAGTTTGTGAGATGCGTCTCTAAAGAAGATCAGCTTGACACGGATGCAGAAAGTATGCACTTGTATAGTGCATCATTCAGTGAACTCGCTTCAATTGTTCAAAAGAGAATTGTTCAAGGCAAGGAACTCCTTCGTCTGACAACTTTGAAACAGATGTTCATTAAGATTGCAAAAAGAGTAGAGGGAGTAGATGTATCTGGGTACAAAACATCAAGACTCAAAAAGCTGCTTAAAGATGCATTCCCTGAGCTTCTCTTTGTGTCACCACGGAAGAAGAATGAGAGCGACATTGTTATGACATCGGAGATGGAGGCAGAAGCCTTAGCAGAACAGGCAGTTCAAGACCAGTCCACCAGCACAAGTGAAGACTCGCAATCATCATGTGATGACGAACCCAAACAGATTTCTACTGACGCCCAACATGGGCAGCTTCGTACACTTTTCCATGCATCACAGGTTAGAAAAACTACTGGTAGTCACTTTGTATTTTTTGTGAACACTTTATTTTCTGTAAAGCATGATTTTATATTTGCAGGTGCTGAGGTGCAAATGAATAAGATGTACGTACAGGTTTTAGGTGCAACATTTTAAGGAGGAAAACAAGATTCCAAACACATGAGCATTTTTTTAAGGAACTGAACATATGATTTTGATGTTGTTCAATAACATAGATTTTTACATTTCAATATTTTTTCATAAATAATAAGTTTTTATGGAACTTTTAACCAAATGTGGACAAAATATTGTACAATACTACGAGTACATGTATATGTATTATACTATAGAAAATAAGCATTTGATTTTGGGGCATCAATTAGAAGGAAAAAAAACATGTTAGTGAGTTTATGATTACCCCTTACAATTACTCTTAACTGTGTCTGGTTTGAAACACAGAGTTATTGCATTAACATGTACATGTATGTATTTGAACTGTTTTTTTTTAATAATTAGGCAGTCAGAGCACAGTAAAACTGAAGCCAAATATACATGTTTTTTTTTTTTTTTTTTAATTTGGAGATTTTTTTATTCATGAACAAATTTACATGTAGCATGCCCTTCCTAACAAATTGCTAAATGTTTTTTTTTCTCCTTCTCCCTGTGCTTTTTTATTTAGATCCTCAAGGAGAGCATTCAGTCTGCATGTACCAAGCATCGAGAGCAAGTCAAGTGGCCTCCAGTTGCAAGTGACCTTTCTCTCCAGTCTGCCGAGGAAGCAACTCCAAGCATGTTATTCAACTTCTTGTCCTGGGTTGTAGATGCATCAGAAGATTTAGAACTGTCAGGTTTTGTAAGAACAGGTGTAGATGAAAAGAGAAAGTTACTATCTATTTGTCAAGATGTAATGTATATGAATTGTAAGGGTAAAGTAATCTTTCCTAAACACTCATCACTAGCCATGACAGTTAGACACATGACAGGGTCAGCAAAGCTGATTGGCATTCTGAATGGCCTCGGACATTGCACGTCACATTCGATGGTCTTAGAGCATGACACTGCCCTTGCCACAAAGCAGCTTTCAAGAGGAGATGAAGTTTTGCCAGAAGGTGTGACACCAAAGTTCACCACGCTAGTCTGGGACAACATTGATTTCTCAGAAGAGACCATATCAGGAAAGGGAACAACGCATTCCACTAATGGTATTCTGATCCAGAGTGGAAAACCTGAGGTAGTGAATGACCAACGCCCATCTGTCCCAAGATCCCATAAACGGTCAATTACTGCCCCTGCTTCATCCCTTGTATCATACTTTGGTTCAGGGAAGAAGGGTCCAGCACCGTTCGGGCAAGACCTGGACATAACAGAAAACCGTAGAGAATCATATCTGCTGTCGGCAAAGAAGAAGGAACTAGCGTTCCGCCTATCTCGCATTCAAGGACAAAGAGGTTCTTTACTCCCAAGCTGGACTGGATATAACACACAGTTGGACCAAGCAAAGCCAAAAATATCCAGTGTATACTATCTTCCAGCCATTGATGCCTCGCCCACTCTAATGGACACGATCAATACAATTCTAGTGAAGAGCGTAAAGATATGCACCCTCCTTCAGCAAGAGTCCATCGTCATTGTCTGTGATCAGGCCATTTACAGTAAGGCCCAGCAAATACGCTGGAAAGATGACCACCTCATGGCTAGAACTGTCATCAGAATGGGAGAGTTTCACACAAGCATGAATTTCCTTGCAAGTCTTGGGAAACGTTTCAGAGATGCTGGACTACAAGACATAATCATTGAGAGTGGACTTGTTGCTGAAGGTTCTGCAAATGGAGTTCTTTGTGGGCGTCAGTATAACAGGAGCATAAGGATGCACAAAATCGTTAGCGAAGCGATGGAACACTTGCGTTGGCAGGCATTCATCAAATCCCATGATGGTGATGAAGAACAAGAGGAAGCATCCAACACTGTGGAAAAGCTGCA